TTCATCACATATATCTCTCTCTCTCTCTCTCTCTCTCTCTCTCTCTCTCTCTCTCTCTCTCTCTCTTTTTGTCTTTTCGTCTATGAATCAATTTCATATTAGAAATTGTAACGAATTAATAGATGATGCCAATGTTCTTTTACTTTTCATCAAATCAAATGTGTTGGGCACACAGAACGGTTGCTTTTCTTTTCATTTTAACTTTTTTTTTCTGTTTCTCCTATTTCTCCTTTCTATTCACAATCGCATTAGAGTGCTATCTTCTTATTCTTTTCGTTGTTTCTTCATAAACTGTATTCATTATTTGAAATTATATTAAAATATCTTTATTAAGAAGGCTTAGATGTTATTAAATACTTATTATTTCTATTTTTGTAGGATGTGGTTTGAGGAGAGAAGTTGGTCGAACTTGCGCATGTCAGATCTGGTGGAGGAATGGCGAGACTTGTGGTCTTTCAAAATTGATTTCTTAGTAGCTGGACTATCTTATGTGTTTGCTACAACAAATTTGCTGAATCTGCCTAAGCTCATTCTCGAAAATGGAGGAGGTTTGTATTACTATAAGCTTATCATCCTTATCTCTATGTGTTTTACAGTTGCATTCATTGCTGCCTATGGAGCTGCTGTTCTTGCTCTAGTTTTACCAACCATTGTCTTAGAGTTGGCGGTAGGACAGTTAACAGGACGCGCTCCTGTTTCTGCTTTTTACAGCCTCAGTCCTGTTTTCAAAGGTAATACCGCATCCGGAAAAAAGAGTCATATATCCAATCGTTTAAGGTGTCGGTGTGTCACAAGTACTGTTCTCACTCCTTGTACTCTGTTGTATGACTAGAGTCTTGGCATGGTTATGCTTATACCTGTTCCAACTGGTCATTACTGTACAGAAAGGCAGACCAGGTAAAATTTAAAACTTATGTTCTCTTTATTATTTTGATATCCAGGATTGCCATGGCTAAACTGTCTTGGTTTCCCTGAAATGCTTTCACAGCCATGCTTGGAAGCTGGAGCATTAGCTAACTCTTCTACAACATTCTCGACTAAGCTGAATGTTGTTAATGCCCAAAGTTCTCTTATGCAGTTCATGACTTTCCATGACAATCCGACTGATTCTGTTGTCGAGTTCGGAGAGTTCCAATACTATCTGTTAGCTGCTCAAGGATTGGTTTGGTTCCTTGTTTTTGCGGCTATTTGCTTTGGTGTTCGATGGCTCGGAAAGGTATGTTCAAAAGAAGCTTCTCTATTGATGATCACTATTTAGGTTATTCCTTTCTTTTTCATGGGATCCTTCAGCATAATGCTTACATTGTTTGTTCGCTCTTGGACATTAGGAGGCCTTCCTGAAATCCTGAACGTTTATTGGGTGGCTACCGATTGGAACCGACTAGCTGACTATCATGTACATATCACTGAAAACATGAGATTTATAAGTTTCTTATTAAAGGTCTGGAAGTTGGCTGTTGAACAAGCAATTCTTGCTACCGGCATTGGTTTTGGTGCTTTCATCTCTATAGCTTCATACAATAAGCGCAGCAACAATCTTGTTGGGTATGCAAATGAGATATTAGACGATGCTCATTACTCACTATTACAGAGATTCCATTCTGATCGTGTTTGGTCATTGTGTACTAACTGCAATGCAGGTTGCTGTTGTCGTTGGTCTCGTAGGATTCGTATCCATGAAGACTGGATTAAGTCCTTTGGAAGTGATGGATAAAGGTTTGTTCCTCAACTCAAAGATGATTTTATCAATTATGTACAGGAGAAAACCAAATGTGGCATATTCTCACATACTTCTCATATGTTCCAAACACCAAGCTCTGGTCAGCTTTGTTCCTGGTTGCTTCTGTTTTCGTACTTCTGAATGTTTTCGTAAGTCTACCATTATAAGAACTTTCATACTCTTCTTTTCAGTATCTCCTTTCTATTTCTGTACTTTCTACCTTGGAAGATGCTCTTGGCGAGAAATGGTCTAGATGTTTCCCACGATTCGTATTAGCGATGTTCACTTGTGGACTCGTCTTTTCCATGTCACTCTATTTCTCAACACAAGCTGGAAGACATGCCTATGAACTTGTTACTGGCTTCATGAAGTACATCACGATTTTCGTTATTCTGGCCTTTGAGCTATTTGCCACTGCTTGGTTCTACTGTAAGTTTCCTGTATGTTCTTCCTTGTTATAATGTTCTTCTAGGCGCTCATCGTCTGGGAATGGATCTCCACACTATGCTTAGAAGAGCTTGTTGTTGGTGTTTGGGACACTTTATCCTTCTTTTCACATATCTTCTTCCTGTTTTGCCTGCCGTAAGTTCATATTAACAAATTCACTTAACTTTTCTTTATGACAGGGTGTTGCTGTTCTGAACGCTATGTCTTACGACTTCAGTTCGTTCTCTCCAGCAATTCATGCTTGGCCATGGAGCGAGTATGTAGGAGCTGCTTGTGCAATCGTTCCTCTTATTCCTATACCATTATTCTTCTTTGGAGCCTTACTCAAAGCATGTTGTTGCCGAGATACAGCTGGAAATACCAAAGGACAAGTACGCTTAGTGTTTCCTTCCCATCTATGTTTTTTATATTTTCAGAGACTTAAAAACACTGTTACGACCAGATTGCGTCGAGATCACTCCCATCCATACAGCCATGAGAAGGCTCCTCCTCCTCGTTACACCGGAAGTGCTCCCGGTTACTTACTGTTACCGCAAGCTCCTCTGGCAGAACCCGAAACTTATGCTTGAGTTTAAACCTGGAATGTGTCTCTTGTTACATATTTGAAGTGGTTTTCGCTTTTAATGTGCTTTTTCAGTTCTGTTTTAGGTCCGGTGCTACATTTTTCCTTTCATTTCATTTTCATTAGACGAAGATCAATTATATAGATTCTTCGTAGCTCTTTCATTTCGCCTCAGGCATTCATTACTTAAATGTTGAATTGAACATTAATATGTGTGTTCACCCAGCACCTCATCCACTTCTGTCTCTTTACATACGGTTTTCATCGTACAAGCTTTTTTTTTTGTTTCATTTTGACTTTGTAAAATGATTTTTGTTGTACGATTTTTCAGCTTCATCTTCTCTCCATATGTAGAGCTCATCTTCAACCAGAGAACATGATTCTGAAATGAACATGTTGTCCACTCATTATTAATATATACATATACATATATATATATATATATTTCTATTTGTATTTATGATTGGATCACATCGATTATCCAATTCATATCGAAATTTTTATTTTCTTCTTGTATTGTCAAACAAACAAACAAAAAAGATTTTTTTTTGCTTGCTTCTCTGTCTATTCATCATACTTCATCATCTTCATCTTCCCTTCCTCTATTCAAAATACTTAATTTAGTCAAAATGATAATTGTAGTCGTCAAAGCACCTAGAATTATAATTTTAAAATATTAATAATATAATAATAATTAATAACTTTATTCTTTTTTTTTTGTTCATCATGAAAATAAAATTTTCATTCATTTTTATATGATTTGGTTTAATAGAACAGAGAATACACATGAGCATTCAAATAGAAATTACAATTTTTGATTTAAACAATGTACAGCAGAGAGATGTCATCAACTATCAAAGGCACTGTCTTATTATTAAATTTTATAAAGCCATAGAAGAGAGAAGTTGGAGATAATTAAATAAGCTTTTCAATTGTAGCTTGATGTTCATCTGGTTGATATTGAAGACCATTGTACAAGCGATAGAAACAGTCATGACAATACGGCTTCTTATCATGTTCACGATAAGTACCATGCATGGTCAAAGCCTAAACGAACAGATTATTCAAAATCAAATACATCCCGCGCATTTGATGTAAATGTACGTGGTACGTGCGGTCCACGCGCGTGAAAAGTTTTTGAATTGCGAGAAGCGCTATTTTGAGCAATGCAACCGCGGCGACCGGTTGTGCACAACAAGAAGAAGAACTCCTCCGATCAACTCAGGTATTCGTTTTTTGAATGTTTTGGACTAGTGAGTGAGTGAATCGTACAATCGCATCGGATTTTGATTTAACTTTGATTGCTTACCTTTTGGCAGTAGGTGCACATGAAATGATAGGTATGGAACTTTTGAGCGCGGTCTGAATTTGGAGCTAAAGCTGTGAGAATGGCTCCATCAATTTCTTCGCTACAGTATGCGCAGACTACTGGAGCAATTGGGGGAGGTGATCCCTTAAATATCAATATATTGTTTTAATCAACACATTATTGGCTACCTCAATTTGTAATGTTCGGCGAGGTGTCTCTGATCTAGCTCTACGTTTCATTAAGCTGTTTGTTTGGCTTTCACTCATTTCAACTCCGTAATCGCGAGAAACTTCATCAACGGTGTATGTGTCCTCCATTGCTGCAAGCGATTGATATAATCTCGCTTATGTTAATGTAACATACGTGGCTTTGAAGGGGCTCTGTGTTGTAAGGGCTCATCTGGTTGTGGTGTCAAACGCAAATGGTATTCAATTTTCTAAATCTCAGTATTCTCATTTCTATTACGAGTAGTTGAGTATACCTCCTTTTGAGCATTCTTGTTAGCATCCTTATTTCTGCCTAAAGTTCCACGTCGTAATACCTCAGCTGTTGCATTTACATCATATACAAGTGCAGCTAATGTATCTGTTACAGCGTTCGTTCCTGTATTAACATTCAAATATTAGTATTTATCATTTTATTTTATAATCACTTTGATCTTTCTTGATTCTTCCCAGAGTGTTTTGCATGTCTTCATTAGATACAGCTCTTAAGCGAGCTGATAGCCATTCATCTGATGGTTCAACAGATATTCTTCCAGTAACTTCCATCTCTGTTTGGAATTGTCGACGTTCCAAACGCTGAATTGATATCATTAACTGTTTCAAGCTATAATACGATATACCATTTGTTCTTGTTTTCGTCTAATTAATTCAGTTGTTTGTTCGACGTCTTGCTTCAGTGCTGACAGTGTGTCATGAACTATCTCATCCTCTGAAAATGAAAGAATGAGATGCGATACTTTTGTCTGTTTTTGAAAGAATGTTTATGGCTACATACGTTGACTTGGCTCTTCATCATTTTTGAAAACTCTGTCCCTGTTTGAGTTGCGACTTTCACTTCTCCATCTAGCCACATGTCTTTCGACTGGATCAGGAATTGTTGATGCGCGAGAATCGCTTCTGTTATCTAAAAAAATAAAAAATTCTCCTCTACATACACAACATTAAGCTGAATACCATGATGGCTAGTCCGTGTCTCACTCCTATACTGATATGATTGAGAGGATGGCACTGGAGATGCTGCCGTCATTCTTAAAAGCTATTTTTAATTTGAAGTAAGAGAGCGAGAATGTTTGAAAAGACAATGAAGTACTGATGTGTCTTGATAGTTTTAGTGAACATGAAGAAATATGTGGGAAAGGGAGGAAAATGAGAAGACTATGGATCGATTAATTGTAGAAGATTTTCTGATGTGAGAAAGATCTTTAGATCAAGCCAGCTGGTCAACTTTCAAGCGCACAGTGGGGCACGTTCAAGTTACACTTTGTGAACGTTAAAAACAGCTTGTCTTGGTTGCATGCAAAATTGGCATTGAGCTTCAAAAAAGATAACGCATGTTCATCCATGCTTTATATGGAATGCCTCATCAGTTGACAGCAGAATGCAAACGTCATTCGAAGAAACAAAACGAAGATTATGATTGTTGTCTCTCTTCAATAACAAAAATATCAGAAAAGAAAAATGAAAAAGAGTTTCTAATCAATATTTCAAAAAACTTAAAAAAGTTTGAATATGAGAACGTTCGCCATAGATGGATGCTAGATGATGCTTGCAAGCACCGAAATTTAGAATTAGTGAATGAGGCGGTTAGAGTATACGGGGGCGAAATGATTGCGTCTAGATTCTTGATTTTTAAGTTATTTCAATGTATTAGAAACGCTGAACTGAGAGAGACTAGTTTGAGTATGCTAAGGCTATTGTTGAAATTGAGCGTTTTTGTCAAACAGTGACATTAGAGGCGGATGAAGTACGTGAATAATCGGAAACATCTATATTAGGAGCAAACCGTTTGTTTATGTTTAATATGAGTCATGTATGAAAGCTGAGAAACTGTTAAACGGGCATATGGTATGTCAATGAGTTAATAGAATATTTATAATGTTTTTCGATAAAGAATAAGGTGATGAAGCTTGGTTAACAAGAAGCAAGTGAAGCAAATGGCAGGACACACCAACCCAGCAAAGATATAAGCTGTGAGTGGGTGGAGAAGCTTTAGACTGGAAGAAAGATAGGAAGAAAAAGAAAATGTTAAAGATTTTGCTTACCATTGACTTCAGAGAGATGTCTGTTAATCTTTGAAGCTATAGATTATTGATTTTGAAGAGAGAGATAGAATTTTTGTTGAAGAAAGATAGTTGTAAAGATTGCCTAGAGCAATACAACTGGTCACAATACCCCCTCCCCTCTCAACTATATGAGAGATAGATAACATAATATAAGGTGGTTGAGGTAAAAGACATCTGAAGTTCGGTATAGCATACTCGCCTCTCGGAATGTTTACCACTTCTGGATATGTTTACTGGAACAAGACGATTCCGATATATAGAGTAGTTATGCTTCTAGCTATGTGCTTCATCTGGTCGTTAAATCAGTTAAAATGCTTAAAAAGAATAAATTTGTTTTTTTCTTTGAAATATTCTCTCTCTCTCTCTCTCTCTCTCTCTCTCTCTTACTTTCTATTACTCTTTCTATACATTATGCTCATTTCATTTTGGTGTGAATCGTCCTTGCTGCTCAGAAAAATAATATAAAATTCAATAAAATTCTGATGATTAGAAGTCTAGGGGTCATTTGAAATCTTGTGAATTCTGATTATTCTCGCGGGAGTTTGAAGAATCTCTTACAAGAATACTAGTAAAGCCATTAAGTGAGAGTGAGGCCTTCAATTAACGACTGAATTACATTATTCTGAATGTACCCGTTATGTAGATGTGTAATAGAACTTACACAGTCACACACATACACACTTACAGAGAGGGAGATAGATAGAGAGCTATTAACTCTGATAGATAATTGACTCTCTCTCTCTCTTCTCTCTCTCTTCTCTCTCTCTTCTATTGGAAATGATTAAACTGTTCTCAGTTTTGTTTTTATTTTCTTATTTTTTTCATAGTTTAATCATTTCAGAATGTTTGTGTACTCTTTCTATCTCTTCCTATGAGTATTTCAATGCTCGATTGGCATACTGACAAAGGCTGTTACACTACCAGCTGTCGAATTTCACATTTTGCCTGTAGCTAAAGCTTATCTCTCATCTATTTCTTTATTTTTCTCTCGCACATCTCTTCGAAATGCTTTATATATCTTATATCCAGGTTGATGGTTCGTTTCGAGACCATAGCTGTCTCATGTCGTCAATGTCTTTTAACTCTGACCTGACTACTTTTTTCACACTTATATCTTAATTGATTTGCATTAGATTTATAAATGATTACATATAGTTAACTATGCTTATATATATATTTATATATTTATATATCTATCAGCCATATGTTATTCTATCAAATGCTTATAACGTTAAAGAAATTTCAAATGTTATTTTTCATGCGGTCGTTTTGAGTCTCTTCATCTTCCGAGCTACTTCTTATCGCTTCCGTCTACTTATAGTCATCATCTTCCTGTCTCCCATTAATGCTTTTCAAGCTTAGTTGACCCTTTCACTCCTTTTTTGACGTAAATTCACGACGTTCCTTTTGTCTGCATTCTTGTGTATGTGTGTATGCTTTTAGTTTCTTCTTGTCCTGAAGTGATGTTGAAGCTCTCTTTGACCCTCCATGTGCTTCTACTTTATAATCGCCTATCATCTATATGCAACTTGACTCAAATTTTTAATCTTTGCGCTGTCCTCCATGTGCTTTCTTAGAAGATATATTATGACAAGCAATCAATGTCTATCTCATTTTTTGTTCCTTATTTCAATGGCGGCTTTAAGCTTCCGTTATTTTAGTTTCAAATGTTTCGTTTATTTTAGTCTACTATTTACATGTATATCTAGTGCTCCAGTAAAAGGTTACACACATGTTTTCTCCGGAATTATAATGTAGCATTCAATACCTTCTGTCATCTTCAGTTCAATCCCTTCTCTTCCTCTTTCTCCTTTTTCTCTAATTCTCCTTAAAGAATGCTTATACCCTACAACCCAAAACGAAGGCCAATGCCATCGATCTCTCTTTCTACAAATCTCTCATTTGCCATTCCCTTCTATCTCTCTTTCTCTCTGTAAGAAACATTTTTGTCATTTTGTGCAATTACATCATGAAGATGTTCGTCATACTTGCTTATGCAGTTTTATTCATATTCACATCCTAATATGATGATGACGATGATGATGAGGATGAAGGTTGTTGTACATGAGCTTCATCTTCATTATAGCTTCCTTCTTTCTCACAGATTTTTGCATTTTTATTTTGACATAAAACGAATTTCTCTTGTAACTTCTCAACATGCTTTCTCTTCCATCAAGAAGATTTGCAAAAAAAAGAAAAAAAAAGTTTTAGCTGTTACGAGGAAAACATAAAGTTCATTCCCATTCGGCAAACACCCCAATTGCGTTTCAACTAGCTCCAGCTTTTCTTCAAAGTCACCTCCAAAGTTGAAAACCATTGATGCACTCTCTACTTCTCGATCATGCGCTTTGCTTCCAACATCTTATAACCATCATCTCCAGAACTTTTTCGTTTTGTTTCAGTTCTTAATACCTTCAGTTTACATATTGAATGCCACACATGGCGCTTCTTTCGTTTCACGTGAATAAATTATTTGGAAAATTAGCATATTATACTTAGGTGTAGGCTTTCAACTTACATTTGACTCTGAAAGATGATTCGGCTTGTTCCGTACCTATCTATCAGTTGTTATTATGATCTTTACTACTATACCTGTCTTTCATGCATGATCTGTTAAGCTTTAACTTATATTGATGTTTCAGGATGTTTGATGAAGAACATGGATAACATCTTCAGCTTCTCCCTCTTTATATGCCTCTGCTCCTTACCCCATCACATTTCCAGCCGTTCTCAAACAATTTTCCGTGAGTTTTACCTTTCAAGCATTGGAATTTGAATATTGGTTGAAACTATGTTACTCTTCTGCGTTGCGTGGGCATGACATGATGTTTGAGAGTGTTTTCAAAATTCTTCTTCAACAACTTATTATAATTTGAAATTTAATAGAAAAGTTGTTGATTCTCTAACAGAATCTGCTTAATGCATAGATTAAACTGATTCTGTTTAACTTTCGATTGGATTATGAGGGAGAAGAAGAGCAACGGGTGCAACTTCTCTTTTTTTCATTTTCTTGGTGAATAAGATGTCTGGTATACGGCGATGCAGTTGATGAAGTCTGCCATGTGATCCATGCTGTAATGCCGTTTGTGGCTGTGATGTTGAGAGAGGATTGAATCATTTGCAGAAAATGATGAAACAATCAAATATCGCATCAGTTTTATGAAAAGCGAATCGAATTGACATGCTGCAATAGCACAACATTACGAGGGAGGACCTAGAACAAGGGCAGTGTCCATCTATGAAATAACGAGCTGTCAACTAAGCTAAATCCCATGGGTAGTTGGAAAAGGATGAAGCACAATCCTGTCTTGTGGAAAAACAGAGGAAACGCCTCATATTCGATCACCATGAATGTAATGTTTGTCAATTCAGCCAGCAAGTGGTGAAGAAGAACACTTATTTATTTTATGCTGGAGTAAGTATTGCTGTTGAGGATTCAGAACATGACGTTAAATGCTTAAAAGATTAGCGAAATTATTAAATATGAATAATAGATATATAGAATGTTTCACTATTTTCATATAGTTGGTGCTTGAAAAGAGACAAGCATAAGTATCGATGCCGTCGAACGATAATCTTAGAAAAGCCGGACTCTAGACGTGAAAGACAAGATGATGGACTTCCATCTGTGCTTGCGTCGCTCTATGAAAGATGGCCCAAAGAAGTAGCTTGGTCTTTGCTTTATTGGTTAAAAAACCATATGGTCTTCTCATTTACAGTCCTTTTAAGCTTTTCAACATGAAAATGCTTTTGCATAAGTACGATACATCATATTGGCTTATTCAATTTCATATAGTTAGCAGCTTCAGTTAATTCTATTTCATTGTCTATTAGCATGTCCCCATCTGATGTCAACAATCAGTTTTTTTTTCTCGATTTAATATGATTATAAAAGTACTTTATTCCATTTTGGTACATTTGGACGATGTGTATGCGTGTGTGTGTGTCATCACGTGAAAGTATCCAGACGAAGATATGACATCAACACGAGTATAAGTGAATCTCATACTCTCACTTTTTGTCTGATTCTTGTCTACATCTGCTGCTCTTAATTTAACTCTCGTCATCCATATGATGAGACGTTTATTTGAATTTCTTGTTGTCTCTTCATATATTTACATTAGGCGATTACTAGCTACCGTCACACATTCTATCAATCAGCAAGCACTTGGCTGTCGTATGCTTGTCTTACCTCTTCTGTCTTCAGACATTTCAGCTTTTTCCTCATTTTATCCTTTCTCTTGAGCAGAAAAAAATTTATAATTAGCTTTTTCAAATAGTTCCTATTTGCTATCAATAAGTTTATTTTTATTTCTCAGGATTATTTCTTTACTACATCTCATTGTACTTTGTACTCATTTACTAAATACTATCATTCACCGCATATCATACGGTCCATTCTTGCACTACCATTACGTTTCCTTGTTTTCACCTTTGAAGCACTCATTGAAGCATTATAGAATCTTAGCTTTCATTATCTTAACTGATAATTTGCACATTTTTGTCTGAATGGAACGAATGCGAACACTTGAACGAGTCGTTGAGACACGCATAGATCTCTTGGAATGGGAAAAAGCCGAGCCAAAAGAAGACTGTGCTTCTTGTCGAGCTCTAGATTGCGATATCATTTTCGCCTTGTTATTCACAATGGTTATAGCATGCTTGCTCGTTCTGATCATGGTCTTCTGGTTAAAAGGTGTTCTGCAGTACGAAGAGTAAGTCCGATGAACTACTGTCACTGTGTGAGTGTGTGTATGTGAGACAGGGTGAAATAGTGTCTGTGTGCTAAAAAGTTCAAACAAAGGGTAACACAGTTTCGACCATTATCAAATCTGAAGTGTCTTTATATCATTTTGCTGTTTATTAGAATGTGATCGGGTATTCGATGAAACGCAGCCAAAGGGTGAATTCTCATTCCCAATACTTCCTAAATCACCAACAGATGATCTTTATAAGGATAATAATACCCGTCTGAGTAATTTGCAGGTTACTGAATATCATAATTTTAATTATTGAGTGTAATTAATAGATTATATTCATCATATAAATGTTATAATAATGATTTATAGTGTGTATACTCGTTTGTCGCGGGACAAGGGCAACGCGTAAAGCTGGAATTCGAACACTTTCAGCTTGCAGGAAGCTCAGAAAGGTATCCTTCGTTGCTGTTCTATTGATTCATTATAAACTTGTTTTTCTCTTTTTCAGTTGTGAGATAGAATATGTTGATATTTATTCAGAACTTGAGAGTATAGATTCAGATCTTCTCGCTGGTTCTTTAGGTGGCCGTTATTGCGGCTCTGTAGCTCCACATATCCGTATTAGGTATATTCTTATACTGTTTATTAATTAAAAAAAAACATTACAATCTCTTATAGTTTACGCCGTGTAATTGTTCTTGTCTTTCATTCAAGAGCTCGTGAACGTAGTCATGAATTTGGCTTTCGTGGTAAATACTCTTTCATTGCTGAAGGTATGCATACAGTCACATATTCTGATGTCTCAATATTCATTTTCAGCGAAATATGTTCCGGGTCGACGGGTTGATAGTAAAAATATGTGTACATTTTTAATTGAGCCTTCCAATAAGAAGAAAGGTGTTATTTTCTCTCCAACATATCCTGGAACGTATCCAAAGGTTATTCGGATGTTTCAAATTCTCTTCTTAATTTTAATAATTTTTTCAGAATTTTCATTGTTCCTATCTTCTGAGAGGTCGTAGTGGTCAACGAATTCGTCTTCTGTTTCGAGATTTTGATGTATTTTTTGGTGGAGAACAGTATGTTTAAGCTCTAATTACATATTTACTTAATGATATTCATTATTAGCTGTCCATATGATTCTGTTACCTTGTATGATGGCTCTCGACCAACTGATCCTATAATTAAAAAAGTAATTAACTATAACATTATTGGAATAGTTGTTTGTTAAGGTTTGTGGTTTGCAACAACGTATGGAGTTGTATTCTGTTGGGCCTGACTTACTCATTCATTTCAATTCTACAAACCCAGCCAAAGCTGATCCTCGAGGGTATGACATTCTTCCAATTCAAACCAAATATTTCATTTATATATCATTGTAGATTTGTAATTGAATATGAGTTCTCAACACGTTTCGTTGACATCGTTCAGTTGGTGAACGGCGAAAGAGGTGTTACTCACATGCGAGGAACTGAATGTGATATTCGTGTTGAAAGCAATCGAGAAACAATTCATTATATTCATAGTCCAGCTGTAAGTGTTTGAAGATTGATGTTCATTCATGTACCTTACAGTTTCCCAATCTGTATCCTGCTAATACTACTTGTGCTTATATTTTGGATGGCTTACAAGGAGATCAAAATTTAGAAAAAGTTATTGTAACATTTGAAGAATTGGCTGTTCTCTCAACCGATGCTGACGCGTAAGCTTAGATAAGTATATCAATAAGTTTTTGTTTTATTTGTAGAGTGAACTCTATACCATCAGGTGACGACATCACTTGTCCGGTCGCGTGGGTTGGTATAGCTACCTCTGAATCTAGCATGAAAACAGTATTATCCACAACTGATGACCAAAACTTTGAAACAACACTTTGCGAGCGCATTCCACCAAGTACTTTGTTTTGTAGAGTTTAATATTAATTATATACAATCACAGGATCGACACTGTTGGGACCTTATGAGAGCGAAGGACCACGCATGGTTATTCAGTTCGGTACAACGGATAAAATTATCAATGATGATATGAATCCTTATGGCTTCAAAGCCAAAATTGAATTCAAAACAGGTTAGCCGTTATCAGAACGTTAGCCGATTCGCATCTCTAATGACAGATTTTGGAGTAGCTGGTGAGCCTATGGGAACCTCAAACGAATGCCTATTCCGTTTTCGTAGTCCAATGGGATTTTTCAACAGTCCACGTTATCCAGCCAACGTAAGTTTATATTTAAGTTTTTGTATCATGTAAAATCTTCTTATAGTATCCTCTGGATACCAATTGTTCGTATTATATCCAAGGTGTTCCTGGACAACAAATTCTCATTTATTTTGAGCAGTTTGCTCTTTTTGAAGAAGATGAAAGGTATGTACACGCACAGATATGTTGCATTCCATTTTCCGATCCCGCTGTTAACCGTATTTCATTTTAAAATTTACAGTTGTAAAGATTGGTTAGAAATATTTGATGTGTTTCATGAACCAGACGGATCAGAACGTTTAGCATTACAAGGTATGCACTCTAAGGTATTATACTCTATTGCTATAATTATTCACAGAAAGATACTGTGCTGGTGCATTCCCAGGTCCAACTGTGTCTGCATTCGGAGCGCATGAAATGCGCGTGATCTTTAGTTCTGATTCATCTGGTACAGGAAATGGGTTTAAAGCCTTGTATGAGATACGGCCATCGCGCAGAGAAGACATACCTTCCACAGGTTAGAATGTTTATCTATCATCCAACAGCAAAACAACTCAAAACAATATTATAGATACGCATGGCGGTAATCGATGTGGTCGAAAAATCTATGCATCGGCTACATCTCCAACTGGAAGTTTAACTTCTCCAAATTATCCTATTAAATATACAAAAGATGTACATTGTGATTGGGAGATTATAGCTCGTGAAGGATACAAGGTATCATACCAGTCTATTTCAATTTCATTCTTAATGGATTCTTCAAGCTGCTATTGACAATTTCCGAAATGGAAGTTGAAGGAGCAATGACGGCAACAACAGCAAACTGCCAAAAGGCTGCTATACGTGTTGCTGGCGCTAGTCGAACAGAATACTGTGGAACTGATCAAGCAAGTTTTGCACCAGTTGTAACTCAAAACAATACTGTACGAATAAGGCAAGAAGCTTAAACTAATCATACCTATATGAAATCATTTAGTTTTCTCACAAGCCCTGATAAGGTGAATGGGTTGAAAGGATTCAATATGACTTGGACTGAAGTCCGTCAAGTGAATGGTATGAATGATACAGACATCATGAAACAAAACCATTTTTTGTCTTGATTTATAGAAATGTCCGAATGTTCATCGTCAAGTGAATACTTGTGTACGTATTCGCGATTATGCATAAGTGCTGATTTGCGTTGTAACGGAGATGACAATTGTGGAGCACATGATGATACTGATGAAAGCCATTGTAAGTTGAAGTTCTCTTTACCAAAGTAATTCAATAAGCTGTTTGTGTATGCATGTTTAACACCAGTAGGATTATACGATTTACATAATTTGAATCTGGAGAAAGGAAACTGTTGTTCTATTGATAGTTGTTTGCGTGTGACACATACGGAAGTTGGAATATTGAAGAATATGACAAAGCTTAATGTCAATTGCTAATAGATTGATAATGTGTATGATATGATAATGCTTGTTTATTATTTATTGCTTAATTGCCATAATCCATACGTTTGAGGTTTGGCTACGCGTTCAACAGTATATGATTGGCTGTCTGTGTTCTCCGGTTCCTCTCTTGTATCTGTCTCGTCAACGTCTTCGTCATCATCCTCCTTCTCATCCTCTTCTTCATCTTCTTCCTCGTCTTCATCATCTACGTCTGTGTCCACGTCTTCCTCATCCTTATCCATTTTCTTATCATCATCTCAAAAACTAATATGTCTATCAACATCTATCATTATTCTATCCATTTTCGATCTATACTGAAATCTATGTTTGCACAGCAACTACTTGATGCCATCAGCTATACGTGTTTCTTTTAATAATTAAGAAATCAATCTTATTCATGTATTATATGTAGCATCCCATGTTTGTTTGATGTTGAAAGTGTTTTTTCTTCTTCATGTAATGATGACAATGTTTTCATTAGTTTATGCATATGCGGATATCTGTATTGAGCTTCATCACTTCAGATGATATATCTATGATGTATGTTGTTTGAATGCGCTGAACGGTTGTGATTATATATTTCCTTAGAAAATAATAATCATTTATATATTGTCTAAATGTCTTTTGATTGATGTGTTTATTATATATATATACATATGTTTATATATGTATAGATAGATGAGAAGCAGCCCAGCACATACGCAAATGACTATAACCGTTTTGAGTTTATATAGAGTGCATGACATAATATGATGTTTGTTTAAAATACATTTACATATGTGAAAAGGCAATATCTCTATTGAACTTTAGGCGAATTGGAAATAAGCTCAGCTGATAAGACAATTGTAATTGCTGGAGTATTTTGTGGATCTATCTTCTTGTTCATATGCGGCTTCTTCTGTTACTTATTCAAAAAGAAATTAGAACGTAAAAAGAAGAAGCAAAGACATACATCTAGTCGACATCGTCAACGACAACCATACAGATCACAAAAGCCAATGGGAAAAGCTGGACATATGAATGATTCGTATGTTATCATCATACAGATAGCATATTAATAAGAATTATTTAATTTCAGTGAATTACCATCACCAGCCACATCACGTTTCGTTCATCATGATGCTACTGGTATTCTGCCGCCCATCACATTACAGACTATCAATGATCCGAATGCTGATTATACCTTCTATGGCTAATTAGATACAACAAATAATCATCTTGAAACATTCCTCATGTTTATTTCATTATAAAAATTAAGTACGATGAAGTTGATGATGATGGATCCTGTTCACATCATCAACTTCCTCTTGTAAGCTTTAATTTGGAATATGTTCATGTACAACACCACGTGCTCAAAGCCTTTCTTTTTCGTTTTTGATCTAAATTTTTAAAAATTTGAATAAAACATTTTAAAAATCTCCATTCGATAGACCTTTTATGCAAAGTTCGTGATAAGAGAACTGTTTTCAAGTTGAACTGAGTTCAATCAACTTAACTCAAAATAGAGGACGCCTCGAACTCAACCAATGCAAATTCCCTTCGTTTTAAGTCTTAAAATGTCGGTATAAAAGCTTGTCGTACCTCCATATATGTCAGAAATGTGTTAAACTCTCATCATGTTGACCATTTTCAGGTTGAATGTCTGATACACTTCTCGGCTTATCTTATTCCATTTTAACTTGCATTTTCTTTGGTTCTGTATTTGTTCCCGTCAAGAATGCTCCAGCTGGTGATGGTTCGTAATCATTCACTCTGAAATCATCAGCTGACATCCTATTATAGGTTTTATTGCTCAGGTTTTCATCTGTCTTGGAGGATTTTTAGTTAGTCTAGTGTATCACGTTCTCTGTGGCATACCTTCGTTCTATCCACAACCTCTACTTGGCGGGGCGTTATGGTGTATAGGTACTGTAGATTCAAACAATCTTAAATATTCAATATAATATTACTAAGGTAATGCATGTGCTATTCCATTAATGAACAAACTTGGTATGGGCTTAGCCATATTGATATGGAGTACATTCAGTTGTTTATGGGGATGGGCAACACAAAGGTAATAATCGTGTTGATCTTTCAACCTTACTCAATCGATATTGAAGATTCGGTCTTTTTGGTTTAGAAGCCGTTGCACCAAAAAGTGTTACAATGAATTATATAGGAATAATATGTTTAATCATTGGGTATGTTATACAATCCTACTACTCCCTTCACCCCCATTGCTTCAATACTCAAAATGTGAAAACCCTTCAGAGGATTGAGCTTTTCCTTCATCAAGCCTGTCACTACACGCAAAGAGAATAAAGAAACGGAATTAGAAAAAGAAGTTTGTTTTATATATTTTTGAATGAAAAAAAAATAAAGGTAATTATATCTTATATTAGGCTTATTATCCTCAAAAGGAAGAAGAAGTATCCGACCAAGCATTACGCAATAATAAAGAAATCGATGAAGCTCATCATCTTCCGATAGTTACAAAGCTATTGTCAGTCTTACGATAGTCTTTCATTCATTCAATTATATTTTTCTTAAGATTATGCTCATCAGCAGCTATAGTTGGATGCTTCTATGGTAATCTTGTCACACCTATTACTTATATGCTTGTAAGCTCATACATATTGAAGATTACGGTAATTGATTTGCATTTCAGTCTCATCCAGAGGTCTATCCCGATATTCCAAGAAGCTATACAGCTTATCTACTTCCAATATGGTCAGGAATTTTGGCAACATCACTAACTATATGTATAGCTTACTCGATCATCAAGTATACATTTCAAATTAATTATTTTGCATCTAAATGATGCTTACAGATATAAAACTTCCGTGTTCAATACAAAATGTATTCTTCCATGTTTTGCGTCAGGAATCATCATGGGCTTAGGATTTGTATTTTTCATGTTATGCAATGAACTATTGAGTCAGTCAATAGCTTCACCCGTATGTGTAATGGCTCCTGGATTTGTGATTGCTCTGTGGAGCACATTATATTTCAAAGAAATCAAGGTAAGCACCAAACATCCGTATGTCAATTTGCATTTGTGACAATACCTTTCGTTATTGCTGAAGAGCAAAATTTTTTTCTCTCTCCCTCTCTCCCACTTTCTCTCTTTGCCGTCCCCCCCCCACCCTTCTGTGATTGTTCCCTCCTTTCCCTCCTCTCCCCCACCCTCCTCAGCATACTTGACAACCAAATATTATTTTCTCTTTTCAATTCTTCATGATTCCTTCTGCTTCTTCTTCTCCTTTTTTTTAATTAATTTTCATATTATTAACTAAAAAACACATTATTATAATTATATTTTTGTGTTTAGGGACGGACTAACTTAATAATTCTTGGCTCTGCTTACGTCTTTACTCTCCTGGGAGTTATACTTGTTTCTGTCTCCAAGGACGTGGACTTTTTCTGAACAAGAAGAAGAAGAAGCGCAAGAAGTGAAGAAAAAAAAAGAGAATTTGAGTGAATTTAATCAAATTTAACTAAAAAATGAAAAAAAAGAGAAAAAGAGAAGCATTGAAGCAGAACTCTCTCAGTTTTCTTGCAGATAACTCAGGATTAGTATGAACTCTTTGATAAGTGTAATCTCTCTACACGTAATGCTCCGTATAACCGAAAATAAAACGATTCTTCTCCTTTGTCTTCATCTTTATCTTTCTTTTTCTATTTCTTTATATATACAATATGATTTGAATCGGCTGTTAGCCAACTCTTTGCTAGATCTTCACACATCGTATTTGAAATGAATCATACAAGGAAGAAAAGATCATATGGAAGATCTGAATGTGCTACGTTTAGTGCACGGCATATGATGTTTCTTATTCGATGTAGGAATATCCTTGTAGTTGGAAAATCAACGGAACGACACAAATGACGTCAAAATGGATGATGAGAAATGCTCAGTAAGTATGTTTTGGCTTGTCATGAATGTCAAAGTTGAGGAACACACGAATAACCTAGTACTACAGCTGGCATGTGTGTGTGTAGTTCTTGTCGTTTTTTTTCTTAGCGGAATCATTGAAGAATAAGATAGAGGAAGAGGAAGGAAGATGTATGGGAAAAGCCAAGAAACCCCAGACGACGACTCAAAGAAAAGACACTAGCTCCAAGTATATGTCTGCTTTTGGTTGTCTCTTGCGGCACTAGGCAAAAAGAGTCGTCCAAGAGAAAGACTCAAGACGTTGCTTGAGAGAGCGAGAGAAAGAGAGAAAGAGAGAGAGAGAAGAGGCAATAGCCGGCGGAGCTGATTCTGCCTGCTCTTGTGTGGGTTCTTTGCCGTCCGCCCGAATTGTAGCAGCAGCCGAGCCCATGCTTGAGGTCGCAAGTCGATCACCTCTCCATCTCCATCTCTCGTTTCAAGCCTAGCATCTTCCCACTCTCTGGCTCTCTTCTCACTCAATGCTTAAGTCTGCTCTCTAGCTGTTCGTATCTTCACTGCTCTTTCCGTCCTCCAACTATATCCGCTAGTAGTCTTGAAGCTTTAAATCCTTTCTCTAACTTGTATCTCTCTCACTGTTGTCTCTTATTTTATAGCTGTTCTAGTATTCATATCTGTCTTCTCTCTCCGTCTTCGCTCGCACTCTCTACGATCCTGTCGCAACATCTGCTGAGCTCTTCGAAAGCTCAAAGCTTTTTCCCGATCTCTTCCTACTCTCCATCTCTTTGCCCGTGTGCTTTATCGTCCCAACTTCGGCTTCTCTTTCTTTCTCTCTCTCTCGGCAGTCAGCCTCTTCTATTAACAGCCAAAGGGAATGACGCGAAGCGGCTGCGTAGCGGCTTTACCAATGAAGCTCTTGTGTGTTTGGCCATCCTTTAAACTTTAATCATATTTAGCTCTTACTGAAATTGTCTCCCCTAGTCATCGTCCATGCACCTCTTCTTGCACCTTCATCATTCGATTCCTCTCTTGTCTACCTCAACCTAATATCTTTCAACATAGAGTTTGGCATCAACATACACATACTTCATCGTTTTTTTTATTCAGAGGTCCAGCTTCTCCATAATAACAATATGGATTAGCTATAGACGATCAAGACTTTCATTTTTGTGAATAATTTGTAATTCTGATATTGCATTTGAATAAGTTCAAGTGTTCTTCTCGCTTCTTTATTCTTTTCTCCTTCAAATAGCCTGAAGCAAGACTGATGTTTGAAAATTTTGAGTTATTTCTTATTCCTTCTTAAGCTTCGTTTCAACCACCACCTCATCGACTTCCCCCCCCCCCCTTCTCTCCTTCCGAACTTCCCAATATAGAATTGACGACAACCTTTCCATTCATCTAATTCGTCGTAGTCACCTTTCTTCTCTTTTTCGACTCAAATTTTTTTTTCCAATTCAAACTCAATCGTTATCCAATTTTTCGTGTGAATAGTCTGTGGCTTGAGAGAATCGTATCGATTTATGATAAGTTATATATATATTTTCTCCAATATAAGATACATATACACGTAATTTCATTATGAATCAATGAGCAAAAGCCGAACAGCCAGAAGTGGAAATTATTGAAATTTTTCAACTCGAAACCTGATATCATAGCTTATGCTCATTCGCATTCGGCCGTTGCCGTTGTTAAATATAATTCTCATTAAGCCAATTAATTCCGTGAATTTCATTCAATCTATTTCTAAAAACATTTTTTTTATTTATATTATTCTTTTTTTTTTTTTTGAAAAAAAAATGAATATTGTAAAGAAAAAAAAAATTTGAGAGAAAAAAAAATTCTTTTGCGACACCGACGATGTCCACATCGTACAAGCTTAGATCTGAAGACGAAGCTTGGATGAGAAGTTATTTGCTGATTTATGGAGCAAAAGATTCATTCTGTGAACAGTCCACTTGTGATTGGTAAATAACTGTCGTGCTCGTTGACGTCAAATCTAATTGGATGGTTGATAATGAAAGAAGACAATAACATAATTATTTTATCTTTCTCCTTTGTTTCGTCTTTGTTGCTTTAAAAGGACCTTCTTCCGTTGACGTCATCGACACCTACAAATTGGAGATTTTGTTATTAATTTTCATATTCTGTTTGAGAACAAATATCCCAAAACTAATCCATTATTTCTGGTTGTGTGTGCGTGTGTGAGTGTGTGTCTGTGTGTGCGCCTGTGAGTGAGTATGTGAAGTCTTTCCAATGCTCTTATTCAGCATGTTACCTCTGAATTTGTTTTTCATGTTTAAACCTCAAGATAGTGGTCTTGTGTGGGCACATAGTGGACACGCTGTCTGTCATTTCTTCAGAATCTTTCTACGTTCCTTGGCTTTTACATCTCCATTCTGCTCCATTTGTCGCATCTGTTATTCATTTGAAACTGCCGTCGTCAAAGACACAATGCTTTACGTTTTTTTCTTCCCCCCACAGCTTCACCTCGCTTTCCTTTTTCTTTTCTCTTCATCTTTCACTCTGAGTATGTAGAGAATCTACGACTGTTAGTTTCTTCTACTCAACTCCAGATGCTCTTTTTCGTCACTTCTTACGTCCTCTCCCATTTGTCTTCCTTGTATGCTCTTTAACTGCTCCATTCACATTCAGATATCGCGCTTGGCCCCGGAAATCTGACGGCTTCTTTTGAATCATTTGATCGGCGTCTTCATTGTCGTCAAATGCCTTATCTCCTCCCCCTTTTCAAATGCTTAAGGACCAAGTTTCATTTTCTTTTTTACCTTCTTTTAGTAACTTCTGATTTTTATTCCCAGATTGTTTCCAAGGCACCGCTTCTATCTCAAAAACAGTTTTGTTGTTGTTTTCCCTAGTTTGTCTCAGCCTCGTTCGTCTCCATATTGCAACTTCTCCTCTCTCTCTCTAACTCATCCGAGTTTCTTCGAGTTTTTCTTTATTTTTCCTCAAAAACTAGTACTTGCTTCTCGCACTTCTCTGCACGCATGATGCTTTGTAAGTTGTATATATGAGCATGTAGTAGCCTAACCATACTCATCGAACTTTCTGGTTTGAGGTTTCATCTTGCCTATTACAAATCCATCCACATGATTTATTTTCCTTCTTTCCTTCCCTTTACCCCCACCCCTCTCCCTCTATAACACATTTTCAACCTCGTATCTTCCTCCCCCACTTTTTCATTTTTTTCTCCTTTTTTTTGAACAACATAGACATATAGAAAGCTACAAACAGCCCACAAACACATTCCACGCAGGACTCCAACAAACACGAGCAACAAGCATTGTCAGACATCTGACTTCCAGCACCATCGCTTCTGCGTCCCAACAAATTTCACGTCGCTCACTCATTTCCTACTACTATTGCGCCTCCCTCCCCGCTTCACAATATTTTCGCTATCAGCTTCCGAGAACTTTTGAGTTTTATTAGTTTTTCGACATTTACCTTTGTATTTAACTCAATTGATGAAAAAAAAAATTATTTTCATTTTCAATCAATCACGAATGTTTCTTCATTTTTATCGTATTTCACCTTATTCACCCTAACTTTACGCATTAGTATATTTGAGATTTTGCCAATAAAATGTACAAGGACAGCATCGCCATTTGGCCAATTAGTCCACATCCACACTGCCAAATTTGCTTTTCGCCAGTCTGGCTTGAGCAAAAACCTGATGATGAGGCTTTCTTTTATCCAAGTTTCTTTCTCTCTAACTCTCTCATTTTGTTTTCTTTTTTTTCATACTAACTAACCAGTTTCCAATTGTCATTCAGTTTAAGTTTTGAAGCTTTGATTTTCTCTTTTACTCAGAATCGTTTGAAAAAATTTCAATTTCTATTCCATTTTTTTTTCAGCCGCTCTCGTATAACGGCGGTCAGACTTCGACCAAATGTCTGGCTACCGCAGGAGGGTTAGTTGTCTTGCTCTATAACACAATAATATAAATATTTCTTTCAGGGAAGTGGGGATTCAAACTACAGTCATCATGATGATGACTTACTGGAAGCTGGAAACCGAGAAACACTTCGGCGCGATGCAGAACGTCAAGCCGCCCTCCAGCTTGAAAGAGCTAAAGTAAGACTCTTCTTTTAGAATGGTTAATATAAAACCTTTTTTCAGTATAAACCTGTAGCTTTTGCTGTATGTACAAATGTAGAGTATGATGGATCAGTAGATGATGATTCACCTGTACATGGTTGTGCTGTATCGTTCAAAATTAAGGACTTCCTCCATATTAAAGAAGTTCGTTTGTTTCATCATCAATATTAACGCCGCAGTTTTCACGTGGTTCACGTGATTCTTAATCGTAATAGATTTCATTCACGAGATGAGCAAAAGCACTTACCGGTTGCTTCCTGAGCACCAGCCTACTTAATCAATTCAAACAATTTTTTTTTCAGAAATATAATAATGATTGGTGGATTGGACGATTAGTCAAAGAAGGGCATGATCTCGGTTTTATTCCTTCTCCAGTGAAGTTAGAAAGTTTGCGTCAACAGACAGCTAAAGCAGGAAAATTGTAAGATTTCCTCTTCATACAGACAAATTTACAATCGCATCTCTTTCAGCAAACAATCAACGTCAACTTCAAATCTAGGTAATTTGGATAATATGATGCCACGTAGTGGTTCTCGAAGTTCAACTCCACCAACACCAGGTTTCAAATTTCAATGTTTTTCATCTCTTATCCAATGTCATGTTAGGAGACGATGAAGAGTTAAATGCTCCAAAAATGGCCAACATAGTCACAACTCCTCCAACAAAGGAGAAGAAGAAGCTTATTTTCAAAAAGGTTCATTTTTCAACTTCTAACATTTGAGATAATGTTTTTAATATTTAGCAAGAAAATGTGCCGCCTTATGATGTAGTACCATCTATGAGACCGGTTGTATTAGTTGGTCCATCTTTGAAAGGTTACGAGGTAACAGACATGATGCAGAAAGCCGTTTTTGATTATTTAAAACATAGATTTGAAGGAAGGTTTGTTGCCTTTTCTATAAAATGAATAAAATAAGTACATGTATTTTCAGAATAATTATTACAAGAGTAACTGCTGATATTTCATTAGCCAAACGTTCACTACTCAATAATCCTAGTAAAAGAGCATTGATGGAACGAGCTAATTCCAGATCGAGCAATAGTTTAGGTAATTACAATTCAATTTGATCTCTTTTATCTAATTTTAAATGTTTAAGCTGAAATCCAGGCTGAGATTGAGCGTATTTTCGAATTAGCTCGTTCAATGCAACTTGTAGTCCTTGACTGCGATACTATAAATCATCCATCTCAATTAGCAAAAACGAGCTTAGCTCCTATTCATGTGTACATAAAAATTAGCTCACCCAAGGTACTATCATTGGAATATATCATTATTAATCATCATACTCTAGGTCCTTCAACGATTAATCAAATCGAGAAGTAAATCACAAAGTAGAAATATGAACGTTCAAATGGTCGCAGCTGAAAAACTTGCTCAATGTCCACCGGTATGAATTCTATCTATGATGTACATGAAAAAGATTTTTCAGGAGCTCTTCGATGTTTTGCTTGATGAAAATCAATTAGAAGATGCTTGTGAGCATCTAGCTGACTTTATGGAAGCTTATTGGAGAGCTACCCATCCTCCTGTACGTAGTCCACCTAGAATTAAGAGAAATCCTATGGAGAACAGAGGACCAAGCACACTCTTCACGCCAGCCCAAATGATGCAGGTATGTGCTGTGCCGTTTCAAGTTTTGATTTTTGAAAAATTCAGGGAACTGGTATTGGTGGAGGTATGACCTCAAACGGAGGAATTCAGTTACAATCACAGCCATCGAGTGCTTCACTAGGAATGATGGGTGGTCCCATGAATCAGCAAATGGCTGGTGTTACAGGTAGCTCAACTTGGAGGCAATAAATTAAATTGTTATTTCTTACAGCTCGTCCCAATATGGCTCCTCAAATCAATATTCAACAGGTACGAAAAACAATTTTTTGATTTTTCTAATCAAAAGTGTTCAGCCTACGTCGTCCATGTCATCTGGCGGCATGTATTACGGACAAATGAACCAGCAGCAACAACAACAACAGCAGATTCAGAAGCAGCAGCAACAACGATTGAACGACCGGCATGGCTTTGATGAGTATGATGAAGTGGATATGCACCATGCTTATGAACGTGGCACTTATCGCTACTAAACAGCTTCTTGCCTGTATCTGGTGCTCCCACTTCCTCCTGCAGATGATAATTCTTTCTTGGTCACCTTCGTCACCTACACCGGTTTGACATCACATCGTTCTCGGGTTCTTCATTCATCTCCCTTCATTGACTTCCCCTAATAATTTTGTCGGTTCGATTACTAAGTTTTTCTACTTCCATTTATCACTGATTTTGTGATCATCTCAGATGTATATGTTGTATTCTTACTCATAAGATTTAGATTTTTTATATCCCGACGTCCCGTAAACCCTTTCTTCCGAAAAAAAAGAAAACAGTTCTACCGCTCGCCATTGACATTTCGGTTAAATTTCATCTACGTTTCTCAATTTTTTGTGAGAGAACTGATGACTCATATCTTTTTTTTTATTTTGTTTTGTACATGCAGATTAAAATATGAATAGATCGTATAGGAGCAAATAAAGAAGTTCTAATTTCATGTAGCTTTCGAATTTCATAAACAAAACAGTTAGTTTATATCTTTGATTTTCATTTGACGAAATATTCAAAACAACATCCTTATATGAACAGCTTTAGAGGAAAAGCTTTAAAGGTCTGTCATGAAATGGTCTCGCCACGAAGACACATGAGCCGTTGCTATAAATGCCGTTGGATTCCGTTCAAACTACGACATCCCGCATGTATTTGTAGCTTGTTAGTTCAACTTTGTTAACACGAAAAGCTATATATGGAAATAATCAGCATAATTTCCGTCTAATAGAGTAGATATGCCGTTATCATTGCCTGGAGCACTTCATCCTAGTAATAAGTTTTGTATAGATTGGTTCGTAATCGAATTTTATCATGCGTCATCCAATATTTCAGGAATACTTCAGGAATTATAGCTTATGGATCGCATAATACTATTCTCATAGTTGATGTTTCAACCTGCAAGCGAATCCAAACAATCGAGCATCATTCAGCCGCTGTAGAGAACGTAAGGTTTCCGTGAAATGTCTCGTCATTTACTTTCCTGTTGAAGATATGTTGGGCACCTTCTTCAACTTATGGAGAGTTTGGCAAGAATAATAGTACCCTGATAGCTTCTTCTGATATTGGGGGTCATATTCTCATAACAGATGCTTTCTCTGCGGTATGCAAGGCTCAATTCGTTTTGGCGGGGACCAATGTCTTGGGTATGAAGAATATTTCTTCGGTTCGCAAGTGTTGTTTCAGCAATGACATGGTATTCTTCAAATATGGATTCTACTAACGCTTTATTAGCTCTTCATTCCGGAAATACATTAGTTATGTGGAACACTGTTAAAGGGGAAAAAATTTGGTCACATACGTACACTCACAACCTTCTTAACATGGCCTTAGACCCGTTCAACAATAAGGAACTTGTTTGTGAGTTCTTCGAAGAAGCTCCAAGCATGTGAAATGATGTTTCAGTTTCTTCTACGGGATGTTCTTTGGTAATAGTTCGTGATATAAGCATGAACAAAGAGCCTTTCAATAATGGATTCTTCGCCAACCTTAACGAGACCTCTTCTATCTCTAATAATGTTCAATATCTCACTTATCACAAGGCTTACAAAAATTCGTTATTGGTTCTTGCAAACAATCAAGTATGTTGAAATAATTCTTCCTCTCTAGTTGTTGTTTTCTCCAGCTCATGCTCTTTGACACAGAGCTATGTGTAGTTCTTACCCAAACCCAGATGGAGTCTAACCTAGTCTCCTTGAATTCTTGTTCTCTCCGTGATGCCATTTACTCCATCCAATCCAATGGTTCAGTTACTCTACGAGTTGGAACTTACTGTTCTAATGATGACCGGGCTGATGCACGGTTCGACTTTGAGAAGGTATCTCTTTCTTTCTGGTTGATTACTATTTGGATATTCAGATTGTGAGCTCTGAAACTCATAGACATAGTGCCCAGCAAAAAGTTGTTGGAACATCATTATGTCCAATAACAGAATCAACCTTGGCTGTTTTGTACAACAGTGGAAAAATGGTTTTCTGGCAACTGGTACTTTGAAACATATTCCAATAATTTCAATTTCGTTTACTACAGAGTTCTGATGGCGTCCCTGTCCAATATATGAAAAGCTCGATAGAGAACTTCATTATTTTTGACAGTACTCTATCCACAAAGTCCGTTGAATCCCTCAAACTGTTTCAAACTGGTTTCATAGGATCTTTGAACACCACCGTTGGATGTGTAAGAATGAGACCAATGGATGAATTGGGTAAAACTAAAGAAGATAGCTTTGGTAAAAATAACATCATTTTCTGTTTATACACCGATTCTACTTAAGCAAGTTCTGAGTTTGGTGCTTCGCATGTTGCTGCTGTGGGTACCCATGCAGGCACTGTACATTTAGTCGAAGTTTTCAACTCGAAAGTTTTGCGGGAGTTCTATGTACAATCATCACCGATAAGGTATATTTCGCTTCAGAGTACCTGTTTACAAATTTGTTTCTAGAAGCTTAGAATGGGGCGGAGCTTACACAATTCTAACTGCTGGATACAACCATGCTTTGAGCACTACTCACATAGTAAGGAATGATATTTACGCTACCGATATCAGAACAGGTTCAGTGTCTATTTCTTATCCATCAAACGTTTATAACTCTAGGAATAAGCAGAAGAATACGACCTGAGTACGATGAATCACCGGTTAGCTTGGTGCGAGTGTCTTATTATCAGTAGGGAATTTGATTTTTGGGCTGGAGTTTATGTGTACTTATAGTTGCTACCTGGCGTTGGCGTTTCAACGAGAACCTCTGGAAATATGGGATTTGAAAACTTTCCGTCTTTTACGCAAAATGAGTCGAACTTGTCCTTTGATAGTGGATATGGTATTCAATTTTTTCCTGGTGAACTCATTAAGTTTTACTCTCAGGCTTGGTCTAGTAAGCATCATGGAATGAAAATGACAGAAAGTAGTTGTCAGAGCGTTTACAGAGAGAACCTAGTCGTTTTGGATTCTGGTAAATAGATATACAGTCGGCTTGAGCTATGGAAATTTCAGAAAATCGACTCTACCACGTTGCTGTGAAAGGCTTACACGTCAAAGATGGAAAGGAAGTAAACACTCAGGTGATAACATTTTTACTTCTAGTATGTAATATCTTTATTAGTGGAAGAGTGGAGGCTGGACTATTCGAAGCATGGCATGGAAGGACGACATGTTGGCTATGGGGGATGCAGATGGAAGAATAGCGGTGAGCATACAATATTCTGTTGCTTTATCATTGTGTTCTGAAGGTTTGGGATTTGGGTCGCAAGCTATCGCGACATATTCGTGCATCTCGCTTCCCAGTCTTACGGATGTGCTTCTCTCGTCTTGCTGGAGACCATTCGTTGGCTGTTTTACATCAGAGGTAGTCATAAAATATCATTTGGAAACAAGTCGTCTCTCTATTCTAGAGAGCTTGTCATTTGGGATACTGAAGCTCTGGTACGCATACAAGAAGTGAGTATCGAATCATCAAGAGCTGCATTGGATATGGATCTTTGTGGAATTTCTCCAATCCTATTAACGAATGACAACGTGTTCCGTTTTCTGCCAAGTTCTGCGAAGAACAACTCGATCGCTGAAAAAGGTATCAATGACTCTGTTTCCTATATATTTCCTAACTCAGATATTCCAATTTTGATGAATTCTTCTGCCATTGAAAAAATTGTAAACGACTTCGACATTGGACAGAGCGACGTTCCTTCAGTGTCATGGCTTTTGCAGAAAAAAGTATGTATCTTAAAATGTCTTCTCTCTCATTTCCGTTTTTAAAGACTCCTCGTCCTCTGATTGACGAAGACAAAATTGATTTGACTTCTGTGACTAACGAATCTCTACTTTCCCGATTCATTGGCGACAGATTTGGATATCTGCTTCTTGAGATTGTGAAGTTTGCATTAGATCCATCAGTTAAGAAAGAACAGTTACCTCCCGTTCTTCAACTCTTCTGGCCGAATGACGTGTTTAAGGTGCCCTCATTCAAATAACATCGTAAAGAGAATTTTAAGGAGAGAGAACTCAGAGTTACTTGTGCAGCTTGTGCTGCATCCGATGCCATGGAGAGCAGAATTGTTGAAAGAGCTGTTGTGACAGGTGGAAAAGCAAAAGTATCCCTACTCAAAATATTTCGTATATCCAAATCTTTTCTAGGAAAGAGCAGTTGATCGCTTAATTGCCAGTCCCGATTTGCGACATGCTAGTATGAAGGTATACCAATCAACATTTTCTTTATGACACGAATTACGTCTAGGCTGCTCTACTTGTCTCAAGTCAAGATAGTGAACAATCAAGGTCTCTGATTAAACTCATTGCCACTAATTTAATCGCATCAGATATGATTGAGGGTTTGTTGAACAGTTTCAGTTTCGAGAGAATTCACAAAAAACTTGCAGATGGAGTAGAATTGCTTTTCCTTGTTGGAGCTGGTGCTGATGCATGTAAGTATCTCCAGTCACAGAAGCATTGGGCAAAGAGTGTGGTTTATGCAAAAATGGGATTGGAAGATCCTAAAGAGTTGATCGCAAAATGGGTCGCTTATCTCCAAGAAGAAGATGTGGTATTATGAGAAATCAAATCGACTCAACTTACCAGTTATCATTCAGGGTTGTTACATTCTTGCTCAAGCGGCCCGTATGGAATGGCCATCTGTAGTTGAGGCTCTAACCAGCATAGGTCGGTCTCGTCTGGCTCATATCATTTTACGAACTGCCACAAGTTCACCCCCATCTACGACTGCTAGTGTTAGTGAATAACAAGTAATTTAATCAAAAGTTGAACGTTTTATCAGTTGAGGTTGTGTTATATTTACTCATTCCCATTCACCTAATTTATATATGGAAAACATCTTTTCATTCTAGTCCTTGAATTTTCGTGATTTTCGTATTAAGGGTTTCACTTCGTTAACTTCTAAACTTGTCATATGATTACTAATATCTTGGGTATTACAAGGTTGTTCCAAGTTCTGTAATAATTCTGAAGAGGTTACCATATTTTTATTATTATGTATATACATATATATCTTGATTTTGTAAATACTTTTATCATCATAAACTATAAAGCTTTAAAAGTTTTATCAATTACTCGCATAACAAACTTGGAAAAAATCTCCTTCCTTCTTGGTGCTCAACCCTACCAACTAATATGATTACATGCTAATTCCTTAGTATGTTTGTCGTAGAGATGTCCGTTTTCCATTTATCACAGCTGTTGACCACACTTAATGATAACAAATGACAACATGAGGTTCGACATGCAGAGTCGCATTCTTTTTCAATTAGATCCTTCTGATTTTATATATAAACTATCTCTCAAACGGAGAGAGTTCGAATACGAATATTCATTTTCGTTTTTCTTAAGCCACTGAGCGGTTGCATTCACTTGTTCCCTGACTTAGTCGCTTCGAACGCTCATACGTTATTCAAGTATTTTTCTGATTAGAAAATATACATGAATGTTTGTCTAATAAATGCTGATTAAAGGTTGTAGGCTGTTAGTGATAAGAAGAAATGACCTAATACAGGCCAATAAACAGAAATAGTTTTGACCAAACCACTTGTTTCCCAAGCTTAATTTTTTAATACCTGCCTAAATTAATCTTTTTTCATAAAAAAAAACAATTTCAAGAGTGCGGAGACATGTAGAGAAAGGTTAGAGAGAGAGAGAGAGAAAGAGTGTTTTATGGTGAGATTGGGCGGGTGTTTCCAGTTATATTTAACAAAACAGAAAATTGAACGAAAGAAAGTATGGACGATTGATAATCTTTGACAGATTATTGAAAAATTGTGATAAGTGTCAGCTTTTGTTAACACACCTTTTAGCCAATTGTTAAGCTTAAGATGTTTAGGATGTTTTGTGTTTGTTGAATTTAGTTTCATCATTTCAGGATTGTTTGGGCACAGATATGGTCTCATCAACTGATCAATGAGTGAAGACAGCAGGTAATTAACTTTCGGTTTTCGTTCATTGTTCGTACTCCTTATTCATTTAAAGTTTCAACTTTCTTCCTTTTTGTTGTTTTGTTCCGTCTTTTCTTTTTTGTTAGCTTTCTTCATTTTGCTGGAAGTATTCATCGCTGTCTCTCAAGCAGATTGTCTTTCATCATAACTTCTTCAGCCGTTCGCATTATCAAACGATTCACTCATCATAATGTTTTCACCTGCCACTGACGTTTTTTCGTCATCTTAGATGGACGAACTATTCACACTTTTTTTCAAATTGGTCTGGAAACTGCATCCAGATGGTTCTCATAGTCAAACACGTTCTATTTCACTTTATTTATTGACCTTTTACCTCCTACACTGGAATTCTTTTCCGTTCTTCTAATAGCTCCAATAAAACGAGAGCTTTATCCGCTAATCTCCTTCATTCCTTATTTGTCGTACTTTCCTGGCTTGTCTCAATGTGCCTATACAACCCATACTTTTTTGAATTTTTTTTTGCTAATGCTTCCTGACTGAGATAGACATGTCAAAGCTTACTTTTCTCTTTTCTTCATCCTCCTCCTCTCTCTTGGTCTTCTTATAAACGTGTGATTACACCGACTCTTCTCTCTTCCTCTCTCTGTGTTTCTCCTTCTCTTTCTCCTGAAGTTGACATTTGGCTCAATTCCAAAGCCGTTTTCTTTTTCTGCAGGCACATCATCGTGCTTTTCCTAAAACACATCCTATCTGCATATCATACTTCATTCATCATATACATTCATAAGTCGTTGTTCCACATTACGAGATTTCTAAAAACAACATATTCAAAGCTGAGAACTTCATTTTTCCATTTTCATCGTCTTCAATCATGTCCGTGGTCGTCTGGACATGCGGACGAGACGAAAGACGTGGCTGCCATTGCATGATGTTCTCTTCATAAGATGTCTTTCTTTCTCGCCGTTCTTGTTTCCTGTCTCTCTTTCTCCCACTGTTTTACTTATACTCTCTCTGTTTTTGTCTCTCAGGTCTACATACTCTATCTTTGCAAAATGTGGTTTTTCTTAAAATCTCAAAGTTGTGAACGCTCAGGCGATTGCCTTCATCTATCCAACATACGTAACTAACTCGTAGTCAAGTTACATACACGTCAAACTTTAGAAATTATTTGTTGGACATCGGCTACTTTTTTTCTTTTTTTACATCTTCTTCGATGCCTTTAGTATTGGTTTGAGTAAAGTTGTGAATTGAGGTGACGTTTGATTCACAGAAGTTTCATGTTATGACTATAAATAGCTCTTTTCATTCTCGTTTGATTCCTACTAGTTCAGATTACTCGGATGTTCCATTCTTATTTTTCTTCAACACTTTACTCTTTTTCTTTTTTGTTATATTTCTTTCATCTCTTTTTTTCTCATCTTCACATAATAATAGATTTTGGTATTTGCTCGTGATTTTGACCAGGTTCTACCATATTTGGCATGTTATAGCCTTGTCGTCCCTGTCATTAAAATGATCGTTTACAATTGAAAGTTCAGAGGTCGTTCATCGTCATAATCTTTTTCTGTTCTTCTCTAATCCCAATCGCTTTTTGTTGGCTGCATTGGTCACCTTTGCCTTCCTTTTTTTGTCTCCGTGACCATTCACTACTGAACAGCACGTTTTTCTAACAGAAATTGAAATCAATAAACGTTCCATCACCCTTACGATCGCTTGAATAGCAATTGAATGAATTATGCATAGGGCTGGTCGATCTTCTTCATGTTCATCTTCTGACTTCTGAAAAATGTTTCCTTCAACCAACACAGCTATCACTTAATCGTTTTGTTCATGACCTATAGTGTAGTTTAGGTGAAAATGTAAATGTTGGTGGCCATTAGCCAACACATACTTTTTTCTTTTTCAAAAGACAAAAGTCATCTATGATCCCCATCCATTCATTCCATCAATGGCATTAGTCGTTTCCATCAAATCATCTATTTTTTTTATTTTTTTTTTGTTAGAATTCTAGAGCTGTCGAGTCTTGACGTTTCCTTCAAATCGGTCATTCAAACTTCTTACCTTGTGTTCTTACTCAACCAATTATGAGGAGCCAAAACGGTTGTAGACAGCTTAGACTAATGCAAAGGAGGAATGTCATTCAAGGTCGACGCTGTCATGTTTTTACTAACGAATAGTTAAGTTGAGCCATAAAACGCCTTGAAATACCATATCTTTTGAGCATTTTAACGCATATCCACTAAAATTATTCAGCTTAAACGTTTTCAATTGTCTCCTCTACAAATTGACTTCTTGTTTGCATTAATTGCTGACTATTTCAATGTTTTACACGCAGGTTTAGTTTCTTTCTTACATGATCTCTGGGCATTTTGTCTCTATAAACTGGCATTTAACTCGCTAGCTCCATCTTCAGCTACCCATATTTGTGTGTGTTGAAATACATAGCAAACTGTGTATTCACATCCAAGATAGCATCTTCTCAGCTTCAAACTTCATTCATTGCTGTCGTCTTTAGAAAAATTTATTTGATTTTGAATATTTGAACAACCGTTCTATATCTTACACTGAAATACAAATTAAAAAAAATGTTTCTCCTCTCTTTCTCTCACACTCTCTCTCTCTCTCTCTATTCTCTCCACGTTCACGTTTAACCTATACCACGTATGCCACGTGAGTATGACATCATATGCAAATGCGCTTTTAGCTCGTATTTTCTGCTGTTGCTACTTGCTTTCCAAACCAAGACGAAGCTTTTGTTTATAAAAATTGTGAAATTGCATTGATTCAAGGAAATTTTCACTTTGCCTTCCTTCAACAACTCTCCATTCCTTCGTGCCGATGACTAGAATGTATTTTTGATACGGAAAAGAAGAAAATGTATCAAAAATGTATTTTGTGTGTTCCAAAATCATGTTCAGTCTGTCTAAACTACTCAGTGAAGTTTGCTTTCGTATTTCTTTGTTGATTTTTTGGTAACACAGAAGTTGTTTTTGTTCCTTCATCGTCATCTCTTCATCTATCATTCCTCTTCATCAAGACGGTCCTTTTTCTTTTCTTTTCATTTCTTTTTTGCATTTAACAGTCTTTGCGGATCTTTTCATTTGTCTTGGAGCTGTCAATCGGTAGCAAAATCTCTCGCATCTATCTACGTTTTTCGTTCATTCTTCAACCTATTCCCACCCATCGTGAGTCTTTCATATATCATGTAATTAGCCTATTCTCTGTCCTTACTTAACCCCCTAACCTTACCTTGCCCTTTACTTCGTTCTACCATTTCTATTTATACATATACATATATCATCTATCTTTTAAGTTTCTTTGAAAGTTCTTCTTTTATTTCTTTTAAAATATTTTTTTTGTTTTCGTCTCTGTTCTTTTCATTTTTTTTTTATTTCGAATAAGCTTATTGAACTGTTTCATTTCTTTGTATTTCGGATTACTCGTAACGTCTCAATATCATCCATATCATCATTCACTCACACCATTTCTCTCTCTTTATTTTATTTCAATTTTCATTGATGAAAAGGTGAAAATTCTTTTTTTTTTCATATATAGCTCTGTTTATAAGCTGCCTATAGGTCATTTGCATTCATATTTGAAGAATATGGAATCCATTTCATTCGTATAATGTTTCATTTTTGAAGTTTTTATCATTGACAACTTTACTATATATTGAGCGTTTTTGTGAAGATTGAAAAGAGCCAAAATCTCTTTCTTCAATCCTATGATAGATACATTCAGTTGATTTGATAATTCAATTGAAGAGAGTACGCTTTGCCTGTCAATTTTCTCGCCTCCCCCCAACGATGACGATAGTCCCCTAAGTTTCCTGAATATATATCTTCAACTGAAACATTTTCTTCATTTCATCCAGTTTTTTCTTGCTTTTCCACCAAATTCTGTTATTCGTCTTCTTTTTTTTCTCTTCTATCGTCAACTCGAGAAAAAAAAGGAAAAAATGAATATCCTATAAAGCCTTGAAGGGTTTTCTTTGAGCTGTGACCCCATATGACCTCTTCTAGTACTGACTGCCGGACACATTGCCATCTTTAGATGATTAAGAGAGAACGAGAATAAGAGATGATGCCAGAGTAACGAATATACAAAGAGAAAAAAAGAAGAACAGAGAGTCGATGAGAATAAAACAATACGTAGGCCATCGTATGACCAGGCTCTTCTGAGCTCCATCTGTGTTTTTTTCTTCGCAACCACTTCTCTTTATTTCATAACTTTCCTCTTTATAAAATGTGATCCTCCTTTTTAGTTTTTTTTTTCCTCGTTGTCTTGAGTATTGCTTCGCCTACACCTGTCTCTATACATCTGCCTATTTTGCATATGAGCTTATATTGATTGATTTTTCACGCAAAAATCTCACGCGATCAATTTTTATTTTCATGTGAATATGTACGAGACTGGTTGAGTTTTTCTATTGTTCTGTTAATGTTTCTATTCTGTACCACCACATGTTTCTCTTGTTCTTACACTCGATGTATGCCACTCTTCATATCCTGTGCGAAAATGTTGCAAAACGTTGAACTGTTTCATCAAGCTCTCCAGATCTTCGTGTTCGTTCTTTTTTTTCTCCATAACAATCGTTGAAATAGCACGAGTAGTCGGTGACATACACATGTGCTCAAAACGGTCAGTTGAAAGATGAAAGTTGCGCGACACTTGAATGCTGTAGCCATCTGATCGGTGATTTGTTTTATGATGTGAGCTTACAAGAACCAACTAAACCATTCATAATGTCTCTGATTTGTATACACCGGTAGCTCAACACCTCCATTTTGCATCATTGTTCTTTATATTCAAGAATATTTATTTGTTTCTCTTACTCTTTCTTTATATCCTTCATCCACCCTCTCTCTCTCTCTCTCTCTATCTTTCTATATCTTGAGCTCTCTTCATAATCTTCCTTTTCTTTGAATGTTGTCTTATTAAGTTTTCCTTTTCTCTCCTCCTGTTCATTTCTTTCTCCTGTTATCCTCTAGTAGATTTGACTTATGTTTTGTGTGATAGCATAGAAGATATTATTGGCTCAATATATGAGTTGAATCAATTATTTTTCTCTTGTCATCTCTTCGACCTTCTCAATCTTCTGACGCTGTCTGCTCTTATGTAAATACAAAATGCGCCATACACACAAGGCTGGTAGATATGAGCAGAGAAATATAATGTAAGTGAAGTAAAGGAAGCTTAGAGGTAAAGGTTTGAAAGAATCTTTGACAAAAAGAGAGAGAGAAATGTACCCTCTGTCTCTTAACCTCACTCTCTTGCTCTCCTTTCCAAATAAAGAAACGGATCGTCGCAGATAACTCTCATACCTCTCTCTATGTCCATTCAAACTACATAAAGCTCGAGCTCACCCTTCTATCTCATCTCAGCTGATTTCATTCTTTTGCTCACGAAATACCGTTTTGAAATTTCAATTTTTTTCTCATCCATCTCAAGGAATTTGTCAACAAAAAGCTTCTCTACGCTTCTCGTTTACGTTGATATTGTGATTAATCTGAAGATAAACCTACTCAACATTGAAGAAGTTTTTCTTTCTTTTTTCGATACTCGATTTCAGCATTTCTTTTTTGTTTTTGAAAGAAGAAGCAAATTCTCCGAATTTTCCGTATTGCATTAGCTTCCGGATGTACTGATGGTTTTTAGCTTTTTTTCGGTTCTTTCGCTTTGCCCCAATCAAAGAATTTTCGAAGAGTTGTAGTCTGAAACCATTCCAGATTCCCTCTGTCTCTCTCTATATCTCTCTCTATATATCTCTATCTCTAACTCTCTTTATCTTTCTTTGATTCCATTTTTTTATTTAAGAAAATGACTCGCTTATCAATATTTCAAAATTTTTCGCCGGTTTTTCATGCGAAGGTCGACATGCTGTCAGGTTTGACGCTCATATCGCATTTAAGCTTTGAAAATCTCCATCTATCCATGTTTCTCTCTCTCTCTCTCTCTCCTCACATATATCTCTCTACATCTTCATTTCATATATTCTGTTGATGTTTCCTTATTCTACCTGTTCTCATCTTTGAATTTTTCTTCTCTTGGCTTCGATTTTCTCGAATTATGTTGATGCTTACAAAAGAATTTATATTGATTTTTATTCTAAAATTATCTCATTGAAAACACTCATACCTCTCGATGAATCACAGTTAAGCCCGCCACGACTCTAATTTGCATATTCACGGATTGAACTCTCAATCAATACTATTGTTTGCGAGTTTCACGTGTTGGTGTCGTGAGAAATAATTTTTAAAAAATTGTTTGATGTGAGCGGTTGTGCTATGATTGTCATTGTATGTTGATGTTGTGTCCGTATAACTTATATCATATCGCATAGCTTATTCTTGCTGTCAACATATCACCTTCACACATTTTAATTCATTTCATTCAGATGTTCAACGATGCTCTCTAGACGTGCTCTTCGTTGTGCCGACTGTGGCGTCGATGTGGCCCAGCCAACAACATGTCGAATTATTGAATCAAATACGGAAGAACATGTGCCAATATTTGAAAGAAAACAAGAAAAAACAATTGAATTCTGGTGGTGTAGGGATTGTGTAGCAGGAATTTGCAAGTACGTTTGTCATTCTTTTTGAAAAATTTTGCATATTTGGACTCATTTTATCTATGTACTGGACTGTATGAGACAGAATGAAAGAATATGAAAAAGAGGGAAAGAGAGAGAGAGAGGAAGTAATAGATGTACAGAGAGACAAAGAGAGAGAGAGAGAGAGATTCTAGTTTAACACATATAAGGCCTTTGTAACAAAATTGAAAAATCAAAAGAACAAGAAATGTAGTGAGCGATATAAGTATTGATTTGTTAATTAGCATAATATAATAATAATTAATATTATGCTGATTATATAAATTAATATGAGCATATTATCCAAAATGTGGTGAATAACGGCTAGCCATGATGTAACAACTTGACCAATAAGCCACATTAAACAGCACAAATCCTAATGGAACACAAAATCTCGCATAGAAATCTATTTTGGCTGGCAAATAGTCGGGTTTTGTAAAATATTGTCGCACTTTATCACGTATTGATAATTGTGATGGATTATACTATAATATATTATAAATTATAATAGTTAATAATATATAAATGATCTCTTACTCGATGGCATGTACAGGGTGGCTGATAGATTTCTGCATCAACCATTTCCATCTTTTGGGCTTTCTTTCGTTGCTTACGGTATGCTTGTTCGCGAGCTTTTTCTGTCTGTCGACTACTGTCTTGATAACTTACAAATGCATATTCAATTAATGCTCCAAAGACGAATGTTTGACAGGCTGTAATGAATTATCGTTATGATTGTTGTGAGCTCTATGTGATTGATAGTTACCTCCTAGCCATACGTCAACGACTTTTACATAACTAACTGGTGGTAGCTTAGCGTTAATTGCTGATTGCTAGAATAGATTAGATTTATCAATTAACATTCATGTTCGTATAACCATAGTTGTCATAGTAAGGAGAGTTGTCACTCCAAGAGCAACTCGTCCAGCAGTAGAATGCATGTCAATCCAGAAGCTCACCCACGATACAATGACAATCATGGTTGTTGGAGCATATAATTGTACCAAATAATAACTATATAGATTATGAGTATTATGCTAATGATTATATGATGCAAATACCTAAATTGTCGTTGAAGTAGGAGCTGCATACGTAGACAAGCATAGGATCCTTCAACAAACAATCATTTATGCTAATTTATATTGTTTACCTGTATTTGTGTGACTGGTGCAATCGCTATTGGTAGAGATGTTTGTTAATTGGAAATTAGGTAAATCATTACCAACTCCAGCTTTTACTTGAACAGGATTTTCAAAATCCCATTCATATATAATATCCTTCAAATGATATAGTTAGCATATAGTTACTTAGATGAAGCATATACCTTCATTGTGTGAGCATATGATACCAGATCAAAATCACAAATTTGCAAATCCAAAGGATAAAGCTGAAGGTGCATATGACATGAGCTTGTTATGCTGATGCGACTGCTGTATAAAACCTTCAATAACACTTAATATATTTGAAACATGAGCAGTCCGTACTTTTCCATCAGGATGAATGCGCAGAAACATGTTCTCTGTGTCAATCAGATGACGATGAGCTGCTTTCTCAGTCTGAATACATTCAACATATAACTCTGTCTCTCTAGAGGATATATCTAACTGGAAAGAATGTATCAGGAATCCATAAGTTATTCTTTATATGTGGAACTGTTAGAAACTTTGGTGTATTCTTATATCCCAGATGCGCATATGCTAATCGACTATCCATCCATTGTTCTCGGAATGTCAATTGCATACTATATTCCTGTATAATCAGTATTGAATGAGATAGATATATGGAATAGCTTACCATATTTACAACATCTATCTTAGATAACATTCGGATCATAATATTAACACGTACTATTACTGGGCCACCACTTTCTTAATATTTATTATTAATTAGCATATCGTTGGTTGCTGGTAACAAGCTGGTCAAAATGGGTTCAAAACAAGTTTGAGCATACTTGAAGAAGCTTGTAAATGCTAAGTGCAAATCATTCTATATGTATCTATATTCAGTTTTCAATAGAAATGACTTCCTATGCTAAGTAGTAGGTCATTGCAAAAGTAGCTTCTAGGTTTGGACATGACTTGCCGCGCTTATATCTATACTATGCTAATGAATATTACATACCTGATGCATTAGTAGGTGGTGGACGTACTCGCATATCATAATTAGCCAATAATCTGTTAAGGATTTCTTGTTCTTGAGTACCTCCGGTACTGCTACGCGGAATCCTTGACATGATCATCTGATCAGATTGATCATCGCTTACAACTTCCTCAACTACATCATAGCTTGATGATAATGCTATACTATATGGTATAAGTTGCAATAATATGAATAGTTTGAGCGATAAAATATGTTTCAATCTCATCTTATTCGTTGTATGACTGCTTGTGTAAGGACAACATTCAATATTCTGAAATGATTTGAAGTAGTTATAATAATTATTATAAGAAAACTATTTGATTGAGAGAATGAATAACGTTTCCAAATAAGAAAAAGAATGTTTGGTTCAGGAGAGACAGGGAGAAAGAGAGAGGAACATCGGGTGGGCTTAGCTTCTTTCTTGGAATTTTCATGTCATTCACATCTTTCTCTCTCTCTCTCTCTCTTTCTCCCTCTCTGCAATCCCTCTTTGATATCTTTTCTCTCGTCTTATTCTCTCTCTTTATATATCTTTCTGTCTTCCTCTCTCTTCCCTTTCTTTACATAATATGAGAGGATGAAATAAGAAATAAAGGAAGAAGTAAAATACTCAAGTTGTCCGTCTTTGATTGGTTGACAAGACGCGATCTTGACTAAAGCATGTCTAATTATACCTTGAAGCTCATTTAAGCTTCTTCTCGTCTTTCGCCTATCTTTTTCAATATTTTTTTATCTGTCTATGACCTATCGGAACGTCAGATAGTATTGAGAAGTTCTGGTGAAATTAGGTCAATTAAGCGGGCCATTGAAAGCTTCTTCTAATTCATGCAAATTAAGACAATCTGTGGGTGAAGCAAAGCTCTTTGATGTTTCATACGTGATGTTTGCAAAAGTTGCAACATAATGTATGGATGAGACGGGCAAAGAGCAAAGAAGAAAAAAAAACGATGCGAAACACATATCGCAGTAGTTAACTGTTATAATTATGTGATTATGCTAATTACGTGAAAGAGATATGAGGATTGTCTAGAGATGGATGAATCATGTAAACATTCACATGCTTTCTCTTCCGAAATGCAGCACATCCAACATCATCACCAACTTCATGACGAAACTGTTTCGAAGACAAAAAATAAAAATAAAAGAATGTAAAAATCAATTTGTAGAAACTTTTCTCCATTTAAAATAGAATCTTTGAAATGTGTGAGCTTTAATGTGTTGAGAGCAACAATGATGTTGAATGTTATAATAGAAAATATACAATACTCTCTCTCTCAACTCTGAACATGCTTCTATAAATGTTTCTCAACAGAGAGTGAGCAGAATGTGAGATCTGTACGTTGAGAGTAAGACGGTGGGTAGGTGAAGCGAGGAAGGGTGTGAGGAGGGGGGGGAGGTGGGAGAAGAATACGAAATCCATCGCTTATTTGTTTTGGAGTTTTTTTTTTCATTTTTTGCTTCTCAAAGTTCAAAACTGTTACATTGAAACTGAAGTTGTAAGCTTGAGTTGAGCAAGTTGCAGACATGTCTCTTCTACATAACAAGAAGTATGAAATGTGTGAGAGTGAGAGATAGAATATGGGTGAACAAATGCAATAAAAAATAAAGATTGAAAAATGGAAGTATCTTCCTTACTTTGACATAATCCAAGGTTGGAGAGTGGATAAGAGAGAGAAAGAGAGAGAGAGAGGGAAAGACAGGGAATGGATGGAAAGGAGAGGAGAGAAAAAAAAAGGAATAAATGGAAAGTCTGTAGCTGTTCATTTGCATATTGTAGCTAGACTGATATTGAAGCTTAAAAGCTGGCTTTGATGTTGTTTTGTGACATGGAGGATTTTTGTCTATTTTTTTTGTGCTCTGCTTGAAAATCAACACAGATTCTGCGATTAGAGGGAGAATGTATAAGAAGCATGTCTGACTAATGTCTGAAGTTTGTTAGGTGCCTGGAAGCTTTTTATCGTTTGTTAGTTGTATCTCTGATTCTCTTAATCATACATACTGTTGAATAGACTGTTTGTATATCCACTTGAAAGTGGATATGAGCTGTGGGGATATACGTTGAACAGAGACGACGATAAAAGCACAAATCTTCTTTATGTGAACTTTAAGAAGTTGAAGTATTTTGTGATCCTCATCCTTCTGCCGTTCTTCTATCATATCATTTCTCTTCCTCTCTCTCTCTCCCCTTTTCTCCCTCTCTTTTTCGTCTTTTTCGAAGTTTTGATGTTGAAAACTCAAAAACGGAGGTTCACAAGGACTCTTTATGCGACGAGAAAAAAAAATTATTTTTTTCTTGTGCAATGCCAAGCCAAATGAAAGCTTAAAATATCTCAATGGGTTATTGGAAATATGGAGCAGTAGAATAGATCAAGAAAGTTACGACAAGCTGAAGTTTGAATATGAGCTTCAGGGTTATTCCTCTTCCTCCACCCTCACTCTGACTCTTTCTCTCCTTCTCTCCTTGTGCTCTTCAACTTACTTTCTCTCTCTTTCTTCTTTTTTGGGGGTTTCAGCTTTTCATTATTTTTGAATTTGAAATGTTTTCAAATTCAAAAATCTTAATCGCTCAAACGTGAGAATAACACGGATCACTAGTTTTGAGCTGTTCGAAGCTTAAGCTCTAATTTCAAACCCGACGATGTGTTTTTCGACTAAACATGTGAACCGCCTGGCTAATTTAAAAAAAGAGAAAGAAAAAAGAAAGAATAAAAATGGAGCGATGAGATTTAGGATCTTTGATGTTTACAACAACAAAGATGAGAAGCTTCATAATAGGATTGATGTCATACCTCTTCGAGAAAGAGAGGGAGGGAGAGGAGATATGCATTGATAACTATAAAAATGAAGGAAAGAAATAAACATTTAAAGGTTTTATAAAGGTTAAGAATTATTTCAATGACTAGAGGTTGATGGGGGGAAAATGTTCTTCCTTCTTCCTTCTCATTCGCAATCCTTCATCTCGATTGCGCGTTTTCTTTTTTGTTCATTCTCTCTCCCTCTCTATCTATCTCTCTCTTTCTCTCTCTCTTGATAGAACTATAAAAGAACTGTTTGATAAAGTGGTACAAACAATCGTTCAGTTTTTGGGCAACTTTCGATATGAACGCATGAAAACAAATGAAGTAACTTGAGTAATCAGAACGGAATCATCTGGGAATCAAATCAGCTTTGAAGATTTTATTCAAATTAGCGTTTAGAAAGAACTATTTAGCTTGTTCTTCTTCTTCTGGCTTTCTGCTTCTTCTCTTTTGTTTCTTTTGCTTTTCAAAGGTAAAAAATGGAAAGCTAAACATGTGGATGAGAGAGTATTCTTCATACGCATGACTTGTTTAGAAGATTGTAAAACAAAGAATAAGTGAATAAATCTTCTTTTTTTGGTACACACACAGATGAAGAGAAGTTAAAAGAGACAAAAAAAGGATAGAGAGAGATAGATGAAGAGACTTGAAGAGGGAGAGAGAGAGATAGGGAATGTTGTTAAATATAGAAAAGGACATGTGATACGAACTGTGTGTATGTGTGTATGGGTCTATGTCACAATGATTTTGAGACAGACGCCTTGCTTCAAAAGGAACTGACATCGATATTAACGGTGTTATTTCTTTCAAGTAAAGTCTTTGCTATCTCATGATGCTCTCTCCTCCGCCCCACAACCCTTTCAGTTGTTGAGTGTTTACAAGTTAGAAAGGAATATTGGAGGTCAAGTAAAGAATTATAATGTCTTGTTACAAAAAACAATATATATGAAAATATAGAAAATAACTTGCTTCTACAACTGTCCTCTTGACTGAAATAGAAATTCACGTAATTTGACAGAAAGGCGGATGTTTCGTTCTCTCTCTATCTCTATCTCTCTTTCTCTCTCTATCTTTCTCATTTTTTTCATTTTATATCGTTAAAACTTTTTTTTTTGAAAATCTTTTCTCTGCTGTCTTCTTCGTGTTATACTATATCATATAGTTAGTTAATTTATGATGGAAAGGAAAGCTTATAATTGAATACATGAAGTCGACAAATATAAAAGCTTATGGCTTATTGCCTAAGGGCATATTTGCGGGTGACCGAACTTGGTATGTCGGAACAACAGCAAACCACAAGCAATGTTTGAAAAATACGTTGTAAATTGGATAAAAATGAAGAAAGCGTTCATCCTCAGAATATCTCAGATAGAGAGACAGAGAGAGAGAGAGAGAGAGGGAGGATGAATGAGCTGTGAGAGAAGAAAAAAAGAAGTTTGTTTTGTAAGAAATTTTTTTTTGGAGAGTAAATTGTTGGTATTCTGATAGCAAATCTACAAACATGCTGTGCATACGATCAGAACGGTTGATTTTCCCTCTCAATCTCTTATCCTTGTTCTCTCTCTGTCTCTTTCTCTCTCTGTCCTCGCTTCTCAGATATATCCATTTATGCTCTCAGCTTCTCCCTCTCTGCTATCTTTTGTTACTTCTAAAGACAAGCTTACTTCCTTCTTTATTCCTTCCTTAAGAGAGGTTGAAGGGAATTTGAGATTGAAGTAGATGGAAGCAAGCAGTAATTACTAAGTACTTTTATAATGTCTCGAATATCTTTAAGCTAGCAAAATAATAAAATAGTACAAGAAACGCCCTGAGGGTATGAGCCTAGGTGTGTTAACTCAGAGAGTCAGAAAAAAATAATTTTTTTCTCATATTCTCTATCTCATTTGTTGTTGTTTATCTAGTTCGTCGATTTTATTTCGTTAAAAAAGAAAGAAAGAGAGAGAAAGGAAGAGGGAGAGAGGGAATAGGAGGTTGAATGCTCAGAAGGTGACTTTGAGAGGGTTAGAAGCTTTATGGGCAACAATCATCTATACTTTTGGTAGAAAAAACTCATAATTAATGCAGAATGCTTATAAGCTTACCTGAAACGGATACAGGGAGTGGGGGGGGGGAGATTGAATTACAAATTTGTAAGAGTTCACTGTACCTATCGTATCTATTATCATTTATATTCATAAATGAAGAGAATCTTATATTGTACACACACACACACATCATACACACATGCACATAGACACTACACTCTTTGCCTATGACATGATGATGATGAGATTTGGCTTTCGTTTCTTTTTTGCTTCTCCTCTTCTTTCTCCTTCTTTTTTTGAATAAAATGCAATAGCCTCAGGCTATGAAGTACTCACTTCACACGCCTCTAACAGCCTCAAACGAGATTGATGTAAATATAAGGAATTGGAATGAGTTTTAAGAAAGATAATTCTGAAGGTGATTAAGCTGCAAAAGATGAGATAAAGCTTAAAGAATGGTAAAGGGGGGGGTGGTTGAGTAGAAGTAAAAAGGGAGGAAAATGACTATTTATATATTCAAAGATGATATGTCCAAATTGAGATATACGAATTGAAAAAAGAGAGAAAGAGAGAGAGAGAGAGAGAGAGAGAGAGAAAGAAGCAGAGAGAGAGAGAGAGAAAGCAAGAATGAAAATCTCTAAGATGTTTGTTCATTAAGAGATGAGTAACATGAAATATTTTATTATATCACATGAGATACTCAACATATGTAGTGTTTGAACGATATGCTGCCCTGAGGGAGCTTTGAACTATTCAAAAAATAATATAAATAAATATATATATATTTATATTATTTATATAAGATTAATGTTTGATATTGAATATAAGGAGAAGCTTATGGAAAACTGAGATGCTCAATACTCGAATTGCTTCTTCTAACTCATTTTTATGTCATCTACGCATAATGTTAGCTCTCTAATTATGCGTCTTCTTTTGTTTTCATGCTCAGATTGGTATAAAGAGATGTCGTTGTCGAAGATTGTTAAGCTTAACTTCTTCAATATTGCCTCAGGCACATAGATGTGAGGAAGATGTTGAAGATTACTGTTTAATGAAGCTTAACTTATGTAAAAGTTGCAGCCACATCAGCAGCATCAGCAACAGTAGTGAGAAAGGAGTTGAAAGAGGAAAAAACTTTTTTTTTGTTTGAATGTCTTTGTGTGTGACAATTTGATTAAAAAATAATTTTTTTTGTTGCGCAAATGAAGAAGTTGAAGACGACGAAGACAAGCTGATAGAAGGGTGAAGCATTTAGCTGCAGCTCATTTGAACAACAAAGAAGGAAAGGAAAAATATTTGAAAATGACATGTTCTAAGTTCGAAGTATTGAAATGATATGCGGAGGATGAATACGATGCTTGCATATGGATATCCTGGTTGAACGAAAAAAAGGAAATTACAAGTTGCAATAGAAGAGTCGTATGAGTGGTTGAGAATTGGGAAAAAAAGAAAAAAGTTCTTCACATTATCACTTTCTCAATTGAAACATATTGATTTTGAATGTTGAAAAGCTGGACAGACATATGGAAGATGAGAAGATGAAGAAGATGTTCCAAAATGAATTTTTGAGAAAAGGCGTGACACTGAAATTTGGTTTGGGAGCATAGAATGCGATTTCTCAATAGAACATGACTAGGCTAGTGTATGTGAGGAAGTTATTGTCAATAATGGCTAAATCTCTATATAAGGATTGAAAATATAAAAGTCATGTAATGAACGTTCTTATATGCTTATCTTGCAGATCATGTCATCTGATGAAAGGACATACAGAACATCGAGCAAACGAATGGAAGCCGGAAGAGATTTATCGGTGCGTTCTCACCACGTTTAAGTTTTTTTTTTCTTCTCCCTCTCACCATTCATCTTTATATATGGAAATATATGAGTGAAGTAATAACAAAACTTTGCAGCTCGTGTGTTCAAGCAATGGAAGGACGTTGCTCACGACGAAGTAAAACAATTCATGAGCAAAAGCTGGCTGTTAAAGAATTTGTAGCCAAGGTATGACTATAACGGATTTGTGAAGCTTTAAAATTGTCCAAAGATAACTTCTTTTTTTTTTTGAATATTTTGAAGCTTCAAATTGGAGAGAAATGACGATTTCTCTTCGAATTCTCAAAGTCTCGTCTGTCTGATAATCTCTTCAACGGTTTTTTTGTAGGTCGAAGTGCTGCTATTGAATGAGCTTGGACGTCATCTTGAGCAAATAAATGAGCCAGATCGTCGAATGATATCCCGATTAAATCGAGTAAGCTTCCTGTGAAATTTGCATAATTCCTTAAGATATATATAACGTTTCACTATTTCAGGCTTTAACGTCGATTGAACTTCAAGATGAGCGTCCACTCTTATACCATGTGCCTTCTCCCTCCAGACCTGCCTGGAAGTTGTGGAATTTGGATCAGGAAGATCCTAATAAGTAAGAAAATGTTTATCTCAATTGAATATGCAAATGAGGAGTAGAGATGATTAGCATATGAAAACGAAAAAAAACAAAAATGATTCAAAGAACATGTAAAAGATCAAGCACATAGTCTATGTGTTCACTTTCAGAATGTCAGACTTATTAGAACTAGCCGGAGATTTGCTTCAAATTCCTCGCGAAGATCATTTTCCTGTAAGTAACTTGCAAATCATTTTGAGAATTCCCCATTCCATGAATAGACTGAAGAGCATATCTATTTAAGGAAGAAGAATTTCAAATTAAAGATAAAGCTGAATGGAAGACACGTGAAGCTGCAGAAGCTATTGCCCATTGTCTAGGAGCTCGTTTAGTTCTCGACACATCTACTTCATAGTTGGTTGTATCTCATGTGTTAATTGAACCAATTCTGTTTTAGCTCTCGAACAGCATCTCCAGATAGTCGTCGAACATCATGGGAAGATCAACGACGACGAGGTAACAGTGTTGATTCTCTGCGTCGTCATTTACCCTTAGAGCCTAGTGTTTTTGTAAGTTTTTATTATATATAATAAACGTACAAAAATAATATTTAAGATACGTGATCGTCCATCTGTTATGTCGTTCAGAGAGCGCTCCATACCAACTGATTCTGCACGTAGTTTTAATGATTCATTCAAGTAAGTATTTTTTATTTTTCTTCTCTCCACTCTTATTATCTTGCTCTATCTCTCTCTCTCTTCCTCTATCCCAATCTCTCTCTCTCTCTGTCTCTCTCTCTCTATCTATCTCTCTCTTATACTTTGATTCAACATTCAAACATATTTTTTTAATGTTTTCACAAAAGTCTCTGTTTCTCTCTTCTTCTTCTCTCCTCCCTCATCCCTTCTCTCTCTCGTACCCTCCATTTGTGTGAGGCTCGTCGTCCTTAAATGTTCAATTATTGTGTGTTCATTTAAAGATTTTTAGAATAATAGAATCAAACGACCATCCTTCTAATGAATATTAGAAGCGATGAAGATGTTCACTTATTAACTTCAAGCATGTTATAATAATATAGTTTGAAATAGACATTCTTCCCACTGATGTCTTTATTTGATGTTTCTCGCTTGATGTACATGATGATGTTAGTTGCTGATGCATTTACTGACACGCGACTGGTTCTGTATTTTTCTCTTCCATACCCTCTACTATTTCGTTTCCCTTCTTTCCTCTTTCTCTCGCATCTTCTGAAGCACAATTTCATATTTGGGCATTATAGTCTTCATCTCCTTGTTGTCATCAAACAGAATACCAGCCTCAAAACTGCAGAACAACCCCCCATCCACTTTACTCACCTTGCTGTTTCTATTTCCTCTTTCTCTTCCTCTCCTTCCCTCTCTCTCTTTCACTCTCTATTCATAAATACCCTTATACTTCGTTTGTTGCATTTTCTCGCTTCTCCTCCTTCTCTCATCTCCCTTTTTAAGAATAACTTTTCGTTCAGAACGGTTCGCATTCACTTTTTATTCTCTTACATTCTCTTTTTTTCTTAAACTTCCGTTAATGCTCGCGGTTACATATTAATATCCATTTGCCATCGGGCTAGTTCCCCCAAGTAGTGCGCTCTTAGCTTCCGATATCGAAACAAAAGGAAATTTTTTCTTGTTCACAGCCTAACCCCCCTGTAATTTTGGGGCATTTATTCTGATGAACATGAACCGAACTTTCCGTCATTTCAGCTCAGACCAGTCTCATCGAAGCTTTGATTCGAAACCAGGATCTGTTATGTCATCCATACCAATGTATCCATGTGATCAATCGCTTGGAAGTGGAGCAGTAAGAATATAATTAGAAATATTTCAAGATTATATAATTCAATTATTACAGTCATCGAATTCGCAAGCTGTCACACCCGTACCAACAACAAATGGAGATTTAGGCAATAAGCTAAATCCTCCGCCGGTGGCTAATGAAATTGTAGATAGATTTGGCAAAAAATTCTTGACAAGACCAATTTGTGTCCAATCGTTTAATACTAAGTCTTATCCAAATTCTATTGCTATTTCAGACAGCTGCGGAGGTTTGTTATTCATTCTGTATACTTATAATTCATTTATTACTGTATAGGAGTTTACATTACAAATTTACAAGGAGAAATTCAAGAGCATGTTCTTATTAAGAATTCGTCAGCCAGTTCTATTGCTTTTGATGAAAAAAATGAATTAATGTTTGAAATGAATTCATTTTAATATTATTAAACTCGTTATGTTCAGGTATGTGAGTGTTATGCAATCGAAAGGTCGCTCTATTCACGTCTTCGATGTCGCTAATGAATTCAAGAAAATTGAGGTGAACACTGAATTTTTTTGATGTGAACAACTAAACCTCATTGCTCATTTACAGGTGATTCCATCTCCGAAAGAACCGAAGATCGAAATTAGTCGGACACGTTGGATTACTGTTGCTCCTCGTGGACATCTCTACATGGTTTCTGGAGACAACATGAAGAGTGCTCTATGGTGTTATATTCGAGGAAGAAAAGTATCTCCTTACTCTTCTGATTCTGAATTTCTACAATTTGTTATCTAGGGATGGAAAACGTTAAAAGAATCTCGGAAGACTCGTTTCCAATATCTGAGTGTGGCGGAGGATCAAGCGGAATATCGCGCTGTTGTTCTACTGACCTGCGATGCTGCAAACAATCGACTTCTCCTGTTTGTAGTTGATCACTCTCTTTCACTGATAAACGAGTATGATCTGAGCAAAACGTATCGTCTTCAAGAGCATATAACTAGTCCTGCCAGCGCCATTGTTGATGTGGTTCGTATTGTGCTGATCTATTTCTGTTCTAATATTAAAATCTGTTCAGCAAGGTAATCTTATCATATTGGATTATGCAACAGGAAAACTGTGGATTCTATTATCCGGTGTAAAGGGTGTTCGTCGACTTAAGCAAATCCAACTTGCCGAACCAATAGAACCACAAGAAGCTTTAGGAATATGCACTTTGGTTTGATCTTTACATCTTGATCTATATTCATCTTTGAATTTTCAGAAAGATAACATTCTCATTGCATGCTTTGGACAACGCGAAATCAGAATAAGCACATACTTAGATAACGGAGTGTTTAGAGGGAGCGCATTAACACCTCAAACGCGGGCTGTCTCTGCTTCAGCCGTATCTAATGGTGGAAGACGAAGTACGAGCCTTCCCAGACCATCGGAAAGCGCTCTTTGAGCTATTCGCAAAGAAAAATAGTCCCAAATCAAAAATCATCAGAACTATCGAGTGAAAAGATTTTTTTTATAAAGAAATGCATAATACCTGATACTAACCGGGTTGTGCCTGTAAATGTACCTGGCTCAAACTTCCACTTTCAACTATTTGAGATATACGTTTTGCTTCTTGCATGTAGTAGTGTCTGCTTTTCATTTTCTTCATATTATTATTTAATTATTCTTGTAATTTTGATAGCCTTTTTTTTCATTTTTTACATTGCAACTTCTCCTCAAACAAATAATTCACTTATATATTTCCATATTCTAACTAGTGCCTTATGTTTCTGTTAACAGAGCAACCCTAAAATGTGATAAAATACTGTTGTTGATGTCTCGATAAAGAATATGTCTACGTTTGTTTTCCACTTTACACACACACACACATCACAACCGTTCTGAACGTCTTCATTTGAACATTTCATCCTTTGAACACTTAAGCCATCCAACGAAAAACATATTGATAGCCAAAATAATATATAAAGATATATCTTGTTAACTATTACATACGATAGGCTTCCCACACAATTTTGCCTCAAATCAATGTTGATAGCCTCAGCTACTAATACGATCAATCATCTATCTATTCCGCAAGAAGCTTGGTCGCTCTCTCAATTAGCTGATTTGGTTTCCTAGAAGCTATCAACGAGTAGGAAAACCATTCAATTAAGTATGAAAGGAATCTGTTCAACCATATTAGGTTCTCGCGAACAATCGTTCGCAACAAATGCCCGAACATCTGATCCGGCTGTCAAGGTTCATTAGATTTGTGATCAGGGACGAAAATGCTGAACGATAGACAGTATAGCTCAATATTTTCGTCAAGTAAACGTATTGTCAGTATTAACAAGGGGATTGGAGATACTTATATAATGTAATCGCCTCACTCCCCCAATTGTATTTCAGTACCTTACTATTCAGCCAAACAAGAGATAACACTACAAGCCATCATCAAGTTAGATAGAGCCTTCCAAGGACAGCAAAATAAGGATCACAAATTAAGAGGCGTCACACTAACCGACTATTAGAATATTTCAAATAGGCATGTGATCAATGTGGACATCTGAAGATGGAAAATCATAAGGTGGATAGGTCACAATTCCCCTTTTTCCTACTGTAAGCCCAAATTGCTTAGATACTGTACTGCATGCTTGTATACTAAATTAGCGGGAACATACCATCCCATGCCTACTTCTCTAACGAAGTTGAGAAACGCCGAAAACCGTATGAATCAGCTTTTTCTGAACTCACGTAACGTAATAACGTGTATGCTAAATAGACTAGAGTGCGTATGCTAATCACTTGTAAGAGATCTATGGTTGGGAGTAGAACTTCGGACGAATCGTGAAAGTTAACCCGTTGACTCGTTTCCAAATCCTGTTTTGATGTTAGAAGCCTCATCTTTTCTCTGAGTTCCTTTAATATGGAAAAGGTAAATAGGGCAGATACAAAGCTAAAGAATCGCCAGTTCATGAGCCTCAAAACAAAAATCATTCTGCTGGCTGAATGACTCGTTCGTCTTCATAAACAAATGAACGTATAAGCAGTGAACATTGAGAATGAAATCTCTCAGATCCGAAATATATAATAAGTTTATGAGCTGAGAATGAAAAGAGAATGCGGTAACACTAACTCCTAACACCCAACAAGTTATGTCTCTGGAGGACTGTGGATGAAGTAGAATTGCGAGAAGAGTTGTCATCGTTGGCGGGAACTAGAAGTATCATCCATGTAAACAGTTGGAATGAAAGTTTTCACACCACCTCGTCAGATGTTAAGTTGAAAAATATTGAAAAGACTGTTGCCACTTCCTACGAGAGCAAACAGAAGGGTCCTCACAAACATGAGCAGAACTAGCTCATAACTCAATTACTTATTAATTGAATCATTAATAATAATAGAGGAACAGCGAGCAGTTTTTTTCCACCAAAAGATCTCAGAGCATTCCATTGATTTGATTTTCAGAACGACAGTCAGACAGAGAGAGCATAGCGCAGCACAGATTAAACTTTGGAGACATTTTTGTGGAAAGTACCCTTATGGTCCAGCAAAATGCTGCGGAGTACGTTAATTTCCAAAAAACAATTCAATGGCGGATTTAAGAAAAATTGAAAATCTCCACACACACAGTCTTTCTTAATTCCAAATAATTGTTTTTCATTGAAACTCATTTGTAATTTGATTCAAATGAATAATTCGTTGATCGAATTTTTATAAATAATTGAAAATAATAAGACTTTTTGCAAAAATGTCGAAGCCGAAGCTCAAAACATAAGCGTTGATCAGAATAAAAAGCTAGTGAAACTTCTTAAAGTGTCACCACAAATTCAATGATTATTCTCGGAAAATCTGTTTGAAATTGGATGAATGAAGAAGAATACTGAAATGAAGAAAAAAAAAGTTTTTCTTGTTTCTTATTGCCATGCAAAGAAGCCCGTAGCTATGCGAAGACAGAGAAGGTAGAAAGAGTGAGAGAGAAAGAGATAGAAAAGGAAAGGAACGATGAATGAAGAAGAGGAATAGAAGACCTATAGAAGGTGTGAGAGGGTAAGACAAGATGAGAACTCATTCATATAGAAAAATATAAGACAATAACCATAACAGAAAGTTTTTGTGGACGAATTAGTCGAAATAATCTGAAATAATGAATGAAAATGAAAAATTCTCACATATTATATAGATATATAATATTATAATAATTGAGAAATAAAAAAAAAAATTTTTTTTCGATTGCTCTAATGAACGACGGCGCAATTAGCGACGGAGCACACTTTCGTATACCTTGAGAGAGTGTCAGCAGCTATATTTAATCAGATTATACGATATGGGCAGGGGAGAGATTAAGCTGAGACTGATATAAGCTTCTTATCTCATTTTAATTTCATATTCTTAGTCGGTTTTTCTCACATTCCTTTTGTTATTTGTAATATTTGCTTTGTATGCATGTGCATGTGCATGTGTGTGTGTGTGTGCATGTGTGTAAGTGAGTGAGTGAGTAAGTGAGTAAGTGAGTGTGTATTGAGTTTAAGAAACTCAACATCATCATCAGCTTCAGCATCAGAGATGGATTAGGCTCAAGTTCAAAGCCTAACATACACACACACACACACACACACACAGACACTCCACTCCAATTTTTTGTATTCCAAATTAGAAATTTCTATTTGACTTACTATGAATAAGTTGCAAAGAAAACAATTTGACGTATACAACATAGATACATATCGATTTGTCTCCAACAATATCATAAATATTTTAGTTCTAATCGTTGTGTGTCGCAAAAAAATTTCATTTTTTCCCATTTACGAGAGAACAGTCAAAGTGAGTGTGCATGTTCTCGTCATCTCCATTCTCTTGCCCCGCGTTCCTTCTATCTGTCGTCTCAATTGACTTCTGACTTTGTGTGATTTTGAACGAACGAAGAAAAATATTTTATTTAAATTAAAAATTTAATATTCATCATTATCACCTGGAGCAACGATGTGGGCGGAAATCTTACAAAAGGAAGAATTGAGAGCAGTGGAACTGAAGTGAAGGTAGATGACGAGACATAGAGGGAGCGAGCATACAAGAGTAGAGGTGACATAAGATGAAAAAAGATGGCAAAAGCATAGATGAAGGTGTATATGAAGAGAGAGAGAGAGAGAGGTAGAGAGTAAGATGATTTCAAATGAGTCATTTTAGGCTTTCGAATCGAGAAAAAAAAATAATAAAAGACCATTAAAGATAATTAAATTGGCAGAGGAATTATTGATGAAAACAACACTTGGGATGCTTTCCGCTTTCATGACGAATTTTAAAAATTCATTTTTTTATCTTAAAGCTTATTACTGAAAGTAAAAGTTGTAAGAGATGTAAGCTAATGATGCAGAAACATAAGAGTGACGTTTTCTGAAGAGCTTCTTCATCGTTTTACGCACCAACTCATTCGGATAGCCCGTTGTATTTCAGGTCAGATGAAGTTGTGAAATGAAATATATTTTAAGCTTTCTTGACACCAGTTTTAGTAATTAGTCAGTTTTAAGTGGAGTGGGAGGCTCGCTTTGTCTTTGATCAGATTTTGGATTTGAGAGGCATGAAGTGGGGGACGAGAGAGAGAAATGGAGAGAGAGAGGAGTCGAGTTCAGGAAGAGAGCTTGGAAGAAAGACATGGATAGGAGGTAACCTTTCCATTTCAGATGTTTGTTGACGTCATCTTCAAAATTATTATTCATATCCGAAGTTGATCTGAATTCATTTCTTTATGAAACTTATTGAATTTTTCTTTTTTTTCTTTTTTCTTCTGCCCACCTTCTTTATTTCTATCCGTTATTGTCTTTTCTTTTATGTCCTTCTGACACGGCCGTCATTGATATTTCTTGAGCTTTTCGTCACTTTTTGTCCTTCCGACTGCACTGAACACAACTTGTAACTTTGCTGTTGTCAAGCTTTTCCCTAAAACCTCATCCTTATTCCCTCCTTTTCTCATCTTTTGCTTTTATGGTCGTTTCAGCGAATGGCCATGCATGTTGTTCTCGAATTCAACTAATTACTTCTTCGTCTTCATTTCTCCCTCCTTTCTCTCTCTCCCTCCTTCTCTTCGTGTATCCATTCACTCGTTTCTATCTCTCTCTCTCTTATTCCCTTTTTCTCTCTATATATGGCCTTAGAACGAAGTTTCATAATTTTCAGCTCCACCTTCTATCCTCCTATCCATCGCAACCATCTTAATAAGCAACTTTTTCCTAAGCCTTGTGTGATCTTTGAATGACCAATTTCTTCATTGACTTGAGAAAAATTTTTTTTTCCTCTCTTTCTCTCTCTTTCCAAAAACTATTAAAGAAAACTTTTTTCTTTTTTTTTCCTCGTTCATATGGATACACTTGGTGACTTTGGAGCCACCTCTCTATACTCATCGGCTTTTCCTTATGGAAAGCTATCAGTCACCGACTATAATTGTTTCTAATTCCCCCGTGAGTTTGGATGTTTCCTGTTTAACTGCCTCCTTTAACCTTGTGCATAGCCGTTCTCTCATCCATTCCCATCTTCATCCCTCTCTCTCTCTCTTTCTCTCTCTCTCTCTCTCTGTGTTTCTCTCTCTCTCTTTATACATATATAGTATATGCTACCTTTTTTTCTCTCTCTATACTATCTTCCTCCATTGCTCCCTCCCTCCCTCTGTGTACGTGACGACATTCTCTTATCCATACAATTTACTTGAAAGTTGTCTTTTATCATTTTCATTGAACTTCTTTGAATAACTATTCCTTGTTGATTTCATCCCAAACATTCCAATTGAAAACTCCAAATTTGCATTTTATTCAAGAAAAATTTGTTTGAAAAGAGAAATTTGCAAATTTAACTGAACTGAAAAATGTCGGAGAGAAAAGGAGAAAAAAAATTTAATTAAATTCGATATGGCATCTTTTAGAAATGGAAGAGAAGTTATCGTTTGTCATATCAGATAGAATGAATTGATTTGTATAGTTTAGTTAACTATATAGTCATTTCATTTCTGTTTATTTATATTTATTCTCTTTCACTCTCTCTCTAACTCTTCCATTTGCTTCTCTCTACATCTCTCTCTCTCTCTATATTTCTCTCGTCCAGTTTATTTCTTACTACCTTCTTCGTCTTTCTTCAAAATGACGTCTAATTTTTCTTGTTTTTCATCCTCTACATTGAAGTCTTACGAGAGAATTGTGAGAGAGTTGAAGAAGACTTAAACAGTGAAAGACATTCAAGAGTTATACTCAAACAGAGAGAGAGCACCGAAACCGTTCGTTCACAAATGAATTTTCAAGGCTAATTTCATGTGAAGCACGTGAACTTCGTCTTCTATCGCTGTGCTCATCATAGTTCGGAGGAGCAATGGAAGGAGAAAAAAAGTTTTTTTTCTCTTTTCGTGAGCAAAAAAAACAATCAATTAGTTTTTAACGAAGCTGTTGTTGAAATTCTTGTCATCGACATCTTCAGTCGGCGTTTAAGCTTCTGACAAACGGTCAAGGCAACAACGGTCTTAAGCATTTGACAAGCTGTCGTTTGAATGAGATAGCTTAATCATCTATGCATGTAAAACGAATTGGACTCATTGAGTCGAAAAACCAAGAGGGCAAAGAAAGGAGGGAGGGGGTGGTTCACAGAGAGAGAGATCGAAGAAGAGAGAGAGGGAGATATGATGAAAAAGAGAAAGGAGTCTTGCGAGGGAAACCATCTTAGAGAAAAGTTAGTAAAGAGAAGATGACTTGCAAAGCTGCAAAAGATCAAGAGATATGGGCCGAATAGGATAACATTAAGAGAGAGAGAGAGGGAGAAGAATAGAAAGAGAGAGGGAGAAGTAAAAAGACTATTTCGTTGGTCACAAGTTTCTGTCATTTGGATTCCAAACGTGTAGAAGCTCAAATTATTAATCGGTTGAAATTCCAAAGTTCAAAATGTTTTTTTTCGTTCACCAGAAAACGCGCAAGTTCAGAATTGTCTTTTGCACTACAAAATTATGTATTTTGTTAATTATGAAAAGTCTTATTCAGAGAGCAAAGTAGGGAGTAATAGAGCGACTAGAAAACCTCTGTCTGTTTGTTTTCTCTCTTCGTCTGTCTCTCTCTACTGATATTTTATCTCTCTCTCTCAACTTCTCTCTGTGTTTCTATTTTACTCATATTCTTTGTGCCATCTATAGTTCATGGCACTGTGAACAAGTTATGCCGTTCCATGTCTCACTCACTCCATCTACCTTCTCTCATTCAACGATACTCTCAAGGTGTATTGTAAGAATTTGAGAATTCAAAAGAAAACGAACGGTTGTGCTGTCTCAGATATTTTTGGTTTAAAAAAAAAAAAAGCACAAAAAACATGTGTCAAATAGGAAAATATTATAAAAAATTCATTTTTTTTTCGTAAATAATGACTTGAGCTCTTTCCATGACGTTAGTTTCGTTCGTTAGATTATAAGAGAACGTCTATGCTTTTCTTTATTAGACAATAAGATATGAAGAGACGAAGGAAGGAGAGAAAAAGATGAAGCCAAGAATGGAAATAATGAAATATAGAGAGAAATGAAGAGGTTTTAGATGGAAAAAATAAAAGAGAGGGTGGATGTAGGAGGAGAATATGTGTACGGTTAACATAGCCCCTCTCTCTCTCCCTCTCTCTTGGCAGTTTTGACAGGTTCAACGCCATTCTTGGACTCTCTTCTCTCATTTCTCTTATGTGTTGATTAAAATTTCATATATTATGTATATTATATCGTATAAATAAGAGAAAAATAATGAAGCAAGTAGAGAGGAGAATACAGATGTCTTTTCATATGTATTACCTCCTTTCCCTCCCTCCCTCCCTCCCTCACTCCTCCTCCTACTCCCGCCCTTATTTTCATAAAAATTTATGCAAAAACGAACATTTTTTTAGTTAAAAAGTTTTATTTTTCTTTTTTTCTTTTTTCTTTCTCTTCTCTCTGCCATTTTTTCTATCCTTGGTCTCTGGAAACTTTTCGGTCTTCTACAAGCAAGCATATACAGAGAGGGGAGAGCTATAGAAGGGGGTGGGAGGAGTAGATGATGATGGAATGAATGTAACAAACCATCAGATGAGAGAGAGAGAAAGAAGAGGAAGAGAACAAGGAGTTTTTACCCCGAAATTCATCTGATTAATTTGTGTTCAAAAGAACACTCGATGAAATTACAAACGACTTCATCTGAAGGCGTCAGAGTTTTGTAAAATAAAATTAGAAAAAAATGAAAAAGACTAAGAGATGTTTGTGACCTCAGTAAGTCCATCCCATAAATGGAAACCATAAATAAGCAAACGTTTCTTGCTACTTGTCGTCTTCTCGTTCGTCTTCTTCTTCTCCTTTTGTCTCTCTCTCTCTCTTACTCCCTTTTATCTCTCATCCTTCACGTGCTTCACTTGTAAATCGCCAAAAATGGTATGAGCTTGTATGATTGGTGCGCTCTGGAGGGGAATCGAACCAGGAAGTCCTACATGGCTTAGCGTAGGCGTCTTCCACCTTTCAAGACTGTTTTTATGTAAATTATTGATATGAATTAATTATATGATATAGTTAAAGGAAAAATAATTATAAACATCTCGCTTTTTCCTCATTTAATTCTTTCTCAACTCACTCAGCCAACTTTCAATTACTTTAATTGCCTTAAATAGTTTAAAAGCTTAAAAGCTTTTCATTCATATCTCCCCCATTCTTTCTCTCTCTTTCTTTTTTAATCAATAATTTCAGTTTTTTAATTATTTGAACTTTAATTATAATTTTTATGTTTATTTCCTTTACTTATTCAAATATGCCTTGTCTTGTCTTCAACTGGCTGTTCCGTTTTTTTTCTTTTTCCATCACTTCACTTCGTACCTGTCAGCTTCATGCTCTTCGGCTTGAAGATAGAGGGAGTAGACTCTTTGTTCCTCTACCTGTCTCTACTCAATCCTCTCCTTCATGTTATCTTTCTCTCTCTCTCTATCTCTATAAGCCTCTATTGCTTTCATCTATCCTGTATACCCCCACCGCCTTTTTCCCTCCCTGTTCTCTCTCTCTCTCTCTCTTCCTCTCTTTATGCTTTCAATGGAAATCATTTTGAAATTGTCTTTTTAATACTTAAATATTATATTAAAGTACTAACATTATCTATTTTAGTTTTTTTCATATAAATGTCCACATCTCCCAGACGAGTTTCTAGACAATCATCTATTGAATCAGATCGTTCATCTACTGGCTTATCACGTCTTTTATTTAATAAAAGATCGGTTAAACGAAAAAGTTTGTGTCCACTTCAACCATCATCATCATCATCATCTTCATGATGCTTCTAATCATTCGTTACTATTACAGATTCTGATGACAAATCCATAAAATCTGATAGTCGTTCAACTTCTCCAGCAGCGGGATCAAGCAATGATCGTAATGCATCCTCATCATCTTCTTCTAACCCAATTTCTACAACTAAACGTTTAGCTAATTTTGCGACAAGGTTAGTCTTAACTATACATACATATAGTTAAAAAAACATTTGGAATTTCGCCAACTCTTTAATTCATGCCATTTAACACCTAAAACTACGTAAACACGTAATTTTGAAAGAAGCAAGAAGAAAAAGAAACGGAGAGAAGGGAGTGAGAAGGGAGAGGAAGAAAAAATGAGAGACAATACAACCGTTTTGTTTGAATGCAATAATATACAAATGACGTTTTACACGTAAAAAATCACTCACGAATTGTATGTGAACGTCAAAAATTAGAATACATGATGATCAGGTAGTTGATGTTTCTCACGTGGATTTGTGATCTCAAAGAAGGTAGAACTAGCAGCAAGGTATTGAGATATACAAAGATGGAGATTGTGCGTATGAAAAACTGTTTATTGAGCATGTAAAGAGAGAGGGAGAAAGAAATAGAGAGAGAGAGAGAGAGAGAGAGAGAGAGGGAATGCAAAACCTTACATACATATACTACTCCATAGCGAAAAGCTATCTACAAGCAGTACTGTATACACACATGCATATATCACTTTCAGATCTTTTCGCCGAAGTCAATTTCGAATATTCAAATATCACAAATTCATGGGGACTTCTAAAACATCTAAAAATCAATTGTAAGTTTGCTTTTGTAAAAGTGTTGTCAACCCGAAAGCTTGCAACAACATACACATACACACCTACACACACACACATACAAGCTTCAGCATGTGTTTTCGGCTTTGATTCTTCCATATTTTCAGTTTATTTGTTAAAAATTTTGTTTTCTATTCCTCAACATAGAGAGAAAACGGAAAAAAAAACGAGAAAAAAAGAAAACAAACAATAACCTTTTACAATCTTTTTATCATTTTCAATATTTTTTTGTCGCAGCTTTTCATTTTTAAGCTTCAGCTCGGAGCACATCCGATCCTGTCGAAGCTCATATGCGGATGATCCAATAATCAATGTCTCTTATCTTCTTCATCCTTCTCTCCCTTTTCAACTTTCAACATCAACTTCTACTACATCTCTTCGTCATCTTCTTCCTAATCGTTGTCAAGCTTCTACAACGGCTTCATCGTCTTCTTCCACTTCTTCATTTTTGGTTTTTTTTTATTTTTAAAAAAAAACAATTGTTTCTTTAAAAAAAAGCACAAAAACCTTTCTTTTTATGAACGCACAAACAGTTTTTTTTTGTGAAGAAACAGATTAATTAGTAATTTGCTTGTTCAAAAACAAACTTTTCTCTGATGACTCCTGTTATGGCATGATGTCTCATGACTTTGTCAACCTAATTCTATTCAGTTTGCATACTGTTTCCTCTTTACTTAAATATTTCCTTTTATATAACAACTTTGTCATTCGTTTTCTCTCCCTCTTTCCCTCTCTCTCTTTCTATCTTTACCTCTACCTCTCTCTCTGTCTATCTTTCTTCTATCTCTCTTTATCGATATCTCCCTCTCTCATAGTTATTATTCAGGGCTATATTCTCTAAGCTCTACCTCTGAACCACCTGTATGCTTGAGCAACGCTTTTCCTTCTTCAGCTTTTCCATTCAAGAAAAAGTTTCTTCGTTGACTCTTCATCTTCTTCTTCTTCTTCTTCTTTTTCTTCTTCATATAAAAAAGAAAACAAAAATTAATTTTTTGAAAGCTTCAAGTAGTCTTATTTCATCGAAAAATTTCATTATGTCAAATCGAAATTGATGACGTTGACGTATTGGGTGATGGATTCTGATGCAGACGCCATGGAACTCCACTGCATCTGACACATTCAGAATTAGCTGATCACTCACCATCTTAATCACCACAATTACCAATAGAAACTACACAAGGAATGAAATAAAATAAAAAGTTTCATTTGTCATCATTTTTGATTTTTTTTTTGATTTACATATCATGTATGCAAATTTCATCCTTCTTTTCCCCTTCCAGCTCTTCTCTCTCTCTCTCTATCTGTCCCTCTTTCTCACTCTTTTCTACTCATTTTTGGGACAATTGCATTTTCAAACAAAAAAAAAAAAAAGATTTTGTTCATCATGTATGTGTGTGTGTGCATGTGTGTGCATGTGTGTGCGTGTTTGTGTCTCAGGCGTGTGTGCGCATGTGTATGCTAGAAGATTCAGATATGTCCTTCTGAAGAGTATTCATGTTGTTTCCATTTTTTACTTTTCTCAACCGTTAGCCTCTTCTTAACAGATTCTAATGTCCTCAAGTTGTCTCTAATGGATATTCTAGAGGTATTCATTGAAAGAAAGAGATAAATAGAAATTGAAAGAGGAAGATAAAGAGGGTGAACATCTAGATACGTAGATAGGATGAGAGAGACAGAGAGAGATAAAGATGAAGACGAAAAAAATAGAAAACGAGAGAAAAAACTATTTTCTCTCCAAAAGCATTAAAGTCAACTTCCCGTTTTTGTGATTCGAAGTTCCTCCAAACATAACGACCCTTATATAGTTGAATTCCAAATGGCCCTTCCAGTTCATTGTCAGAAATTGTGGATGAAAGGCTGTGGAATAAGCTAAAGAGAGAATGAATAAAAAAATAGAGAGAGAATGAGAGAGATAGAGAGATAGAGGGAGGGAGTGAGTGAGGAAGATCAATGAAGCTTCAACTGTTTGTTATCTTCAAAAGGTAACATGTAGAAGAAGCTTGCAACTCCTTCGTTCAATGTTTTGTCTTTCTCTTTCATTCCTATTCTTGCTTCTCAAGCTCATTGAGTTTATTGTGGACGTATATAGCTTATAAAGAATAGAAACTATTTCTTCTCAATATGGTTTTAACCTTCCTACAACATCTCTCTTCGTTTGTGTGTATGTGAGTGTGAGTGTGAGTGAGTGTGTATGTGTGTGAGTGTGTGTGTGCGTGTGTTTCGATGTCATTTCCTGCTCTCTGCATGTTCGCTTCTTCATTGCCCGTATATTCATTTCTCCCTCTCTATCTCCATTTCTCCCTCTCTCTCTATCTCTCTCTCTATCCCTATCTTCTCTATAAACAACTACTTTCATCGCATCTTTGTTAAACATTTTTTTTATCTCCCTATTAAAGTTCCTGCTCTCTCTCTCTTTCTCTTCCTAACTATATTTTAACTATAACAAGTGCACTTTCCTTTTCCGTTGTTTCATCAGGAGCGAAAGGAACCTTTTCATCAGAAACATCCAAAAGCCAAATGAATGTTTTTCTTCTTTTTTCTTTTCAACTCGTGTCCTTCGTTTGTCTATCTCTCTCTCTCTCTCTCTCTATCATTCTTTCTCCCTCTTAACCTTCATTCTCTCTGAAATATTTTTTATTTTTGCTCTTTTTCCAGTTTTCATAAACAAAATAAAAAAAGTTCATCAAGTCAACAGAGGTATGCTCTATGCTTATTTGATGAACCTTTACCTTAAACTTATACCTTTTCAAAAAGATTAAAAGAGGGATGTTGAATATGAGAGTGATTGAAAGAGAGAAATAGAAAGAGAGAGAGAAAGAGAAAAAGAAGGAAGAGGAAGGGAATAATAGGATATATAGAGAGAGAGAGACAGAGAGAGGGGCGGACGAGGGAGGAACTTCGTTGAGCTTACAAGACATGGTAGTGTCCTATTCAGCCATAGAATATCCACACTGCAAAAACCTTTAAAAGAAATTTCTTTTTCTCTTGTTCCTCTTCATTTCATTGCTCATACTAGCATGTCTCTCTCCTTCATTCTCATTGTTTTTACAGAAACAGAAAAGTTTTTTTTTTTCTCTGTGGAAAAACGTTGAGTAATCACTTGGAAACTATCTCTCACTCACTCGCTTCCATTCAAAAATCTCCCAATTTTATTTTTGTTTTATTCAAATTTCCAAAGCATAAAAACTAGAAAAAGAAAAGAAAAAGCTTTAATTATGAGAACAACCGTACCCTGAGAGCGTGTGAAATGACATTACAGCTCACGTGTATCTCACGTGCCTTCCCTTTATAATGTTTTAAAGAACATTCTAACAACATCTTAACAAGTGCTTCTCTTGTTATTTCTGAAAAATTTCTTAGATTTTGATTAAATTTTGATATTTTTCAGAGAGAAAGGAAGGCGTATAGAGAGAGAGTAAGACAGATAGAGAGAGAGGTAGATAAGAGAGTGCTGTACCCGGTAAAACAGAAAGATATAGATAGAGAAAGAGAATGAGAAAGAGAGGTAAAGAGGGTGGAAGTGGAGAAAACAAAATCTTTTTTTTTTCTTCAAAAATTTTTGAAATCAATGAAAAAAAAAAAGAAGGAAGAATCTGATAAATTTCTCCGAAAATTCTTTTCTTTCCTCCAATTTCTCTTTCCTTGTATGTGATGACAAGAAAAAGCAGGAGGATATGAGCTATCTGGAGATAGAGAATGTAAAGAGAGGTAGAGATATTGATAGAGAGAGAGAGAGAGGGATAGAGGGAGTTAGAGGAACAGAGAGAGAGAGAGAGTAAGAGTATGTACTATTTGAATAAATTCAATTATCAAATGAATCAAAACAAAACAATTTATTCCAAGAGATAATCCAACCATTTTAACCGAAAGCCCTCCTTTGTAATTTCTTCTCCGACGACTTGTAGCCGAAAGGATACAAAAAAGAAAAAGAGAGAAAAAAAAATTATTTTTTCCCAGAACTGCTTCTGATTTTGACTCATCCATCGTTGTCTCATTTTTGTAATAAAAAAAACAATCTGAAAGCAAAAAGCAAAAAGAGAGAGAGAGAAGAGCGATGAGAGTGATATGTAGAGAAACCAACAGCGATAGCAACAACGACGACCACCATCACGACAACGAAACACAAGTTCAATCGTCCAAATTGCCTGAGGCATAGTAATCTCTCGTTTATGTGCCAATTCGTATTTATTTTTCATTTCATCTCCAACACACACACACACACACGTGTTCATTTAATTATTAATTAATTAACATATTTGAAAATGAAAATCAATAATTCGCATTTCCTATCAGAAGGAGAGTTGTTTGTTTCTCCACCTCCTCCACCTCCAAAGGTAATCTGAGTAGAAAATGCACGAGCTTTTTCTATTCTATTTCTCATTTTAATTCCCACTTCTTTATTTTTCTTCCACTCATTCCCCCCCCCCCTCCTTCACTCCATTTTTTTCCTTCTTTCCCTCTCTCTCTCTCTTTTCCTTCTTCTGTTGCCTTCTTTCTTCTTTTCTTTCGTAGCTTTAAAAGAAAATAGATGATGTCACCATGAACTTGTTGCATATTTTTGAGCTTTTCCTTTAAAACTGCAAAAAAAGACAAAAAAAACTTCTATTTTAAGACAATTGCCTCGTTTGACTGTCCGTCATCCATCCATTGACGGAACAACGATGGCCATCGATGGCGATGAAGTTGTGATGAGCGAACGGATTGTTGGTCCATCCGACGATGTGAGTGTGGAGTTCTTGGCAATCAGAAGTAATCAGAGACGTTGGACAGACACAGAAAGTGTAAGTTTCTATTCGTTTTTTTTTTACAGCTTTTACATATAATATTATGATGTGTATCTATATGTGTGTGTGTGGAAGTGGAGTTAGAATGAGATGATGATGATTTGAGTAGACGTAGAGATAGTTGATGAGAAACAAAAAAAAAATTGAGTTTGAATCTAACTTGTGCACAGAAGGAAGATCATTGAGCTTCACGTCATATAAGGTCGTCTGAATGATTCACAAGCGAAGATCTCACGTCATTTGTGAGCGTGTGAAAGAAGAAAACGATATTCAATCTCTCCATCAAAGATTGAAAGTTGAACACAAAAAAAAAGAGAAAAAAGATTTCGTTTTGAGACCATTTGAAGCTTTTTGTGCAACAAAATGCTTGCAAATCTCTCAATTTTCGTGTGTTTTATAACATTTTCTTGTTTTCTTTTCATGTTTTTCTTTCATTTCACAAGAATAATTCAATCAATTTTCCTTTCTTTTTCTTTTTTCTCAATTAAAAAATGAAAAAAAAGCTGCCACAAATTGAATGATTTGGTGTTCGAAGAGTAAGAGAAGAGGAGTAGTGCTGATGGGGTGGAGAGCTGCTGGTGGTGTTGGTGGTGTGGGGTGATGATGATGATGAGGATGGAATCTCCTTCCGTGTCGGTACTCTTCTAATCTGTCTCTATAACCCTTTAAAGAGTATCCCCCTTCTCTCTCTATCTTCCTCTTTCTTTCTCTCTCTATGTTCATATATCTTCCTTCTATTCATTCATCTTTCCCTCCCTTCCTCCCTCCCTCCTTCCCTCCCTCTCTTTTCCTCTCTAGAGAGCTCTCATCTACTTCTTCTCTTATACGGTTGTGTCTCACCACAAAGTGATCATTTCCACTAAAAAAAAGAAGGAAAAAAGCAATAGATTGTATCCATAGAAATTCTCTTTTTATTACATCAGAATTGCCCATAAACTCTGCTTTTACCTGCTTCAAATTAGTCAATTTCGTTGAATATATTTTCTTTTGACAACGTTCAACTCTTAACCATGTGCATAGTATGTACGTGTATATAGTTAGCGTTTCCATGCACCCCAATTTTCTTTTTTTTTATCCTATCTCTCTCTCTCTCTATAGGTTTACATCTAGCTTCATCTCTCTCTCTCTCTCTTTTTCGTTCAACCCATATGATATCATAATTAATTAAAATTTTAATTATTCAGCTTCATCTATGACTACGATACAGCCTGAGGGAAATTTCGTGAAGGTACAACAGTGAAAAGACCTCTCCATCTAGCATTATAAATTCTCACCTGCCTATCTGTCTCTCTCTCTCACTTGTTCCAATCCATACTTACTTCCCTTTTGAAGTTATAAATTTTTGAGGCTCATCGTTATGACGCTTTAAATTAAGTTCCGCCTTCTTATGAGTTCGATAGGCTTCTTGTCTTTTAATTAGATTTCTTTCTCGTCCATCGTCGTTGTCGGTTGACTGGCATACATCTGCACACATACACACACACACACACACACACACACACTCACTCACACACACACGCGCACATATGGTGCACACCTATCATCCTCTCGTACTCTCATATCCATACCTCATCTCTCTTCGACCTTCGAAGCCAAAAATAACACAAAAAAGAAATATTAAAACTCTATTGAAGCTTCTCCTAATTTGCCAGCTTAATCAGCTCATTTTCTGCTTCTTTTTCCTCATATCCCTGCCTCTGTCTCTCCTATTCCTTTCTCGCACTCGTCATAACACAAGAAGCTGAACCTTTTTAAGCCATTTTTCAAAATCAAGCTCACCATACTGCTCTGTATTTGTTCTATTATTATGTTGTTTGATCTTCAGAAGCCCTTTAAAGGCTATTTGATATTCTATTGAAGCTCTTTACCTTATAAGGCATTACTTTTCCTTTTTCTCTCATCTCATCTCTCTCTCTATCCATCTCTCTCCCTGAACCTGCCTCTCTCTCTCTCTCTCTCTCTGTATTTGGTTTTTTTTTTCAAAAATTAACTCAAAAACCTTCAATATTGCCATATTTCAATAACAAAAATCTGTCTTTGGCAGCTTATTTTCAATTGAAATCTCAAAATCATTTATTCAAATTTTCATTTGGAACTGATCACACACTTTTCATTTAAAACAACAATCAAATTGAAATAAACATCACCTTTTCTAAGAATTCAACACTTTTCTTCGTTATGAATCACCTTTTGCCCCCAAATGAATACAACACATGAAGCTTCTCAATCTCATGTACCTCAGGGAATTTGGGATGAAGGAAACATCATTTCAATGCATAGTACATTTATGTTTTTTTTTTCTTTTTTTTGATTTCATTTTATTCTTCAACAGCTTTTCGTCATCTCCTCATGTTCAGCTGATGCTGCTGTTCTCATCCTTATGTGTTTCCCAAATCAACACATCTGCTCTCTTGTTTATTCCACGTGAATATATATGTGTGTGTTTGAATGTACGTGACTCACGTGGCTTCCTCACGTGGAATATTTAAATGTTCAAACTTCATTTTTTACTTTTCGCTGTGACAGAACGGTTTACTTCTCAAAATCTTCTTTTTCTTCCAACTTTGTTTTGAACAACCTCCCTCTTCATTCTTTTTCTCTCTCTCTCTCTCTCTTTATTTCTCTCAAACACCCTCTCTTCCTCCCTCTCTCTCCTTACCAAGTCTTCAGGGAGTAATTATTGCGAAAAATGAAAGAAAATAACAGAAGAAACCATAAAATTTACGCCAGCTATTCAATTTCTTCAATAATTTTTTTATATTTTAAGGGTCATTTACGTGATTCACGTGATTCGTCTGGTTTCGATGGGTCACACGATCAGTTGGATGATATGTTGCCTCAGGCGATGACAGCTCCTGTATCGCCTTCTGTGCCGTTATCGGCAAGCAGGTATGTCAATGTTAGATATATGATCTATAAAAAGGGTAAGAAGCTCATCATCATCATCCTGTAAGCTATGACATGATGTGATGAACTAGTACAAGCTAAACATTAAAGAAGGATTTATAAAAATATTAATTATTGCAGTTACAGTAGTCAATCAGATGGTTGGAAATATTCATCTCAGAAGATTTTGTGGAAACTACGTCCTCGTTACATCGGAGGTTTCAGCCATAACAGCAGCACATCGTCTTCAACAGATTCAGCTTGGAAATCTTTGGTAAGCAGAATTGAAAAAGGGAAAAGAAAAAAGACGATAGGCTCAAAACCAAAAAAAAAAGAAGAAAAGAAGAAAAGAAGGAAGAAAGACAACGATGAAAACGGGAAGAAAGTGGGAGGGTTACCCAGAAAAAGAAAAATATATGATAAGCTTCATCTAATCTGAGATGAGAAGCCATGTAATAAGCGATCTTCTTTTTTATGAACATTTATTTGAATTTGCTTCATTGCTCAAAGATATTCTCAAATATCTATCTCTATTTCAATTTTGGCTATCTTCTCATCATCTCCGCCATCATCGTCATCATCGTCTTCTTCTTCTTCTTCTTCTTCTTCATAAGCAGAGCCGTCATCACAAGCGAATATGGAATTGGCTATTCCCATCATGAAATATTTGAAAATTTTATATTTTCCAACATTCAAATTAACACGAATGGTTAATTACGTATATTAATTTAATTTCAAAAAAATTTTTTATTTTTTATAAATAAAATGAAAAAAAAAATTTTTTTCTTCTTCAGGACAGCAGCACATGGAGACACTCATTGGATGACAAAGAAATCATTTTGCGAGGCTTACAAATGGAAACTTTGTCTGATGTCGAACGTTCAGCTTTACAATCTGTTGCCCAACAACGATTAGCAAAATTATTGCCAGGGGTTTCCTTAAGCAAATCAAAAGGTTTTTAACTTCTTCAATCCGGCACTCCAGCTGCTTCTCTTGCTTCCGCTCTCTCTCTCTCTCTATTTATCTGTTAGGAATCTCTTCCTGGCTTTTTTCGTTTTCTTCTGCTCCCAGCTCTGTTGCTTCCTATTCTCACATAAACATCGTCTTCTATATCTTATTTCTGTTTAAGATCCTCTCTCTGTTTTGCGGCAAAAGCGTCAAAAACTAATAAAAACCAGCCGAACACTTACTGTTGGTGATGTTAGTCGTCGTCCAAGTGGATCATCGGCAGACGGAGGTTTCAGATTTTCTCAGCTGTTCACAAAAATAATATTTTGTTGTTGATTTAGAAGAAAAACGCTTATTTGGAGTTTCATTGATAGATTGTATGCAGAATGAGCGACGATTAGATTTAGAAAGCCGTTGTCGATCTTTAGATGATTCAGCTGTGTCGTTAGCAGTCCCAAGAAGGTTTCCTCATTTTCTTTCATTCATTCATATTCATTATCCATCTTCAACCATTTAAACAATGTAGTCATCATTCTCATTATTATCATTTTCAGTAATAGAACACCATCATGTGTTGGTCCAATATCTGTTGTGCGATCAGAGCCCGAATTCATTCATGTAATTGACCATAGTCGTCGATGGCTTTATCCATCCACTCAGGTATAACAAGCCTTTATCTAAGCTGTGAATAAAAGATTCTCAGGATTTATATCCATCCACCAATCCTTCGTCACCATCTCCATTGGTAGGATCAGCACCTCCCACTTGCTCTTTGCCACCCATTTCCACGTTGTCAATTCAGAATAATTATGTTTCCACGTCACAACACTTATTAGCAGAGGTAATATAATTCTTCTTGTTATTCTACGGGAATGGGAAAAAAACAAAATGATTAAGATTATACCGTCTCATCCAACACCCGCAGTTCAAAATGGACGGTTTATGAAAAAACATCGACCATCATCAGCTTCTCTTTCATATTCGTTAGATGGAAATGTGGATGAGATTGATCCTCATGCTATCAGAGTTCCACGCGTTGTTGAGAATTGTACGCAATACCTAATGGCTTACGGTAACAATTGCAAAAATTAAAAATTAAAATAAAAATATGAAAAATTGAAGGTTTGACGTCAGTTGGATTATTTCGGGTAGCAGGTAATCAGAAGAGGTGTCGTCAGTTGCGAAGTGCCTTGGAGAAGGTGAGAACCAATCGAATAGCTAATATATATGAATATATCTATATGTTTGAAGGTTGGTGGTGGAATAGCTATAAATGATGAAATGGTTGAAAATACAACAACGCATGATGTAGCGACCCTGCTGAAAGAATACTTCCGCGATTTGCCTCAATCTCTTCTTCCAAATGATCATTATCAAGCCTACTTAGCTAGTTCAAGTAATCTATCCATAACATATAGCTAGACGGATTATGTTTATTATAGGATTATCATTGGAGGAGCGAATTGAATGTATTCGCTTATTGATTGCTCTGATGGATGCAACTTCCGTAGACACCTTATTTGTCTTATTGAAGTTCCTTCATGTAGTAGCTCTGCACTCTACTGATTTAGAATCAGAGGACGGGGAGGTATGTGATTGTTCATGTATGGCCATCATACTATGATATCATATTATAGACTATAAATGGAAATAAAATGGATGCAAAAAATTTGGCGACAATATTCGCTCCATGTATTCTTCGACCTGATCATGATAAGCTGCAACTCAATTTAGCTGAAAATGATATGCAAGTTACGGTAATGGAGACAATGATTACACATGTAGAAGATATTTTCCGTGTAAGACTATTAATAAGAATATTTGTTTTCTAATGCTAATCCTCTTATCAGATCCCAAAAGAGTTACAATGTAAGCTTTATAATCGTCTCAGAGAAACTGAACCTAGTAGACTTGATCGCGTACTTGACAACTTAGCTAAAGCTGAAGGGTAAGCTGAATGTAATTAATGAATTGTTTCTATAATCTCCTGTTTCAGAGGCGAACAACCTCTTTCATCTCCTTTTCCGGCAACTGTAGAAGAAGATATACCCTTAGAGTCTACACATCCAAATGGAAAAAGTATGTTTACACAAGTATCAAATGAACGTCACATTGAGAATTCCACGTGAATTGTAGATTCCACGTGATACCACGTGCACTTCTTTTGGCCTTATTTCTAAGCATACATTCTAATTTATTTTTTTGACTCAAACAAACGGTTGAAGTATACACTTTCTAGCTCATACTCATTCCTTTTCAGCAAAAGTATGTTCGCAACGAAGTGGTTCATGGCCGTTCTCATTACGATCACCAAAAGCTCAGCGTTTCTTTCCAAATGAAGATTCTGTTGGTATGTGTTATTCATTTTCAATATTATTATTAATTCATTATACTTGAAGAGACAGAAGAAAATTCTACAACTACTGCTGCATCAGCTGACAAATCTCCTAATGCAGCTTCATCTATAAGCTCGAATTCTAACCCGCCAATTACAAAGGATGGATTATCTACTGCACCTGTGTGTAGTGCTAATACAAGTAATTCATTTTAACATATGGCTTTTAATCAAATTGCATGCTAATTTAGGTAATGCCGGTCGGTCTCCATCACGTGAACGAGAATTTCTAAGGTCAGCCGCCCGACAAGGAGCTGCTGCCGCGCGACGAAGGTTACGCAACGTTGTTCGAGCCTTCCGTTTCAGTAGTGTTGCTCGAAGTACCCCTAATATGACATCAAATTACACGTGATTTACCACTTGTATCTGTTAACACGTGATTATAACATATAATTATCAATACGGGTAGTTATAAAGATGCTCATAATTATCTCAGAAATTAGATGAAAAAAAAAGAAAATGAAGAAGAAGAATACTGTTTCTATGCTTCTTCCTTTGTGGTTTGTGTATTAGACAATAATTTATAAATGATTAGTTATGTTAACTATATGCTAATGATGTTCCATAGCTGTGATTCATACCATCTCTTACTTCTCTCATTCCATTTCTCCTTTCATATTTTCATTTCCCACCTTCGAATTTTCTCCCCTCTCTCTCTCTCTCTATCTCCTCTCTCTGTGATGTCTTTTCTCTCTTTTCTAGTTTCTCTTGACAGCAGCCATCTACGGGTCAGCTTGCTTCCCTTAATCAGTCTAGTAGTACTACATACATATACACATATTGCTGCACTGACGCACCTTCTTGACCATCTCCCATTTTCCGCCATTTTTGAGCATTTTTTTGTAACAACCATAACGCTATTGGGATGTGCCAGGTGAAGGACCTGAATCCTGCCCAAAGCAGAAGGGAGATAGTACTAGAGCCAGAGTAATAGTACTGGAGCGACAAAAAAAATGGCTGAAAGAAGCAGGATAACCGATGCTGCACCCAATGGCGCAGTCGTTACGTCGGCTGTATCTTATTCTGAAAGCACGATCGCCTCCCATTGGCACAACAAAAATAATTTTTTGCTATTTTCCATTTTGTTTATTATATTAAAGATATAATGGTGATGTACTTACGTGAATCTTAAACCTTTGCCAACTTTGAACTTTGCACAAACTTTGAAGATGAAACATTTCAGGCGATGTTTTTATAAAAGAGAAAAAAAAAAAAATAAATTTTTTGTTATTTCCGTTAATCCTTATATGGTCTAAGAGCTAGATGAAAGTCAACGATTTAATTATATGTTATTAATTAAATTTTTAACATAAAAAGCAACGCATAAAGAACAACAACAACACGAAACATCTGTTTTCTCTCTATCGGTCATGCTCATCTTATATAATGACGTCACACATTGTTATGGAATGTTATGTGCTTTAACATATAAACTAACTGAAAGGTTAATATATAGGTTAAGAATTAATTAAAGAGCATATTCGTTAATTACGCCAACTCCGCCTTTGTCAACAACATCATCTTATTGTACTCATTTGCATATTTCATATTCAAGACTACTGAAAGATGGATGAATTTGCTATCTATTTACCATGCGATGATAAATGGTATGATTGGTATGAAATAGAGCCAACCTTTCATATTGATCGTGCTATGGAAGAAGTTTGTTATATCATCCTATTACATATAGTTAACATAGTTTATTCATTTCCAGAGATCATTCATTTCAAGCTATTTGTCATCGTTCATTCATAATGCACATGATAACAGGTTATTCACATTTTACTTCAATATCTTTTCCTCTCTTACTCACATCTCATCATCTCTCTAGCATCTCTCATCAAATATACACATGCATGCACACCCTCTCTATATCCTTTATTCATTTATTATGTTTCATTCTAATTATATTATTCATTTTAGAGCTGTCTCAGCTTATGCTCTCTTCTTTCGTGAGAGACAGCCGTCTGCCAAAAAGCTCTTTCCAAATGCCAATTTTGGTGATTTTTCAAAAATGATTGCAGCCGAATGGCAGAGTATGAGCTCAGCTCAACGAACGGTAAGCGCTCTTTGACCTGCAGCTCAATAATTTCTTTCAACATTTCCATTTATATCTGAGTGACTAATCCTTTTCCCATTTTCAGAATTACAAGAAGAAATCAGAGCGATTACGGCGTCAACAGATTCGCTTAGCTGCTTTAGCTAAAATACAGAGAGTTGTTAATTATAATTAGAAAGATATGTATTGATTACCTATTTCTATTATTATTTTTTATTTTTTTTCTTCGCCAAATTTACATTTTTGGTTGTTTTTGTCATTTTTTTTTGTTTTCTTTAAAGAAAATGTTTTTACATATAAGCTTTATACCCATATAAAGAGTTCTTTTCATTCCTTTAACTCTCCATCTATATAAGTAAGTAAAGAGGTTATGATAGATTATCAGCTGTTAACAGCATAACCTCAAGCAGGCTTCATCCGTTTCATTGCTAGTTTATTTCCTTTTTTTTATATATTTCCTACACCATTCATTACATGAATGATGGACCTAGTGAATGAATGAAGAGAGAAACAGCAAGAGAGAGGGAGGGAGAGAGGCACAGATAGATTCTTAGAAGGCTGCAACAAGAATGAAATAGAAGGAGAAAGAGATAAGCAACAAATCCCAAAAGACAAAGATATCCCTTCAAAACAGTGGATAAAGAGAGGGAGATAGATGAAGAGAGAGAGAGATGTAGAAAAGGGTAAAGCTGGATAGAGATGAGGGTAATAGTGAGGGGTGGGGGAGCTGGGGAAAGGTTGATGAAGGAGAGTATGAGACATTTTCACTAAAAGACCACTCAAATCTATGAGAGATATGAGAACAATAATGACGTTTTTCCGTTTTTTCCGACTTTCATCCTACCCGTTAATGGTTGTGTTTGACTTATGACTGAATCACCTGAGTGTAGAGAGAGGTTTGCCCTTAAAAGAATCTTATTTTTTACCTTTACACTTAATTTCATTCAAATAATGAAAAACATTTGTTTCATTATTGATTTTCTTCAATTTAATGTTTACGTGAATGTTCACGTGAATCACGCGATGGGTCATTTAATGAATTTTGTTGACGCCGAGCGGTTGGTTGCTTTCTCTTCATCATCTTCATTTCAATCTTCTCTCACTCATACCCTCTATTTCGTTCCTTCTCTTTTAATTTAGTCCCTCTCTCTCTCTCTATCATTCCCTCTCTCTTTATCAGTCACTCTCATTCTTTCACTTTCCTGAATTTCACCTTTTCTCGAAAGTTCCTTCTGTTCTGTTAAAGATTCAAAATCTGAGTCATAAAATGCATGAAAAATGCATGAAAAAAAAGTTTTGTTTGTGTGTTGTTTCCACAGAGAGAGAGATAGAGAGAGAGAAGAATGAGATGGCTAGAGAGAGATATAAATATAAAGAGAGAGAGAGAAAGGAAGATGAGATCAGAATACAAAGAGGGAGGGAGAGTTAAAGAGAAACGAAAGCGAAGGAAGGAGGGCAGAAGAAAACTCTGAAAAACAACAATTTTTTTATTTCACATGAGATATTCTGACTAATTATGCTATTATAGTTAGTTCTTTTTATGACTTTTTATTTGGTCTTTTGTGTCTTTTTGGACATGTACCTTCTTTGTTATTCTATTTTACTATTCCATTACATGGAACCTTTCCTCTCCTTCCCTCCTCTCTCAATTTTCTCTCTTTTGCTATCTCCCCCCCTCCATACCCTCCTTTTTGTGCTCAACTCCTCATTCAATCCTCCCTATACTCATTTTCTCTCTCTCTATTTCTGTTCGATTCTCTTTCTATTCATCTCTCTCTCTCTATCTTTTCTATCTTTTTTTCCACTTTATTCACCTCTCTCTTTCTATTTCTTTATGTCTCTTTCTCTCTCTCTATCTCTTCTTCCCTTTATTACTCTCACCCTTTCTTTTTCTCTTATTCTCCTTATGTTTTATATCTCTTAAGCTTCACCAAGCGGTAAAGACTATGACGACCAAAAGCTGCTTCCCTATGTTTCTCCAAAATTTCAATTAGTTCAAACCTTCATTCGAAGCTTCTTTTCTCTTCATTCCTCTTATATTCAACTCCTATTGTTAGTTTTCCCTTATTCCTCTCTCTCTCTCTCTCCATAGTTTTTTAGTCAAATTTTCTTTTTTCTTTTTTTCATCCGAAAATTTACCAGCTTTACTCGACGTTAGTCAGCCTAGGCTTCTATATCAGACAATGGAAGTTTGAAGGCGAACGAACCATTTTTTTGCTCTCTCTCTTTCTATCTAATGTTCTCTCTCTTTTTGTTTTTTTTTGGCTCTTAGCCAAAAACACATTGAGATGCTTAGTGTCACAATCCTATTTTGCATCCGACTATACCATATAATCAATATTATTAACTATAAAAATGTTTTTTTTTGTTTCGAACAAATGCTTGAGCGTCAGTTGCTTCTTGTTCATCATTCTCGATTCCTCTCCCTCTCTCTATCTCTCTCTCTCTCTCTCGTTTTGCTCTCTCTCTATCTAGCCTTACCTATGACATCATTCATTTATGTAAATTTTAAGCTTTACCATTATGAACATATTTGGAAGAGCATGTTAGCTGCTCGAGGAGTATCGTTGGGCTTAGGAAAGATCAATCTTTCGGATTTGAATGAATTGCCAGGGGATAGAAAGAGGTGACGAATAGAGAAATAAGAAAAGAAATTTCCTTTTTTTCTTCCTCTTCTCATTCCTTTTCCATTTTTTCAACAAAAGCATCTTGCAGACGATATGAACAGAAAAAGGAGGAGCAGCCTAGTAAACCTCGCATTAGGATTAAAAAGAAAGCTGATGCTAAGGTGAGACAATTCGATTAACATTGAAAACATGAAGAGAGCGCAGGATGAGAAGCAAAAACACGGGAAAAGCCTTTGCATATCAAAGTTTGTAAGAAAATGTCCAACGACTTGTCGTTGGAAGCAAAATCTTTTTTCCTTAAAACTTATCGCCAAAGTAACAAAAAGGTAAAAAAAAATTTTATTTTTTTCTATTTTTCTGCTTCAGGAATTTTTAAAATTTTTTTTTTTCAAAACAAGCTCTCTCTTACACTTCTAGCTTCTCTCAAGGTCCTATTCTATCCACATCTTTCTAATTCTCTCTCTCTCTATTTTGAACTCTCTAACTATGGCATGATATTTCGTGGAACATTTCTATGACAACCAGCTGCTGATTGTCAAATCCTGGGAAGATTCTTCCAAAAAAAGTTTTTAATGAGTATTCACACACTCATTGAACAATTAAAATGGAAATCTTTGTATTTATCTATTCTCTCGTTAAGCTTCTCCTTGTCTACTCATTGCTCTCTCTTCTACACTTTCTATCGTAGATACCTTCTTCATCCGAAATAATCTCTAACACTCTAGACGGATGTCTACATTTCAGCTTCAGAAAAAGCTTGTCCTTATAGGAAGGAACAATGCATCTGGCACCTATACCCCTTCTATTTCCGGAAAAGCTTATTCGTACTTTAAACCTCACCTTTTTTCCCTCTGCATTGTCCTTGTCACTTCATTGGTCATCTCTCTCTCTCTCCCTCTCCCTCTCTCTCTATTTCTGTCTACCTCTTACTTACTCCCTCAATTACTTTTTACCTCTCTGTAACTCTTTCCATCTTAACCTATACTTTACTTTTACATACTTCTCTCTATCTCTCTCTCTCTCTCTTTTTCTCTCTCTCCCTCCTTCTTCCTATTTTCTTTTCTCTCTTGCAAAAGAATAAGCTTAGTGAAGTAATGTGTCTCCGCCTTCTTTTTGAATGAAAACCTATCTGGGCAAAAGCTGGATACGCTTAAGCTGGCTCACCCTCATATCATTAACTTTTCTTTTCTCTTATTCTTTTCTCTATATGGTCAGACCTTCTGAGAATGATCAGGTAAAATCGATAAGTAGTATAGTTAGCATAGTTTGAGAAAGTGTGAAACTCGAGATGATTGTTTTTTCTCAAAAAGAGATTTTACTATTGATTTCTTCATAATTAGCATAATTAAAGACCGTCTGGGCTGCATGTCGAGCTGTGATGTTTGGAAGTATTATAATAGTAATCGGATTAGCCATGACCATAATTGGATATTTTGATAAACATTTTTCACAGGTTAATTGTATAATTAGCATAATCAGCATATGATGCTTGTCTATTTCAGAAGGTAACTGTGATAGAAGGTATCGAATCATATTATTACGACAAATTTATTCAATATCAGTTAAAGAGTATGCAGGTGAGTGTATTGCTTTCATACACCAATCTAATCATTCGTTATAGTATTTGGGACCAATTCTGATGGGTGTTGGAGCTTTCATCCTCATAATTGCTTGCGTGGTGACGTTAGAGAGTCGTGATAGGCATACACAGGTAACCTACTCTCGTTCTATTTCTCATTTACTACCTTCTCTCTCCTTTTCTATCTTTCTCTCTCTCTTTCTATCTCTTCAAATCTCTTTTTCTTTCCATTTTTATTCAAACCTCCATTATCATTGGCACTATTCAGATAATATCTGAAGATTCGCATAAACGTCGACGGCTGTTATCTGAAGTTGATGAGGAGCAGCATGAGCTGATTGTTCGCAAACGATCTACAAACCAAGTAAAGTATGTTGATTCATATCGTTATCACTATTATATCCTTGTGACCGCAGAACGTTCGCGGAAATTCATCAACCACAGATTGGCTTAGCACCTTTAGCAGATTTTGAATCAGTTGTCAGTTAATTATATGATATAATTAAAATGATTAATTGTTACAGGATATTCATTCGTGTTGTAGCGAATTAACGACTGACAGAGATGTTGTCATACAAATGACAGAAAAATAATATTATGGGTTTAACTATATATGAATAATAAGCATAACTAACGGGTATACAAAAATAAATGTTTATTATGAAAAATTAAATAATGCAAAGAAAACTGAGTAACACGGTATGTAGGAATGTGAATGATCGTTGTTTTGTGTTTTTGCTTTCTCTTCTTCATCTTCTTCTTCTTCTTCTGCTTCATCTACTTATACTCTCTCTCTACCCTCTCTCGCAACCAGTTTACAATCTTTGGAATAAATTAAAACTTTTTGAAAACGGATGAAGATGAAGCTTAAACTATGCTTGCTTAAACTATAACCTGAATGAGCATGTTTGAGCTTCATCTTCAATACATATAAATATATATATATATATATATGAACATTGCTATTAGCATAACGATACTTCTGAACCACATTCCAAGTCCAAAATGATTTTGTTAGCAATTGGTTCAATGGTCGATTTTTCTTCCATCCATTCATCCTCTGTATGTATTGAAGAATTTTCCGTTGAAATATTATCGGAATCTCTTAATTATGCTAATTATAACAGATTATATTATAATGTGTGTATACATCGTTGTTGTGGAGGTCATTTGTTCCTCATCTGATGATGATTCTGATCGTCTAACTCTGCGACGATCAGCTTCAACTTGATTTCTCGAAATTTCAGTCTGAAAAATTTTTCGCAATTACATTAGCATAAAATTAAAATATAATTAGACTAACAGGCAATGGAGGTAAAGCCCTATTTTGGAAATTGTCTTCTTCCGAATTCATTTTGGTCATTCCTTCCATTGAAATTGGAACAGACATTTGTTTAATCTTCAACTTCATTATTCGAAAAAAAAAGTCAAATAATCGACCAAACCTGATTATTTTTGGGTTTTTTTTGGAACATAAGAGTGTTCAATTGAAGAAAATGATCAGGAACAGCTAAAGTAACATTACTGATTATATCATATAGGTTAAGCATACTATTTGGTTTGCTGAAATCAACGACTGTACTCTCATGTCGACGAATCTTATCGCGTGGATGGAATCGAGCAGATTCAGCACGAGCTGTCTGATTTTCCTTAATTAGGTTGATTATATAAAAGGTTTTTGGGCTTATTAAATATATTTTTAAAAAATACCTTGGCTAGTACAAAGGCGAGAAGTCCTAAGGCAAAGATGGCCATTATCATAGAGAACAAGGCAAGAATGGCGTTTAAGGTTAAGGCGGAAAGGATGTCCGGCAACCTCATAGGGCAATGAGAGTAAACTGAAATATATACTTACAAGAGGAACAAGAAGATAACGAGGTAAAAAGAGAAAAAAAGAGATTGAGAAAGATAGAGAGAGAGGTAGAGAGAGAGGTAGAGAGAGAGAGAGAAGGAAGGTCATTTAATAGAAAAAGGGCTCAGTTCAAGTGTTTACAACAAAGTTTAAAATACATTTTTTTCTCTTCTGTAAATGGAAGTGGAGAGCATTCATGGTCAGTTTAATAATGTAATAGAAAATGAATATGTGGAATAGGAGAAGTATAAGGGAGGGAATGTTAAGAACGAATGAAGTGATGAGACAACCTTTAACCTTCTGTTCCTTTTTTGGCGGCGAAAAGTAGGTTGGCGGAACATCACTTGAAGGTTAAATAAGATGAATTCTATTAAAACATCTTTCCCCTTTTATGGACTATTTGAATATGAAAATGAAGAGTGTGAAGCTTATGATCAGGTATGAAGAGTATATGAATGTGTAGGAGGAGATGTAGAGAAGCTCATAGTCACAGTTTGTGTATGGATATGTGTGTGTGAGAAGTAAAAAATAGAATTTTAATACGAAGAAGCCTGTGTATATAAAGGAGAATCGAGAGATGAAGAAGAAAAACGTGAATGTTTTCTGGGTCAGTACATCTATCAAAGTCATCAAATTCTCTTTCTGCGACACCTTCTTTCAGTTTATTTCAACAATTACAGTCAAATTTGAATTTCACGTGATTTCACGTGACGTAATATCATTTATGAAAAGCAGAACGAAATGAATTCATTCGAGATAATGGCAATGATGATGAAGCGGTTGTGGTGATTGAAGATGATTTTCAATGGAATTTTATGTCAAAAGTCAGCTTCAAACAGGATGAAGCTGAAGATAATGTTGGAATAATTAGCTATGAAAACCAGATTATCAAACGTTTCTTGTGTGAAATGTAAAAGATATATCAACTATATGTATAATTAAAGGATTAATATAATAGAGGGTAAAGAGGGGCAAAACAGAGAGAGAGAGAGAGAGAGTGTAAGAGAGAAGAAGTAGGAGAGGACGGCGCAGTTGGTTTCAAACGAAAACTATGTCTAAACGATTAGCTTTAAACGTTTTTCTGCGGTCATCTACATCCACATGTGTGTATGTAAAGGTGAGTGAGTGTTCATTTCGTGTATAACACGGACGATGACAATAAGCGATTTGCACGAAATGACATAATCAGAGGAGAAAAAAAAACTTTTTTGTGTTCGTAAAATATTGTTGTGAAAAGCTTTTCTTCCTCATCAACTAGAAGAATGACCATTGAAAGAAGATCATTGAGAGATCGTATATAACTGAGATAGGTAGAGAAGATGTAAAAAATATTTTCGGAAAGATCAAGTGCGAGAGCTGCTTGTAAACCGGATGGATGTTAGCTTGAACGAGCCGGATGAGTAGACTGGATGATCTCAAAGAGTTCTGCATACTTAAGATAATTATACTAATTATGTCTTAGATGGAAATTATTTTGAAAGCAAAGAGAAAAAGATGTTGAATAAAAAAAAAAACTTAAATTTCTGATTAGAAAGATGTGCGATTCTCGGCGCACAGCAAGACAGACAGATGAATGATTACGATTTGAAGCTAAATGAGGGGAACTTCATTCAAACAGGATTTTGGATGTTTAAATGAAATTATTCAAATTAACAGTTAATCTTGTTTCTATTGAATACGAAAAATGAAAAAAAAAGATTTTAATATAGATGAAGCTTATGGATGAGCCTTGTGCGACTGTCATCTGCACCACTTGGATTTGGAGATGATGCTCCGCCCGTACTATGCAGGTGCTTTTCAAGAGGAACATGATCCGAATTATGTGAAAAAGATGAATCAGATGAATAGGAAAGCAAGGGAAAAGCCTGTGCGATCTGTTTGTTATCTCTTGAACAATGTGCAAATGATCAACAAATATCATGACCTCCATCCTTTTAAGCATTTCTCTCGTAGCCTCTCACCTTATTGTTTTTTTTAGTTGGAGTCTTTCTCTCTCTCTCTCTCTACTTGTCATCATCTTTATTCTCTCTATATACCCTTTTCTCCTTGTATTTCACTCTCTATATACCTATTTCTCTTGTAAGCACTCGAGTGTTTGACAAATGTTCAAATCTTCTTCTTCTTCACAATTAGTATGTTTCTAAATGAATTCTCTCTTCAGCCGTCTTCCATTGCTGAAGTCCTTTGCTGATGACCAATGAAAACTAATTTTCATTTTATGTACTCAGGCGGCATCATTGATTTACAAAAATAATAAAAATAAATAATAAATAATTGGAAATTCAAATTAAACAGTTAAAAATAGAAAACCGTAAAGCAGAAGAAAGGAAAGAAAAAGAAAGAAAGAGGGACATTGCGAGGGAGAGAGAAAGAGAGAGAGAGAGGGGGAGATGATTTTCAACTTTCAACGATAAATACGTGATGTTTCAAGGTTTATTTTAACACCAAAACGTTCATGATCACTGAACGATTGATTTTGAAGAAAAAAATTTTTCTTTTTCTTATTTGATTTGAAAAAAAAACAAAAAAAACATTTAATGATTGTGATGTTTGCACTCGTATTCGTGAAGTTACTACTGTACACGCTTATCATCAACACATGACACGTGAATAGAGAATTCAGAGATTAATCAGTTTATTTAATTTATTAACGAATAAAAACGATTCTGAAGAAGGTTCATCACCTATATCCTGTCGATCAGCAGATCACGCGTGTTCATCATGTCACGCAGATTGCACGTGAAATGTGGACTCCTGTACGTGAGATCGACTATTATTTTTTCATTTTCATACTTGTAGTCGAGTTGATCGGTTGTTATTCTATTTGCAATTTTTGAAAGTTTTTTTTCTTTTTCTGTTCATCACTTCTTTACTTTTCCACTTTCATACCTTCATGGCATGAACGAAAGACTCGTAGCTGTGGAACGAATGAACTTCAAACTCAAATTACCTTGGAAAAGGTTTTTTTCTTTCTCTATAAAGAAAATGGAAAAAATTCTGGTCGTCAAATCGCTTTTTATCTCTTGTCTTTCAACTTTTCTCACAGTCGATGGACAGTTCAGATGTATAGACATCTGTTTCTTCTTCAAATAGATTCTCTTTATCATTTCATTATTCATTTCAGTCTTCTGGAGACACATTCACACTCACACACACACACATCAACAGCCTTTTCAGTTTTAAGGAAATAGATAAACAAACAAATAACATCGTCATCGTTTCTTTCTCGTCCATCTGTATACTTGGGTAAGTTACTTTAACTTCTTCTAAAAATAGATTTCAAAGTATCTCTTCTAACACCTTACCTATCCTCGTCTTTCACTTTCTCTCTTCACTCTTTCTCTTTTCTCTTCGATTGAGTTCCTCACTGTGGCTTACAGTTTTTGAGTATCATGAAATAATTATATTCAATTATCGATTGGAATGACCTCATATGATTATCAAAACGTTTTTGCCAACACTGAATTGAAGTTCGACGTGCACCCGATGGGTTCATCTTACGGGAATATCAGTTCCCTTTTCGAGACGTTCAGAATGTTCCTGATATCCTTTAAGTACTCAGATGCATATTTATAGCGACCTGATCATTCTCATCAACTATACATGATGACACAGGTTGAACAGTTCAATAAGCTGAAACCATCCATATGTATAAGTTTGTCAGTTCAACTTGATCCCCTCCTCCTTCCCCCTCTCCACCTTCTTTTCCCTATCTCGTTCCTTTCTTTTATAGATCTTCGTCAATCTCTTTATCAGTCACAACTTCGTACCCCTCATCTTCGTTCAATCTTTCTATCACTTTCTTTCTAAATTATTTTTATTTTCTGACGTAATCAGCTCATCGACCATTTTTCTTGCATTTTCTAAATAATTTTTTTTCATCCGTTCATTCATTTTAATCCTTAGATCAGAAATTTTGTAAATTTCCATTTCATTTCGCCGCTTCTGTTTTCTCCTGTCATCCGGTTATCATTCGATTCTAGTCTAGCCATTTCTTGGATATTACGTGAAGACGTTGTTTCATAAATAGGTCATGTTATCCAGGTAAGCAGTTCATCTTATTCTTCCTTCATTTCTAACTTTTCGTCTGAATGCCATAATTCCATTCATACCGTTAAACTCTGAGACTTCTTATCGCCTCTTCAACATCCTCTTCTATAACAGCGTTTTTCATTCGTTTTTCATTCATTTCTCTCAATCTATATTTTACAAAGCACATCTTCAATACTTACAATGATCATTCAGATGATCATTCAATACATAAATCGGAAGTAAATGCAATGTGGACAGCTTTTCATATTGATAACACTTGTGCTATCATCTCAAGGTTTCTTTTTAGCTTACATCTTTCATACTTCAACCTGATCATCTGATTCATCTATCCTTGTTTCAGTCACAATAATTCACAGCCAATTTCATTACAAACTTCCCGGTGTAGGGAGCGAGGAAAACGACGATGACACTACTAGTAAGCAATCATCTTCAATTCTTTACATTCTTATTTGTCTGTAGGAACAAAACAACATGTGGAAACAGCTGACGGTGGCATGGAAGAAGCTCCCCGAGGCATTTACCATTTTAGTGATACAGCCCAGAGTATTGGATCCCGTTTCAAAGTTCCCGATTTCGAAGAAGTTTGTAATTCGATTGTTTCTGCCTCATATGAATAGTATTAGCTGGATCCATTACGAATGGTCTCAGATCTCATGGGAACAGCTCTTCAAATCCAGAATCGACGTAAAGCATTGACAGGGTTCGAGCTTCCATTACCATTTGCCGGTCGGCCAATGAATCTTCAGGTAGAACATGGTGAACAGATAAGCGTTCACTGAATCATTTATTACAGGTATCATCTGATTTCACAAAAGGCACATCAATGGCTGATCCATCAAAAAAGCCTGCAGAGAATAAGCTGAGCTTAAACAGTGAAGCTCGTGAAGCATTTCAAAATGCTCGTCAAATATGTTTATCAGATGCTCATGTAGAATCATGTGATGAGGTAATTAACATAAATATAAGTGTAAATAATTTTATAAAAATAATTTTAAAGGCATTAGATACATATCATCGAATAAAATTCGGAAAATCATTATTACCATCAGCGTCCATCACAGATGATCCAACAACATCATTAGCCCGACTAATGGTACCCAATTTGGATGAGACATTGGAAAAATTAAATCGCAGGGATGATCAAACAGCTTCTAATATAAACAACTTTAGTGATAATCATGATAGGAGAGTAGATGAAGAAACTTATGATGATGAATAATACATATCATTTTTGTAATTAATAATTGATAAAGAACATTCCATGTATGCTACCTAATCTAATCATTTGTGCCAAAAAAGGTATTGACGAAATGAAATCTTTTATATTTCTCTTATTATGTCTTCTTCAATATGCTAATTGTGATTATCATATTAATGTAACTATACAAGAGACATCAGCTGTCATAACAGGTTCATCATATCCATGTATGGTACATGACAGTCGTCCATTTAGAGTATACTCTAAGGGCCAACTAACTGTCTGTACATACACATATAGAGATCTCATATATCATATCATATATAGGATGGCTACATCCGTATGGAAAATCATGGAGAGGAATACCTTACGCATTATCACCGATTGGAACTCGCAGATTTATGGTTTGCTCCAAATATCCTTCTATGATAGATACAACAGAAACCTGAAAACGTTTAATCATCGATCAGAGATTAAAGATAAACAACTTTTTGAGAGAAATGATACTTCTCTAGATCAATCTCTCTTTTTCTATCATTCAATTCTCAACAATTTTCTTATTTACTTGATATTACAGTATGCGCAAGAGAAAATACCTACTGGATACATCTCAGCTTTGAGCTATGACTCCATTTGTAAGCAGGGCGCTCAAGGAAGTGAAGATTGCTTGTATTTGAACGTTTTCAGCTCTGTGGTTTGTTTACAATGGATATTCGATGAGAAAGATTTTAATCTTTTTTTCTCATTTAGAAATCATCTAGCACTGATCGTTTACCCGTCTATGTCTTCATTCATGGCGGTGGATTTGTTGAAGGAAGTGGAGAAGTTGGTCCTGGCATCTATCCAACACTCGTTGATAAAGGGCTCATCTTGGTAACGTTCAATTATCGACTTGGACCATTCGGTAGTTCGTTCTTACATACTTGAATTGAAAGAATGTTTGAGGCTTTTTCTCTACTCGAGATACCATTGCTCCAGGCAATTTTGCGATTTCTGATTGCATAGAAGCATTGAAATGGGTTCAGAGGTGTCGTTTTTCATTCAAAATATTATTGTTTAACTTATATCCATTAATTCAAGATATATTTCAAATTTCGGGGGAGACCCTAAACGTGTTACTGTTGGTGGTCACAGTTCAGGTGCTGAAGCTGTATCTTTCTTATCATTGACTAATGCAGCGAAAGGTAGAACATCACGTGCATAACAACATGTTATCTCTTTAATAGGATTGTATTCCAAATTAATTATTCAATCTGGCTCAGCTTTTGGAGCAGCTGTTATGTCTTACAGCGAAAAAACACGAAATACGAGTGCACAGCTTGCTGTAGCCGCTGATTGTGCTACAAAGGATCAGTGGGATTCCGGTTCGGATTTTGGAGTGAATATGCGAGAAGGGCAAAAAACAATAATTGTATGATGTTAAGCCAATTGTTAATTGTCTTCGTGACTTATCAGCTGCCGATATAGTCAAGTATGATTCCAATTTACCATCTCACCGTATGAAATGGTCAGGAGTAGCTGTAAGCTTCATCCTTATCACAAGATATCAACGATAAGACATTTTCTAGGACAAAAAATACTTCCCAACTCGTCTTGAAACTCTTGCTCTTCAGCGTCCCTCTGTTCCCGTGCTGATAGGCGATGTTCATGATGAATGGCTTGCGATGGGTGCGATCAAAATGTTGCCCCTCTCTCTCTCATTATCAAAATGTATTTTTAGAAGAAGGTGCTATTGAAAATAATTTGAATTCATCTTCCAATTCTCAAGATGGTTTACGACAAACTCTCAAATATGCATATGAAATGACATATTGGGATAATCAAAGTGAATATTTGAAGTAAAAAAAACATCTCATGAGAATATTGAATTGTAGATGCTGTATATGTTGCTGCAGCCAACAAGTATATCAACAATCAGCAATATGCTGCTGATGATCATGTCAGTTGGATGGCACAACACATAAAAGTCTTTTAATTATTCTTAATCTTCCATTAACTATGCCATTTCCAGCTTTACAGCGAAATGGTCTTCATTGGTCCAGTACTTAGGGATGCAAAATATTTCGCTTATACAAGATCGAATGTTTTTCTTTATTCTTTCGATTACTTAGCTCCTCAAGGTTCGAATGAGATTATCTGATAGAAGAAGGCTCCCATGGGCATGACATCATTCTCAAATAAAAACTCCAATGTTCAAACATGAGATAAGCCTTTTTGCAGCTCTTCCTGCAATTACTCAACCGCAATTACGTGGAGTTCCTCATGCTTGGGAGTTACAATATGTAATGAACACAAGTACGTGACAGCACACCCATCGTCTCATTTTCATTTTTGATTCAAAGAGCAATCAGTTGCATTCTCGAAATATCTTATTCCCTATCCATCTGGATACAATCAACTAACTGTGTTGTAATTCAGATTGTGAAGGATGGCTATGTACTTCAGATGATGATACTCTACGTACTATAACATCTGACATTTGGGCTAATTTCATCATTTCCGGGTATTAACTTTCAATATAATCAAATACATTATCATTTCTATCAGAAATCCAAGCCCTGCCGGAAGCAGTTTGCCGTTTTCATTCCCACGCATCGGAAGTGCTAATTCGTTAGTTATCTAACGTATATAATATATATTTCCTGAATTAAGATATGTATCATTGAAACCAAATCCCACGACCAATCTTCGCTTTCATGATGATTCCATGTTCTGGGCATGTACAGCACCTACCATAGATGGATATGCTCCACCATTCTGCTAAATATTCTTTAATTATTAAAGTATTATAACTATATCATTTGTACAATAATGTGTCTACATCGTCGGCCTTCTCTTTTGATCTGAAACTATCACCCCATCAACCCCCCTCCTCCACCCTGTCTTCCTCTCTTCTTCACCTCTACCATCATCATCAACAGAAAATAACAAAAAAAGGAAAACTGTGTCTGAGAGATATTGAGAATCAAAGATAAAGGACATATCTCAAGTGACCTGAATTTAATAATTATTATATCAGTCATTATCACTTCTTTTTAGAAATGTTTATTTCGCTTTGATGACAACATCCTCTTCCACCGCATCTCAATACCCTCCCCATCCCATCCTATAACCTCTCCTTCCATTCAATACGTTTCTTTTAACATTTTCAGATGATAGCGTGATGTTCGTCAGAAGAAAGCAGAACTAGGAAGAAAACGAAAAAAAACTTCCTTCTTCCTCTGTAAACAGTGATTACTTAAAGAATTGCTTTTCATTCAAAACATTCTTGTACCTCCAAACATGGCAATATGCTTTCAGGAAGAAGTTCAGATGTTTGTAACACTTCACACGTTTCAATTGTTTTTTTCAGCCTCTCAATCACAGAGAGAGAGAGAGATTGTGAAGGAAAGAGAAGGAGAGAGAGGTTGAATGAGTGATGAGAAAGTTTTTAAACGAAAATGAGATTTCTTTGAAAGAAAAAAGGCCTCCTTGACCTCGCTCAAAATCATTTTCTTTATGAATATACTGTCATAATCTCATAACAGGATAGAAAGGAACTTCTTAACAAAAAGTTGAATCGTCGACGCCTTCACCATCATCATCATTCTCTTCTTCTTCTACTTCTTCTTTCATATTCCATGCAGCGCTCAATGATATTATGATGTCATTTTTTTATATTGAGATTGAGAGAATATGTGAGGGAGGATCCATAGATGAGATAAGACGTATGAATGACCCAAGTTGGACATATTTGTCTGTTGTGCCAGCCTTCAACTAACATACTTAACTATTCACCTCCCCTCCTGCCTCCATCTCATCTTATTTTAACTATATAATTTCATATTTTCATATTTGCATATTACCTTTGGCCTGATTTAATTTTTATTTCCTTCACATGTCCTTTTAGCTGTCACCACCCACGTGTATCGATCATTTCACGTGATTTGGCATATTCAAAATCAAGATTATGCTAATTTATGTGTTTATTTTTAACATTTTCTATTTTAATTTGTCTATTTGTCTTTCTCAGTTAAATACTTCTTCATCATCATCGTTCGTTCTGATCGTCGTCTTCGTTGTCGTTGTCGTCTTGGTTTTCGTCTTCTTCTTCGTCGTCATCTTCTTCTTCTTCTCCTCCTTCTTCTCCTACTTCTTCTTCTTCGTCTTCTCCATCTTCTTCTTCGTTTTCGTTTTCCTCTAATCACTCGCCCACCGTATGGTCAGATAATCGCTCGAGTGCAAGGCGAAATCGGCTTAAAGCACCTTTTTTTTCATTTTTCGCTTTGAGAGCAATTGGGACAGATTTAGATTTCCGGCCTCATTCACAGCCAGTCTCGTCTTTGTTTCGTCTTCTTTCCTCATTTTCATTTATAAATTTCATTTTTATTTTGCGCAATTTCCAATATTTTCATCCTCGTTTTTCCATTTCTCTTAATCTTCACCTCCTTTCAAATATCGTCGTCGTCGTTCGTATTAAATGGAGGAAGAAGAGCCAAAGCCTTCTTTCGATTCAATAAATCTTTTATCTTCACTCGCCGTTTACCTCTTTATCTCTTTCTCTCTAACTCTGTATTCATGCATTATAACTATCTCTTACTGTTTCCATCTCTCTCTACCTCTCTCTCTCTTGTTACTTCGTACCTCTTCATCTCTCTCTTATCCTCCCCCTCTCTCTCTCTCTCTTCAATATTCTCTTCATAGTCGCTCTCTTTTTCCTTATCTTCTTTCCCTAAGGCATATTCATACAACTTCACCTACAAATCCATATGGAATCGACCTCCGTTCAGGAGTGTCCTTGAGGCGAACGCAAAACTCTCTATTTCTCTCCAAATCTCATCATTTCTTCCCTTATTTTTATTTTTCTATTCTTTTTATTCTCTCTTCCATGTAACAATCTATTCAACTTATATATTTATTAAACAGGGCCATGTGTATATTTTCGATATATTCTCGTGTATGGTTTTGCTTCAAGTTTTCATCTCTTTCACTCTATCTCTCTGTCATCCTCCTCTTCTTCGTTCCATCCCTCCCATACTAACACTACCTTCGTTATTACTCCCTGCACCTTCTTTTGCCTCCTTTTCTCTTTTTTTCTATATTTCTCTTCGTCTCTCCTTAATTTCTTTTTCCTCTCAACGACGTTCAAACCCAATATTTTCTATCTGAATCAACACCTTATTTGCATATAGATTACTGACAGACAACAAGTCTTTCAGCCGGTCAACACTGTCTTTAAAGCTTAATAATATCTGAATATCTGCAACCTTTCTAATGTATTCAGAAACATTCTTTTTGTTTTTTCATCTCATATTGTTATTCTAATTTCTTTTTGTTCAATTTGAATAAGTGCACGTGATGACGTCATCTGCCGTGAGACGTGGTGGAAAAAAAAATTGGGGAAAAGGAAGATTTCATTTCATGTTTTTGTAGACTTATGGAACGGTTGTGTTTCCTACATCTTTTTCCCACCTTCCACTTTTCCAGCTTCTGCCACTTCTCCCGTATAATTCTTCTCTTTTCCTCTTTCTATTCATCTTATAGCTCTTGACTTTCCTTTTTTGGTTATAAATATCTTTTTCTCATGTTTCCATCTAGAAGACAAAAACATAATTGAAGAAGCAGAAGCATCTTCAGTCGGCTCTTCAATTGGTTTAAACGTTTGTTTGCTGTTGTGTTAGTCAGTCAGTCAGTCAGTCAGACGATCGGTCAATCCCATATTTGTCCTCACCTGCTCCTCCTGTTGCTGCTGTCCATTTTCTATAACGCCGACGGCGTCGTCACAGTCAATTCTTCGTCTTCGGCTCCTCCAATTTTTATTTCTCTCTTATTTTCTCTCTCTCTCCCTTCCTACCTCTCTCTATCTCTCAATCTCTATCTCTCTTCTAGTGAAGATGTTTGACTGTCTGTGACACTCTACCATCTTCATACTGTTCCGATTTGCACTCGGAATATTGGGAAGAAAATCATAACTCATCGTTTCTCTTGCCTCTCATCACTCTCAGTTATTCTCAAATTTTCATCTTCTCTTCTGAATTTCCTTCATATATGGTACGATCATAACCAATCATCAATCTCATCATCAACTTTGTCGTAGACGACGACGTCGTGTCTTCGAGTAAACAAATCTGACCACTACTTGACAATAATTGTATTTTAATAGTGAAAGTTATGAATTCTCATAAGTATTTCAACAAACATTTCATTCTTTCATCTCACTACCATTATTTCTTTGAAATTTTTGAGACAAATTTGTTTATTTTCTTCTAAAATTGTATGTTGTTGTAGATTTGAACGTTCGAACTCAAGTTACACCGTTCACTACTCGGGCTCAGTTCGAGCTTTTCAACGCTCCAATCACGATGAGTTTGTCCTCTTCAACAAGTCTCAACATCGATAATGTTAGTTTTATTATTTATTTATTTATAAATATCTTTTTCTTATACAGGAAGGTGTTTCAAACAATGGCAAAAAACCTTTGAAAGAAGGTCCCGTTCAAATGACGTCATTGTCAACTTTATTAAGCTTTCATCGTTATTACTTCCTCTATCAAGATACATTATTTGTCTCTAAACAAAAGTTTGTTATTCAATCTTAATGTTGTTCATATATTGGAGTTCAGAGGGCCAGGATCATTCAAATTGAAAGAGAAGTTACGTCTATCGGATGTATGGGTTGCTTCCTCCAATACAGTTGATTCATTCCTTCTTGGTTGGCCAATGACCAATTATCTTTTACACTTCAGGTTTTCTTTTTGTAATCATAACAACTTTTCATTAATTCAATTATTGTCCAGAAATAATGAGGAAAAGGAAGAATGGTTCGAGATGCTTGGCTTCTGCATTCAGCAAAATCTTAAACCAATTTTCACAATGATTTCCATGGACATCAATGTGCGCGGAAGAAAACAGGTAGAGTTGCTGCTGTTGGCAAGCTGAGCTGAATTTCATTTTTGTTCAGACAATCCGACGACGAATAGAAAATGGAAAAAAAAGTGGAGAACTGGTGGTAGAGACTGCCAATGATCTTGCTCTTCCTAACACATCGTATGAGCTAAAGCTTGTTGTCGGTTTGTTTATAACTTTCATTCTACAAACGTGTCATGTGCGACGTTGTAGGCGATTCGTCTGGTAAGAGCTTACAAGGACCTGAAAATGTTTATGCTGTTATCATGCATGAAATCCGAAGAACAGGCATACGGTAAGCATATTTATATGAATTAAGGATGAAAATGATAATCAATCGGATTTCAAAAACTTTTCTTATTTTCATTTTCATTCAGTATCTCTGAAAGCCAGAAGCAAGCTCTGGACACATTTCCAATGCTGAATTGTCGCCTTGTTCTGTCAACCATGAAATCAACCAAGACTTCAACACCCATGCAATTTGTCAACAGTATCAAGTATGATTCTACTCAATTAACTATTTTAATTATTATTTATACATTTTTTTTTGCAGAAAAAAAGTTCTTCACCGAATGGACTCAAGAAGTTTGTTGGGAAAGGAATTGGATGCTGCCACTCCTCCACAAACAATTATGACAATCGTTGATCATCTGAAAATTTTTGGTTGCGAAACTGAAGGAATATTCCGGTATCATGTTGCTTTTTGACTTGTTGTCAAATTGTACATTCAAGAAAATCGCCAAAACAGAGCACTTTCAAGGAATTACGTACTGAATTGGAGAAGGGACTTGTGCCTGATCTGAACAAGTACAGTACACATGTCTTAGCTTCTATGCTAAAGGTAGTATCGAAGTACATGAAATCGTCATCAACATGTTATCTTTTCAGGAATATCTAAGAAGTATTCCTGGAAAAATTTTGCAAAGCAGCAACTACGACATGTGGATGAAAGAAGTTGTCGACGAGGAAGATTTGAATAAGAAGGTATTTACTGACTCTCCATCTGGATTTAAATTCAAGTATTTCAGACTAATTCTGCAAAAAATCTGTTATCGCTTCTGCCCTCACCTCATCTGATGCTCTTGTCGAATGTTTTGAAACTGTTGGCCAAAATTTCTGCATCACCAAGTTCTAAAATGACATCATCTGCTTTGTCTGTTTGCTTAGGACCCAGCTTTCTGGAATCTACAGGTAGGCGTTAGATCATCATCATATTCTATAAAAAGAAAAATTATCAATTGATGAAAGTGAAATGAACAGTGAATGCAACTATTGTAAATCAGTCAAGTAATCCAAATAATCTTCGAAAACATGCTTCAAAATGTTTTTATGCTAATTCCACGTGTTCAAGTGAGCGGCTTAAGACTTGACGTGAAAGAAGATTTCTTATATTTATCAAAGATTATAAACTTGTTAATTGATTGCAATCTTTTTATAGATCAAATCGAAGGAGGCAAAAAGATTCCCCCACTTGTGGAGTTTCTGATTAATCATGCCGCTGAAGTTGTACCAGGCTTCAATTCAGATTGTGTTTTCTCTATATTACAAACTGTATGTTGCTTTATCTGTTTCCATTTTCAAAGTTCATTTCAGGTTGATCACAACTCCAACGTTGTAACCACATCTTCTCTATCATCAGATGAGGATAATATTTCCCAAAAAACTCCGATTATTGAAGAAATCGATGGTAGAGAGCTTTCTAGTCTCGATTACATCATATTTTCAGATGTTACAGGAGAAGAAGCTGATGATGTCTCCCAGTCCAGTTTATCAGACTCGGCTTCCGTAAATTCTGTTGCTCAAGCCCCTTCCTCAAGTAGAATTCCTTCTTCTACCCATGATTTGTCTTCTAATCAAGCTGCTTGTAGTAGCAGTACTGCTTCTCCGCAGACTTCATCCATCTCATTATCTAGTCAATCTGTCCAGAATAGACAGACAGTACATTCATTTAACCCTTGTTTGCCTTCATCAACGTCCAATGATTCCTCTTCGAATCACAGACCGAAGATACCAAGCTCACCATTTTCCAAAAGTTCATTGATGACATCCGATTCGGAAGATGACTTTGATGAAGAGAAAGAGCAGAACTTGAACGACGCATTGAAAATGCTTCTTTTGAAGAAACAAGCTACTGACGTAAGTCCAAAGGAATCATCCAAAGAACCAATCAATAAGATGGAAGAACGTAGATCAGGAGATACTCCTCGTTCTCCTTGTTTGAAGCGTATTCATTTCCAAAGAACTCAAGAAGCTCAACAAAGAAGTGCATCCAAGCAATCGAGTAGCTTCAGTTATGGAAACGTTGTTCCCCCTTCTACAAAACCAACGTGTCCTGAACCTAATATCAGAGAATCTGAAGTGTCATCTACGTCAAACGGTAAAAGAGTTAGCTTGGCTGTTGCTTCTTTCGAACAAATAGAAGCTATTCATGCTCGTAAAGAATCGAAAGAAGAGGCTACTCAAACTGTAGAAGTTGAACAACAACAACAACAGCAGCAGCAGCAGCAACAACCACAACAGGCGAATCCGGTCAATGGGTCAAGTTTACCTACCTCAAATAGGTTCCTAGCTTTCCGAAGCAGCACATCATCATTCAACGAACTGGTATTCATTTATTTTTAGTTATACTTCTTCATCATTACCCTTCCAGAGAAATGATGTGCCTCCATCGTCCCCGAGAATTGAACGCCGAGAGCCAATAGATAGAAGCCGCGATGTTAAACCAACGGTCCAAGTACACCCATTTATGAATAAGGATTGTGCAATGTGGCGAAACACTTCTCGAGAACCTACGTGTCAACCGATACCGTCTTCCAATTATGGAAGTTTAAAAACCATGCGATGTGAAGAATCGTCGGATACACCAAGACGGGCAGAACTTCAACGGTCATCATCTCAACGCGACCAGAAGAGCCCAGCAACAACTCAGCGTGAATTACTGAGGTATGAGGATGCAATAAACGACGATTGTGATGGTGACGTCAGCAAACTCAATTCTAGAGCATATTCGGTAAAAAGTCGTCGTGATCGTAACGAATACATTGGTATGGATCCTTTGGAAATCAATTGGAGCGTACGTCAGCTCAAAACTCTTTTCCAGGATAAGCGAGCTCCAGCCATTAACACAGATTATAATTACCCAAATTTCTAACATAAGAATGATTTATTAAAAAGAATATGTATATGTATATGTCATCATCATCCTTCCTCTCTCTCTCTTTTCCCAGAAACAGTATTGAATGTCCTTGCTCATCTAACTTTACCTCAGAGAAATTAAGAAAATTTTGTTTTTTTCATTATCATGTTTTCGATATTTATATTCTTGCCATCTAGTACTCCATCCTCTTGTCTTTCAATGTAACAGAGAAAAGAAAATAAAAAAATAATAATTTGTTTAAACAATTACATATGATAAACAAAATAAAATGAATATCCAAAGATCCAAAAGGAATAAAGAGCTTCTTCTTCACAAAATGAATTATCACAAAATATATATTTTCTCCGAGCTAGTATATAGCCAAATGATTGGTCATTATCATTTTATAAAATATAAAAAAAAAATAATTTTTTTTTATCTGAAAGAAGGTAGAAAAGATATTCCGACCCTGATATGAAATTTACAGGAAAAGTCTTCAAAAGCTTCAATCGTTATACGACACGCTTCTCCGGGAGAATGAGAGAGTACAGATAGTAAAGAGTAGGATAGAGAGAGAGAGAAAAGAAGAGAAAGAGAGAGAGAGAGGGTGACAAAAAATGAGAGAGAGAGAGAGAGAGAGAGAGAGAGAGAGAGAGAGAGAGAGAGGAACAACAAGTAGAAGAAACAGAAAGAGAAGGAAATAGGAAAACTAAGTGATACTTGGACGAACAATATAAATTCTATACATTTTCTAAAATATTCAAACCAACGGTACTTTCTGGGGGTTAGTTGAATCAGGCAGCTTGTCTTCATAGCTTTTCGTTGGCTGTTTAAAGAGGTTTAATGAAGTTTTGTGGCCCACTTCAAGTCATCTTCTCGTGGTTTCATTCCCGTCAGAAAAGTGACAACAGACTCAGCCCTACGCCAAAAACCTGCAAAAAAAATAAAGTTAAAGAGTCTTGAAGCGAAAAACTTGTGAGAGGAATGAGAAAGAGAGTAAAAAAAAAAGATTATTACCTATGCTTTCTAGCGGGAAATTGAGCCAACCAGTTGTAATGCAATAGTAGCAAGCATGAGGAGATATGTGGTGAACCTGGAAATATTAATGAAATAAACAATGTTCGGATGTGTTTTTGAAAGCAGTCGCTTCTAAGCTAATACATTGATTTTTGTTTTTGTGTGTTGAAGAAGAAAATGAATGAACCTTATGATGAGATCTAGGAAGAATAATATGAAGTTTCTGAAGTGTTATGACCCATTGCGATAATCCGAAATACGTATGCGACCATTTATGAATCTGAAGACATTGATGAGATCATATAAATCATAGAAAGTGGGACTTACTTGATTAGTCATGGCAACATATACGGCTAAGAGAAGGAAATACCAGTGAATAGTGGCCCAACGATTCAAGTCAGCACCCGAATATGTCATTTGTTGGTAGAATATGTAAGCCAGATGGGGTATGCAGAGCATGAAATTGTCCCCATTAACCTTTAATTGATTAGATGAATGATATAGAGGGACTTAATGACTTACTTCAATGAAATCATGTCTTGTGATAGCTGTTGGATCAACATGATGTTCTCGGAATGGACGAATAAATGACTGTAATAGTTAAGACTTTATGCAAATTTCACTAATTATACGCCTTACTCGTCCAAACCACGTGTCAACACTTCCGAATGTATCAGCTCCCCAATGAACAAGACCGGATGAGAAGTCAGCAGTTAATATTCCCAAAATAGATGAAAGAATTACAGATCCTAAAAAATAATTTATGCTAATTATATGTATATAACATACCACAAATGGACCAATCCCATGTAAATAATAAGTTGATAAGAACTAATACAAATAGAATTGGCGCTACGATAACTGATACAGATTCTTGTAATCGTTTTTCTGTTACAATGTATATTTGTATATAATATAATAATAATATAATATTACCTTTACTATACATTGAAGCTAAGGCTTTAGCTCCAGCATGTTGTGGACCCCATCGAGGAGCTGCCGTTCCCATAACGTTATTAACATTACCGTTAGGATCATCCTCCGGCATGGATGGTAGTGTTTCACATTCGTTCGGATTCAGAATTTTGCTTTCTGGCGATGTGGATAAAAATCGTTTCTCTTCCTGATCCACCAATTTCTTCTCTTCAGCCGACACCTCACTACCAGACTCCATTTCAACTGTAAGCAATTAAAGATAATGAATATAGTGTAGGATGCGTGTTGTCTAGTAGTCATAACGAAATATCAGCAAAACGAAATTGTGCGAACTATACGTATAGTTAGTGGAATATGTATAGGTTTATTACAAGCCATGAAATTCAATACGCAAAAACAGATTTTTTTTAAATGAGAAAAAAAGCAAATTGAATAAAAAAAAGAAAGAATGAAAGCCCTTCCAGGCAGAGTGTGTGTGTGTGTGTGTGCATGTGTGTATGCGTGTGTATGTGTATGTGTGTGTGTGGATCATGTAGATTGGGTAGTATATTGGAAACAAAGATTAAGTATTACATATAAATAGCAAAATAAAAGAAATTTGTCTATCAAACTCAGCTTCAGCTTACATTCAAAATAGCTTTTGCCTTTCAAATTGAAAGAAACAAATGAAATAGTGGAACATGTCAAAGTAGAGCAATAAAGAGAGAGAGAAAGTTAATTGATAATTGAAGTTTATAAAATCACATACGTTAATTTCACGGAAAAGAAATAAAGAGAGAAAGAATGAGAAATAGAGAGAGAGAGAAAGAAATAAAAAGAGAAAAAGAGAGAATTAAAGATGTATAAAGAGAGAGAGAGAGAGTGAATGAAATAGAAGGAAGGAAGGAGGAAGACAATGACCAAAAGGATGATTGTACCGAGAAATCTGATGATCTTCCGATGACCAATTATTAATTAAAATATGCAAATTTCATGAGAAAAAAAAATGAAAAAAAAAGTTAATTGCAATCGAAGATAGATGGAACACCTTCACAAACAGAAAAAAATCAAAATAATCAGAAAACAAAAAAAAAAAAAGTCCGATGATAGGAGGAAGGAAAGATTGGCAAAAATGAAAATACTTTACACTTTTACACGCATAAGAATAATAGAACGTAGTGATAGATGAGAGTCGATGAGAAGATACATTGAGAAAATCGGAAACAGATGCTTGTTGAAGACGAAGATAACGAAGAACACAGCCCCCTTTTCTCTCTCTTACCCGAGACAACTAGTGGTGGCACGTCTATAATTCATAAGAAAAAGAGAGAGAGGTGACGATAGAGAGAGAGAGAAAAAGATACTAATAGAGATATACGATGAGCATTATGAAAAACGAGAGAGCATTTTAAAAGGGTAAGAGATTACGAGTAAGAAAGTAAGATAGATAGAAACAGAGAGAGAGAGTAGATGAGGATGAGGATGAGAGAATGAGAAAGATATGAATTCCATCTGATTCTCGTGTAATTCCAATAAAAAAGAAGCAAAAACGACATGATTTATGAAAAGATTTTGTATGAAAAAGCCACTAATGAACTCCTACGGAAATGAGCTAAAAGGAAGTTTAAAAAAAAAAAAGAAAGCCGAAGGAGAACGAGCAGCGGAGAGAGATAGAGAGAGAGGAAAAAGTTTTTTTTTCTGAAGAAGAAATTCTTTTTAAATAAAAACGAAACGACGAACAAAACAAAAGGAAAGCGAGAATGAGTTCCGTTGCAATGAAAATAAAACAAAAAAAAAACAAAAATAAACATTGGTATTCACGTGTAAGCTCACGTGAATCTTATCCAGATATGCAAATGAGGAACAAATAGACATATAAGGTTTAAATATGCAAAAGATGACATGATATTGCGAGATTATGAAATATTTATGAAAATTGATTTATAGTTAAAGCATATAGTTAATCAGAGAAGGAGTGAAAGTAAGAGAGAGGGAAAGAGGGTTGAGGCAATGAGAGACTGAGAAAGGGGAAGAATGAAATGAAAAAAATATAAAAAAATAAACACATTACTATTATTATTTTTTATTATAATTATACTAACTATATACATCTAGTTACATATAGAATCGAATTATTTTTATTTTATTTTATTATATTTCTGAAATATATATTTCGCCTGTCAAACACTGTCTGCGTTTTCGACAGAACTGACCCTGTCTACATATTCAAATAACTTTATTAAAGAAGATTATAAGTCTCTTTTTAAAAAGAGATAGAGAGAGTGAGAGGGAGAGGAAGAGAGAGAGAGAGAGAGGAAGAGAAGATGAAGTGAAACACAGATATACATATACACGCCATACAGAGAGATACTGAAGAGGAGATAGCAGAATTATATTGAAATACATATAGAGAGAATGACGAAGATAGAGATATGAGAAAAGAGTCAAAAGAGAAGAGATAAGGAACACACAACCGCTCTGAGCATCTGTATTGACCGCAATAGTTTACATCACGTGAACGTCACGTGAATATTACGTGAAAACAAAGCTTTGAATGTTCGTGGATGATCTCTTATTTCGCAGAAAGTGCACAGCAATTTTACGAAATAAGCGAAAATGAGAGGCTAAGAGAGTGAGAAGGTAGAGAATAAGTGGAAGAAGATGAAGAAGAAGACACAGAGAGAGAGCAAGAGACAGAGATAGAGGGAGAGAGGAGCAGAAGAGAAAGATGGAGACTTTTTTTTATCAAACGTCTCATATTTGCTCTTTTTCGTCGAATCAGCCCACCAACGTGAGCCCCTATCGCCTCAGGACACAATGGCATCGATGAAAAGCGGCTGTCACAAATGAAATTTATGATTTAAAAATCCAAATGGAATAGTTCTGTAACAGCTGATCAGGATCGATTTTGCATGCGAAAAAGAGAAAAAGAAAAAAAAAGGAGAAGATTACAATATTTTATTGACTTGGACGTTGCTGTTTCAAACATGAACCAACCACCGCAAAGTCATCTTACTGGGAGCGATATGGGCAAGAGGACCTTTCCGTTTTCATAAATCAACAAAAATTGGAAGAAAGGAGCGAAATTGAGAGGGAGAAAGAGAGAGAGAGAGATTGTAAAAACTATTTGATTACATGCTCAATAACATCATGAAACAAGTTAAAGGCTTAATGATCACTTGTGATCATTTTCATCTGACCGCTTCATTTGCAACCGTTTCTCTCTTTCTGCTTCTCCCTCTCCCTCTCTAAACTTCTATCCTCATGTGGCCACAGCCGGTACGGCTCGTGTGCTCACTCCCCCCCCCCTTGTGTCCCTCCTCTCTGTCTGAAATCTTATTGATCAAAAACAGAAGAAGCATTTACTCTCTCAAAGATCGTGATCGGTCAGGCAGGTCAGAGCTACTCAGTAGAAACAAAAAGCAAAAAACTGAACAGACGAATGTGAAGGTGATTGTTTCAAAAATGACAACAGAAAATACGTCGAAAGTGCCCTGAGGGCATATGAAAGAAGCTGAGACAAAAAATTTGATTTATAATAATAAAGAAGATGAAGATGAAGAAGAAGAGAGAGGAAAAGGTAGAGAGAGAGGGAGAGGGGAGAAGCAGGGACAAAAATGTTTTTTAACACATTCTTCCAAGAAATTGAGAGAAAATTTCGAAATTTTTTGAAAGAAACAAATGAATTTTCAACAAAATTTCCCAACGTCTACGATTTTTTCCTCAAAATTTCAAAAGAAACAAAGGAAAAATGATAAAGATTGGCTTTAGAAGGAACGGTTTACTCTCTCCTTTTGTAAGATGATAAGCTTTTTGTCATTTTTCTCTATTCTCACGTAACTTTCATCATATTTATAAGGTTTCTCTGTTAAGGTTTCACTTTCTATTTACTCTCTCTCAACATATACTCTCATATATGGAAATACCTTTTGTTAGTTCATGTGCACAATTCTTCCTCTCTAGCATTATTCAGTTTTGTCTTTCCCTCTCTCTCTCTCTCTCTCTCTCTCTCTCTCTCTCTCTCTCTCTCTCTCTCACACTGTCCTGTTTTATCCTTCATTTGAATTTGCTTCTATTATTTCTCACACAGTGCAGACACATAGATACACACCTTGCTAAACCTACTCAATGTCTCTTTCTAACTTTCCCTTCCTCACATTTCCCCCCACCCCCTCCCACCTTCTTAGGAACAAGAAAAGCAATCGGCTTCAAGAGAACGAAAGAAAGGTCAATGTCTCATAAATCGGATGATTAGACTGATAAAACTAAAATGTTTCAGAAAAAAAAGTTGAACAGAGGAAGATAATAACGTGAATACTGCAGGTAATTTGATGAATGTACGAAAAAGCAAACGAACGAACTTGCTACTCGCAGCAGAGCCCTTCATTCTCTCTCTCTCCATCTTACAAATCGAATTTTTGTGAGAAATCTAAGGCACAAATCAGAAATTTGTTGGAAAAGGAGGGGAGACGAAAAAAGTTTGTTTTTCTCGCCAAAAACCTTCACCTTAAAAAACAATTTTCATAAAAAAAAGAAACAGAAGGAGAAAGAGGGAGAGAGATTGATAGAGAGAGAGAAAGAGAGAGAGAATGAAAGAAAGGGAGGGAAAAACTATAAATTGAGAGTAAAAGGGGCAGAAGAAAATTCTGAAAAAAAAACTCACTTACTTAAGGCTTAAAAAATTTTGAGAAAAAAAAAAGAAATTGAAAAACAAATGCAGGACAGGAGAGGAAGAATAAGAGAAAGTATGATAGAGAGAGAGTGAGAATGGAGAAGAATAATGTAAAAGTTCATATTTGGATCGAATCTGATCGATCTTCCATCGTTTAGGCTGAGGATTGTAGTTGCGAATCTGTCTTTTCTCCTCTAATTATATTTTCTTTGCAACTACAACAGACAGAGAGAATAAGCTAAAAAGGGAAAGGAAAAGGAGTTCAAGGAAGAGGGAGTGAGAAATAAGGAGAGAGAGATGGAAGGAGGAAGAATAAGACGATGAAAGCTAATGAGAGAGAAAATGAGAGAGAAATCTTACAAGGGAGAGAAGCTTTAAAACAGAGAGTAAAGGGCACTTGCTGTAATTGTTCTCTTCTCCATGATCCATAATGACTTCCACCATAAAAGGAAGCAAAAAGGAAAAAGGTTGTAAGCTCAAATCGTATGGAAAATTGGAAATAAGCTTTGAAAAAAGAGAAACAAAATTTCACATCTTAATGGTAGTTGTAAGCAATATCTTCGACTATGTTCTTCTTCTGCTTCTTCTTGAAGCTTATGGAGGGAACAACCCGAAAACAGACCAATTGTTTTGCTTATAGTTTTTTCAATCAATACGTATTCAATGAACAGCTGGTGGAAGTCTCAGACGACAAAGCCCTTCCATAGTCGGCATTAAGCTGCTAGAGGGGGTCATTAGAAACTCATTAGAGGGTCAAAATGGCAATTGAAAATGAAAAGATGAATGAAGAAAAGCTTACAAGCTGAAGCATAGAACGGTTAAAGAAAGTTTCCTTTGAGACATTTCCGAATAAAAGCTTTTCCATCATTCTCAAGAGATAAGAAATTGATTGAAAAAGTTTACATTATCACCAATTATGTTCTCTCCAAAGATCAAAGGGTAAACTGATTAGGTATAAGATCGAGATAAAGACGGAGGGAAATTATGAACAAGGGGAAAGAGAGAGGGAGGAATAGAGAGAGAGAGAGGGAGAGGGTGAGAACAAACAACCAAAAAGAGGATGAAGTTTGCAGAAGAAGGGAGAAAATCAAAAAATGGAAGAACTTCCTGCAAATCATTTTTTTTCTTCTCCTCCTTCTTCTCATTCACAAATTTGTATGCGCGCGCTGAAAACTCAAAACGGTAACTCATCGAATAATTTTTATTTCAGTACACAAAAAGGAAAAGCCAGTCCATATATTTAAGAAATTAGCATAATTAGCATAATTAAGCTTATAAACGAGGTTCTGTTGACATGAAGCCGACGGAAAATTTCGATCTGTCCACCACAACAACGCAGCAATCTTTTATCTTGGGATAAGATAGTTTCTTAATGATTTTTGAGTTTTTCCATATATTTTTAAATAGTTTTCGATATTCGCCACTTCTCCAGATGGCAACATAGAAAGATTGAATGTAATTGATCATTGATAATATACTCTGTGTTTTTTGACTTTATTTTTATCTTATAGTCTAAATTAATTACCTCATAGATTAAGATGTTGTGTTTCCATTTCACTGGTAAATCATAATAGGCAGCTGATTGAGATAAGACCATAGCTGATATCCATGTAAGGATAAAAACAATATTTAACACAAAGATTGTGCGCATCGTTTTGCGATGGACATTTCGATAGCATTGAGTTGGATTTCTTTTTTCAAATAAACGACCTGAATTTATATTTTGATTGCCACAGACTAAAATACATTCAAGTCGTGGTAAAATCACGTCTAGAATCAAGTTGTGCAACGTATGAGAGGTGAGTAAAGCAAAATACAAAAAAATAATTTTTGAAACAAAATGCTCATTTGCACGTATTGATGGATAGGGCGTGAAGTGTACGTGACTAGAAAGTGAAGTTCACCAACTCACTTCTGATTGCAACTATAGAATAGCTGATGATGTATACGCTTATTTGGATGCCAGCTATCGAAATAAAAACAGAAAATTGAAAAATAGCAAAGTTCTTTGAATAAAAAGGTCGACAAAATGCATTTTCGGTCGGAAATACTTGAAATTCCATAAAATATAACAAAAATATGTATGTACAAGTGAGTAGAAAGCATATAGTTGAAGTAATAATGATTGTCTGATTCGTTGAGATCATTCGATATCTGCAAACAAGATAGGTACAGTATGATATGTCATTTCTATCATCATCTATCTATCTATGAGCATTTAAAGGATAAAAAAAACGTTTCTTTACATCAATGGCACGAGTACGGTAAATAGTAGATCAATCGATATCAAAAGCATGATGATAGATTGAATATATTCGAATGTCAATACTACATATAAGCTATATAAACAGTATGATACATTTATAGTCAGTACTGAAATGATCCGAAAGAGTGAGTTGTCCATTTTTATGACGCAAAGAAAAAAAGGAAAAAAAATGGAAATTCTGAACTGGAAATGATGAGATGAACTTACTATGGAGTGTCATGGTGTATAGTTCGCCAAGAATACAAAAGAATTGACAACAAGATAATTCAAACATTAAAATTCCTGTAAAACGTATGAATGGTGAGGATGAGCGGGGATGATGCACTTGTATACAGACTAACCATGCTTATTGCGAATTTCCTTCTTCTTAAACGTCGCATAAATGATATTTAAATGGCCAAAGATGCCTAGAATAGCTAGACAGAGTTGAATAGAGACAGCTATAAGATCGTGTAGCTCGTGTAAGATTTCGTCATGAAACATCTAATGAGGGGACAATCAGACAGTCAGCCGTATGGTTGGGTATGTGTGCGCGTGTATATGTGTGTGTGTGTGTGTGAAGAGGAAACGTATGATAACTTGTAAGCTGAAAGCTGTCAAATGGAAAGTGACAAAAAAACCTTGTAATTTAAATATAAAAAGCAGATTAAAAATCATATTTATGGTTGTTTTGCTGGCTGTAAGAAACTGTCGAAAGAGTTACTTTGAAAAATCAAAAAACAGCCTAATAATTATATTGTTATAGCTAAGGATAGGCTGATATGCATATCTACTATATTTGGAAAGATATGTTATATGATTATTAATATATAAAATAGATTTTTGAAAAGTATGAAGAAAAAAAAAATTTTTTTTGTTCAACTTCACTCAATGCTATCTAATCATCAGATTATATTAGCTGATTGAGTTATGATTTTTCAAAATCTCATTCTATTACATTTTGTGTGAACTTGAAAGCCAAACAAAAATGAATGAAAAATTGAATTTAGAATAAAGCTCATCTATCATCTCTCGTTTACTATAACGATATAGTTAGATTTCTTCTTTTCTTTTATGAGATGTGTGAAATTGAAGACAACAGATGATCTTGGGGTTGTAACAAAAATCTTTTCTGTCCCATTTATGCAAATTTCAGGCTTTATCGTGCTTCACAATCTTTTTCTAGCGCATCCTAAGCCGAGATGGCATTCAAATAAAAAAAAAAGTTTTTTTCATCTTTTTTTTTGACGTCTTCACGCGCCATTTTTATCCACAGAGAGAGAGAGGGGGAAGATGACGCTCGGTTGTTCTTTCTCCTTCTTCATATACTTCATCCCTGTTTCTATCTTGTCGTCTCTTTCTCTCTCTATATCTTGCCCCCTCTCTCTCTATTTTATGCTTTTTGTCTCTCTCTCTATGTGAGAAAAAGTGAACAGAGTTGCCAATGGCTTAGCAAATACTTCGGACTGCCAGTTGTAAGATTAGCCAAATGGATAGAGTGTATAGAGAAAGAGAAATGCCCTCAGGCTATAGGGCTAAGTCAAAGTCTGTTGGTTAAAGCTAGAGCGGCGATAATTTGAAATCAATAACTATCCTCTTCATAAGATAGGAGGAGCTGCCCAGGCCAGTAAGATGGTCACGAAAAGATAAAGAATTTGAGTTTTCCTACCAAACCCTTCTCCATTCCCTCAATACCATTGCATCTGCATATGAAAAACGATTGCGGATCCTTTTCTTTTTGCTTTTTCATTCTCTTGTTCGGACACAAAAAAGGCTCATAAATGGCTTTTTTTGTATTTTTCCTTTCGCCACAAACCATTTCCGGCAAAAATGATTTCAACTGAGAATGTCCTTGAAGGGCCAGTCAGCCTGACTTCATAAAAGACCAGTCAGTTTTTCCTCCATTTTCATCTGGCTTTCCCTCTCATGCAGCATTCTCCTCTTTTCATATTTCCATTTTCTTCTTCCTCTTTCTCTATTTAATATGTCTTCACCTGCTTTTTTTGTTTCTTCTTCTTGTTGTATAAACACTTAACCATATTATATAGTTTATTCGAGTGTTTCACGCTTCTTCTTTTGCTCTTTTAACGTAATTTTATTGACTTTTCATTTTCCTCCTCCCTTTCTCATGTCCGAACATGGCAATGCTCGTGTCTGTTTCTCTGGCTGCAAGTGGACATCGTCGTTCCGAAAACCACTAAATCCGCCAATCGATGAACAACTCTCATTCTCTTCGACTCTCCCTCTCTCTCTATCTTCTATCTCTTTCCCTCTCTCTCTCTCTTTTCCACAATCCAATGACTCAGAAGATTCATTGTATTCAAATAATTTCAAGCTTCTGACCTTATAAAGCTTTTGCAACTTCCTTCTTTACTAACTTTTTGAATCTTTTTGAACAACTTGATAACAATATATTTTACCTTCTACATCCATATTTCCATTCATTCAGCTCATTTCTATTGTTGGATTGTAAAAGACATGCTGAGACGTGTTTAGATTGACCAAATATGGACTTTCCGAGTAGTTTGCACTCTCCGTTTAACTATACATATAGTTAAGCTTTATTTTGAATGCAACCGCTTCTTACCATTTGCTCAAACAAAAATAAGAAATTATCTTTTCTCTATACTCACGTTCTACGTGTGACGTCATCACACATCTCTATATTCAAATTATGCGTATGTTTCTTCTGTCATTCAGCTTTCAATATTCTCTTCCTATATCTCTGTCTCTCTCTTTTTGTATGTTAGCAGAGTCAATATAAGAATCCTGTTATATAGAGATTTTGTGAGATCAATTCTCTTTTCCATCTGATGATTACATTTTCAGAAACAAAAAAAAGATAGAAAACAGATATTCTCAAAATCTAATCAATAATTTATTCATTTCGCTATTAATATTTCTTTCTTTCTTTCAATTTTTAATGTGCAACTTTTCGTTGTGAGATCCTCCAGAGACGTTAAGACATGTAGAAAGAGAGAGAGAGAATGATTGAGGGAGAGAGAGATCGAAAGAGAGAGAGAGAGGGGAATAATAGATAAAGAGAAATCTCCTAAGAGAGAAAAGCAAAAGTCAAACTATTACAAATCGTCACTCACTATTCTCTCACCTAATTTCTATTCGCAGTCTTCAGTCACAATCCTTTATCATATCATCATTTGCGTTCCATTTCAATTTATAGCTTATAGAACACAGATCAGCATCATCATCAAAAATAAAATATTTTTCTTTTCAAAACCATTTACTCATCTCATTTTCAGTTTAATGCCAGATGCTTCTCCTATTTCAATCTTAAAGAAAAGCTCTCTTTTACTCTCCAAAAATAGACATTCTGTGAGAATTAAAGGAAAATTTGCATGTCTCCGCAAGGGCTTTTCCTTGTGTTTTTGATGAAATGCAAGGGAATGGCATTCGTCTGAGAGTTATTCCTTCCAACATCTCTTCCACTCAAACTTCTTGAATTTCAACCTCTTTTTTTGAGTTTTTTTCAGTTCTTTAAGTAAATACATCTCATTCTCTCTCTATCGTTCTACTCCTCTTCCAGCATTCCATGTATGCTTGCAGCTCTCTCTCTCTCTCTCTTCCATCCCCATTTTTTTCTTTTGTTCCTCTTCCTCTACACTCCTCTTGTTCTTCTCATCTGAATCAAACCCCCTCCACCCTTTATCATTCGATAATTAGTGGCTGGTTTAACCATTTGAAATCGGTTTATTTCAAGTTTTAACTGTTCCCTCCGTATCTCATTGTCTCACACTCGCCCATTCATCCATTCTCTCGTCGTTTTCATCAATTTATTAAAAAGAAAAAAAAACTTTTTTTTTGATTACAGAGAGAGAGGGAGAGAGATGGTTCTGTCAGATGAAGAATATATAGCTGAAAGCAGAGATCCAACTCCAGAACCAACAATGGAAATTATAGAAAGTACGTATCATTTGGGTTTTAAATTTAAAAAAAAAAAACATTTGCAGCTCCTACTCCTACTCATGGAATTCTGAAAAAAACAGAAATAATTGAGGAAGAAACACAATTAAAAGGAGAGAATATAAAGAAGGAAGAGAGAGTGCCGGATATGCAATTAGGAAGTTCGTTTAGCAATCTTCACGCCAATCTTCGATTGGACATAATGAATGAGCATTACTCACTTACTCATTACCTTCATTTACAGGATGTCGATATGTACGTCTTCATGATAATGTCAATTATGTAGCAGCTGCATTAATTTTACGTGAAAACGGGTCAAATTTGGAAGTTCTGTTAATTCAAGAGGCTAAAAAGAGTTGTTATGGAAAGTAAGGCTATAGTGAGATAGCATTGAACTGAAACGTATCCAATTGCAGATGGTACATGCCAGCCGGACGTGTAGAAGCTGGAGAAACATTAGAGGTTTAGCTTTTCACATTTATTTCATACTATTATACTATACTATTAAAGGAATCTGTAAAACGTGAAGTTTTGGAAGAAACTGGTTATGATTGTGATGTCATCGAGCTCCTTTCACTGCAAGTTCAAGGCAGTGGATGGTATAGATTTTCATTCTTTTGTAAAATAACAGGTAAAGTGTTATGCACTGTGAGGTTTAAGCCTTTCTTTGCTGTTCAAGGTGGTTCATTGAAAACAACTGCTGATATTGAATCTCTGGCTGCTCAATGGTTTCCCATCGATGATGTTCTCAAACGCAAGATGCCCTTAAGGTAAAGTTTGTTTATTCATATCAAATTCTTATGAATCATCATTTCAGAGGGAAAGACTTCCTGAAGTTGGTAGAAGAAGCCGTAACTTATGAAAAAATGAAAAAATTCGAAAACATTCCTCGAATTTTACCTCAAAACGTCAATATGCCTGGATTATTCGTTGAATTTATGATTGTTCGACACAGCCTTGATGAGTAATATCGTATACTATATATACAGCTTAACATATATTTGTTTTTTAAGATCTCGCACGGAAGTTTTGGTTCACAAATCTATACAGGATGAAGAAATGTTACGAATTCATGACCAACCCTTTCCAACTGTCGAATTCGGCTTTGAATATTTCTTCGCTATGGTCATTTCCAAATGTTATAGGGTAAGCATTACAAAGGAAATAATAGGGATACATATAAGCACAATTGGTTATAGCATTTGTTAGAAGAAGGTGCAAATGTGGTATTTGCTCCATCTCATGTTGTTCGAGTTCGCTGCCATCCAAAACCGATGGAAAGCCTTGCTCATGGATTAGCTGTTCGTTTGTATTGTTTGCACAAGAAAAGCACTACGAAAGCTATGATACGCTCACCCAGGTAATATTCATTTTCATATTTCTTTTATAAGAAAGGAAAACTCATGTGAATGATACATCACTACCCATATTATAGATATCACTGGATCCAGGTTGATAATGCTGAAACGCGCGAACAACTTTGTTTAAATAAAAATCAATATCGGCCAACTCTTCAGATGTTATGAAAATTATTTTTTTGTGCCATTTCATGCTTTAAAATGAATAAATTTTTTCTCAATTTCCTCTCTTCTTTGTGTTTCTACCTCTCTCTCTCTCTGTCTCTCCATCCCTTCCACTAACTTAGCCTCCATATCCCTTTTCCTTTCTCTCTTATTCTCTATTCCTCCTCTTCCCACCCTTCTACCTTCGTTCCCTCCCTCTCTCTCTCTTTTTCTCTTATCCTCCCCCTCCAATATTCAATTAGAGTATTAGCATTTGACCCAATAAACAGCTTTCAATATGTTTCTTCATTTGCATACGTGAACATTCACGTGCGGCATTTCATCATTTTTCAATTCAACTCCCGCAGGCATCGGTTGCTTTTCAAATACTTTCACTATTCAATCGAATATTTCATACGATTTTCGTTTCATTTTCATCCAATTGCTCTTACTCACCCTCTCCATACTCTCCAATCTCTCTTTCTCTACCTCTCTCTTTCTCCACGATTATCTTTCTGATATTCTTCATCTATACGCCTTTCCATACTCTTTTAAGCTTTTTGATAAGAAGAATCAATATAATATTTGCTTCTTACGCTCGTTCCTACATTTTGTTTGATCAGACCAATCAGAAAACTTCCTTTTATACTTGAACCTTCAAAAGTTTTTTTAATTTTTAAATTTAATTTCATGAAGTTGCACACTATGCACGTTCACATCCACAACGATTTCCATATCGAAGGATATGATGTAAATCGTAATTCGCGAAATGTTTTTTCCTTTTCTTAAGCTTATAGCACATTGTGAAATATGATCTGCTTGTCGATGATGTAGAAATACCTTTGAATACTTTAGGAAGCCGTCATAATGTATGAGAATGATCCTCGTATGCTATTTAACCAACCACTATCAGTAAGTTGCTTCATCTCCTTATACGCTCATCAATAATGATATTCATTAAGGCTCTCATTGGTATAATGAGCTCAATAGTATTATTAACTCAATTGTTTGCATCATTTTTTTTAACTACAGTATACATTTACATATTTGAAGTTATTATTTATATTTGTATGCTTCTTGTCTTATCCTCTGGAGTTCGACAAAAGAAAGTTGGAAACATATTGGCTTATTCATTCTTCTTAGTATGTTTTATATACTATAATTAACATAATCATCATCTCTATCATAGATTATTTATGTTTTTTGGACTTCTTTCGGAGTTATGATCTTCATATGGTATATTAGCTTAGAAGCTGGATTACCATGTAGACAAACATCCACACCTACACCTGTCAAAACTCTACTAGAAGTAAATACTGTTCCACCTACAGGACTACCAGGCTTATGTGGTAATCATATGGGAGGACAATGTAAGCTTTAAAAGAAACATCTCACTTGCCTATATTCATCCATATTAAATCTTATTCATTGACCCAATTGGTTTGTTCTAGATGTTGCTCTACTCGTTTGTTGCATCGCATTCTCCTCAATCAGCTTGTTGGCTTGTGCTTATCAAATTCGTCTTTGTTTTCTTCTTCAGAAAATTCTCAAAAGTGAACAGTAAGTTCTTCTACGAAAATAATCTTAAAGATATCGTTTTGTAGTAGAAACCGTAATATGGCCATTGTAACATATCAAAACCGTTTTGGATTTACAGCTCCACCTAGATATACAGTCTCATCACCCGCACCACCTCCGCCATCAACTCTTGCAACAGGTGTTTTCTGTTTCTTTTTTAATGTTCACTTATGATTATTGTTTGTAGCAACCAACTTACCAGAAAAACCACCATGTTATGCTGAAGCTCTGTCATCTCCCACTCAACCAGCCCCTGCAATTCAGCTTCAACCAGAAGTACTTATGCAAGACTTGAACAGAGCTGATGAGCAACAAGCAGCTCCTAGCAGACATTTTTCTGATCTCCTTGATTTGGAATCAAACAGATCAAACCCAACAGCAAATATAGCGTCACAAGAAGAAGAGACTTTTGAAACCATTATTTTGGATCCACAAACACCCGTTCATCCTTCTACAAGTACAGCTGAACCGACGCATAGTTCAATTCATAGCGATAATCAGCCTACAATAGGAAATGTTGATTTATTGAACTAATTAATCCTAATTTTCATATTTCTTTGCATTATAACTTTGCCTTTAAAAGGTAGTTAAAATTATCATCGCAAATCCTTAGAATCAATACGAGTACATGTCCCATTGTTATTAAACATTTATATTTCAAATCTCTTTTTATTCGAGTCAAAAAGAAAGTTTTAAAACTTCTTTTAGCCTTATCAGCTGTTATTGATTATTTTACAGCCGATTGAAGCAGCCGATCGAAGCATCCAATCAGGAGAAAATTTTTCGTTAATTGTCACATTTTTTTGATTGAAACTCCACATACTCCGTTCCGCTTAGCCTCAAGCAATATGGAGGAACGAGATCTGCCAAGGTTCTGTAAAATAAGTATAATGGTAAGTTGGATCAGACTTCTACAGTGGTAACAGTTAGCCATTTCCAGCATTCTATGGGGGTAATTGGTTTATTTCAACTAATTTTCCAAACCATGACCATTTACTATTTTTCCACCGCAATATGGATTATAATTGCTGCTGCAATGAGTTTTGGAATGTTAATAATGATATATATGCTATTCAATAAGTTCAACATGTCAAATCTCCATCTTTATGTTCTATTTTCAGTTAGCTTTTCCTATTAATTCAAAATTTATTTACATATTGTCTCTTCAGGTCTTCTATTCCGTGTACCTCATCATAAGTGTACTTTTCGTCTTTTTGAATAATTATAATCTGTTGACCTGTACGAGTACAACGTATGCTTCATCGTATACGAGCACAGTTGGCACTTCAGCTCCAACAACGTATACTTCATCGTATACGAGCACAGTTGGCTCTTCATCCTCAACAACAACATCTGCAACAATTAGTTTGAAATTTTTTTCTTATCTCTTCTTATGTTTGTCTTACAGCATCTCCTTGTGAGGAACAAAGCAATTATCGTATGTTTCAACTTTTCAAATCACTATATTGCTGTTTTTCAAGTTCTTTTTATTATCATTTCAACCATCAACATTTTCCTCACCTTCATCCAATTACGATTTTGTTCTGCTGTTCGACACTTTTTAAAAACCAGGGAACAGTGCGTTCTTATCTCTCTACTTAAACATTCATTTCGTTTAGACCACCAAGAGCCAGAATACCTGTCATAAATAGAAATTTTCCTCCCAGATACTCACAATGCTCTATGTCAAACCAAACTTTACCAGGTTAGGACGTTCTGTGTGTATAGTAAAATGAACTCTATTAAGGCTTGGGAAAACCTCCAAGTTACAGCTTATCAGTTGAAGTGTTAGATGTTACGACTCTCGAAGAAAGTCCAAATCTACAACCCAATGATCTTCCTCCAGCATATGATAATGTCGTTATGAACGAACAAAATAATAATTCGAATGAAAACTGAAATAAATTATTCATAATAAGGAAGCCATGACTCTCTTTGAATCTTTCTCTTCCTCTCTTCCCCTGTTCCCACGGTAGTACGTCGATAGTAACCCCTTTTACTTGTTTTTTCTAGCAGTGGTCCATATAAAACATGGGATCAGATAAAAATAACTTCACGTGACGCGGAAAAGAGCAACCACACCCTATCAGAACTGCCTGAAAATGATTTCACACACTTGATCGGCACGTTTAACAACCGCTTAATTGGTCAGATGAGTTCGAAATGATTTTTACCCACTTGTGTCTGGCGCACTACCGCCAAGTAGATGGGTGATGTGAGAATGATTTAATGAAGCATGACTGCTTCTTCAGAAGACGAGTAAAACTTAATCGCAACAATGTTATTCATGAAGAATCGCTCTACCAGAAGATAGGTAAGGCGTTGTATGAGTGCTTATACGACTTCTGACACTGCTCATCTAAAAGTCCGAAGAATAACTTTTTTGATAAGAGATCTGCATCTATCACAGTCAGCAGAAAGCATTAAATCTGTTACACATGTCTTTAACTATATATTCCAACAAGCTTTTCTTTGTTCAAGTTATGTATGTAGGAATCATGACCAATGTTGCATCAGATAGTTTTAACATGGTGCAACAAGAAGATGTACATGACATAAATAATTATTATCAATTGATTAAGCTTTCAATAAAAAAATATGATAGTGCATACGCTGGTGCATTTGAGTTGACAAGCAGCTTAGGTTATGAAAATTTTATTTTTAAAATTATTTGAACAGAAACAAGCATTTGCCGGCATCAGTCACAAATCATACAAACATCGACCCCCCGATCTCCGAATGCATAGTATTGTGCTTAAAAACATATCTAGGATATAGTAATAAGTTTGGGATGCATTAATGAAAAAGAAAAAAATGTAGAAAAACTTAGAAATATACAAATAAGAAAATCCTACACGTCATACTTCTAGTATTCGTCTAATTTGGCATCATCAAGAAATAATTTCCTGAGTGAGACTACATACATATAAATTTATTGGATAACAGGTCCTCCAAATTTGTTTTCCAACGAGTCACTCGTCGGCCTTTGTTGCTCTTGCTTTGTCAAGAAAAGAGTTTTACGTAATCGAGAAGCAGAATATCTGGAAAGATTAAGTTTTATCACCATTTTTTGAATGAATTAGACTCACTTGACAGCTTCTCGTCTTCGGACCATCGATGGATCAGATGATAAGAATCGATGAGATAAAGCTTCATCAGTTCGCATACGTCTCCTAGAATATAGCATTTAGAACTGTGATGATATATAAAACATACATTGGACTCTTTTTCAGGGCCCAGGTGGCAAAACTGAGAGATTCTTGACTGGCATTAACAGGTATCAAATTTGGATCGCACTTCACATTCAACACATTGTGTTTAACTTCTGTGATCTCATCATATTCGGAAGTGAAAGGATGGAAACCGCCAAGTCTAGAATAGATTTAGATGATTAGAATGTACGTTTAGTCATGTTACTCACAAGCAGAATGTGATCACACCCATTCCCCATACATCAGATTGAACTGTTACAGGAACATCATCGATATGGAATTCGGGAGCAGCCCATAAGACATTGAATTCCTTAGGCTTCACAGCAGTCGAAAGCTTCTGTGCACTTCCGAAATCAACAAGCTTAACAATCCAATTTCGTTTTGATTGGAACATAACGTTATGTGGATTGATATCCAAATGGGCAATTCTGTAAAAAACAATGTTATCGGGAATGTGGAAGTAAACAATCACCCTCGGAAATGTAACCAATGAAGGGCAGAAGCTACTTGACGGATTGTCAGACATACTTGTTCTTCAGTATAATAATCATTAAAAACAAATCGTGAGAAGACGTTTTCATAAAGTTGCTCACAGAAGAGATATAAGAATCCTTCTCTGGAATGATTATGTTTATGAGAGAAGGACAAATGTTTCACTGAACCTGTTGTATGCAGCAATCAAACGTTGAACATTCTCATGCTGAGCATCTTTAAGAATTTCATATTCGCGAAGAACACTCTCCTCATTGATATCACGGATCTTAGCAATACAATGAGCTGAACCTTCTTGTGAGTTATCAACTGCTTTCCGGACAACAGCGAATCGTCCCTTGTAGATCAGAGCATCAATCTGTGAAAGAGATATGATTCTGAAGGAGAGTGGAATGTTATATACCTGGAACCTAGAGAGAACATTGTCGGTTTGAAGTTCAATGTTTTCTTTGGTAATTTGTTCTTGGAGAGTCTTATCTTCCGATTCACTTTCTTCAGAAATTTCATTCAACTGATTGGCTGATTTCTGTGGTAATGATACCACGTTCAACCGTACATACGACTTCAAAATTTCGATTTGAAGCTTAGCTGCTCCTACAACAACAACATCATAGACTATGCTATTGAATCAATTATACCTTTTCCATGTGTTTGGATGATTCTGCTGGAAAGAGAAGGCAATCCTAGACCAAATCCATTTCTTGCTGTGACTCGGAATTGATATATTCCAAATGGTTGAAGATGTTTGACAACAACAGCTTCATCATCCACGTTTTCACTGATGACAATCCATGCTGCACCAACATCATCAGGGCCGGCAGGTCGGTATTCCAAGCGGTATGTGATACCTTCCAAATATGTATGACCTTCAGGAGCTTCCCATGTTAAGAATATTTCAGTATCGGAAGATAACTCAGCATCAGGTCGTCCAGGACGAGAAGGTGCTTCTAAACATGTATTTTAAAATCCTTTTATCCAGAAAGGTATTTACCTCCGCTAATAAGGCGACTTGTTGTTTTGTCGCTGCCGAACTCATTAGTGGCAGTGCATAAATATTCTCCCAAATCAAATGGCAATGGCTTGTGAATGATCAATCGATGAATGTTTCCATTCTAAATATCGTTTATAAATTATCAATTTCATTAGCATACCTGTTCGATTGTTCGTTTGTCATCATTTGTCAAAACTTGATTATGGAAAGTCCACTCTACTGTAGGAGCAGGGCTTCCAGTTACGGAGCACTCAAATACAGCAGATCTTTCTCCCAAATAAGCATCGCGCATACGAGTGATGAATATAGGAGCATAAGCTGAACATAAGAACTAATTAATCAGACATATGTGGTTACTCACTTCCATCAGCATTTCGTCTAGTAGCAGACGGGGCCACTTTCTGAATATCTGTTCTAATACGGTCAATGGCGTTGGTTGCAGAAGGAGCTTTTTGGAGAGAAGTTGCTCTCTCATTTGATTTTGGTTCGAGGTTATGAGAATGTTCACGTAAAATATCAGTGAATCTACAACAAGAGAGTAAGATAACTAAGATAGAATGTTCGAAACCTTCTTCGCTCCTTGACAGTAACTTCACCATTGCGAACTCCGAGAATTCCTTGACGAACAAGAGGAGCTCCATCTCCCCAAAGGTTTCGTCGGTAATCACGAACTCGACTGTTGAAGGAAGGTCCACGGGAGGCCATCAAGTATGTATCAGGCCCAATTTGATAGTGTGAGTCCCAAGGAGAATCATCAATATCATAACCGGGATGGTTAAAATCAACATCATCTTTATAGAAGTTGCTTGGACGATACTTGTCCAAATCATCAACCTGGAAGAATTTTAATAGTGAATGGCTGTCAGAATCTGGAGACACAACCTTCTTACGATGTGTGAGATCATCCTTCAAGTCTTCAAAGTCGTCCTTGTGATCTGTAGGCTTAATCTGCAAATTGATTGTTTGAAGACAGGGAACATCAAGTATGGCTAACCTTTTTCTTTCTATCATCCATATGAGCATCTTCATCATCAATTTCCGCTGCTTGCTCACCAGGTGGTAAGAAGGATGGTTTTCCTCGTTTAGTTGCAATCAGTACCTAAATACGTATACCCATTACGCGAACTTGAAACATTGATCATACTTCCATAGAGTGTTCTTTTCCAGGTGAGAGCAGAACGGGGCTCTTAGTTCCTGGTACTGATCTGCGTGGACTCTTGGGAGTCAACAAGTTTGGAGAAGGTGTTGGACTGAAAAGCTCGTTCATGAGAATCAAAAAGTGTTAACAGAAGAATTTGGAGAGAAATTAAATGTTTTTGTTCCTCAATGAAGCTTTTTCTCATAATTTCTCTGTGATCTTTCAAGTGTGTCAACTTACGCTGTATCAATGATCAAGGTGTTGTTGTGAAGTCCTTCCAAGAACAATGGAGCTCCAATTGGTATATTCGGATCATTATCAGCTTGTTCCAAAAGCTGAAACAGAACAAATAGTAAGAAAACATTAGAAATGGGAATTGTCTGCCAAATAGAGTAGTTGAACTACCTTTTGAACATCAACTGAACGTAATCTAAGTTTCTTTTCAATACTTGGATCAAGACAGCTTATTTTAGTTTTAACAGCTCTTTTATTATTCCCAGAAGGAGAGGTTGAGGAAGTTGATGATGAAGAAGATGACGTTGATGCAGCATCATCCACATTACAAGTGACGATTGGTTCAACAACCGTCGTTGTAGTTAAGGATGACATACCCAGAGATGAAATTAAGATGGTTTTTTTGTTCTAAGAAGAAATGAAGTTGTAATTATGAAATATATAGAGAGATAATTAAAAAAGCGATAGAAGAGATATGAAGGGCATCATTATGTAAGCACTGTGATAAAATAAGCTAATCGATATCTATTGGAAAGTAAACAATCTATGCAATCCGGAAGCCTCTTGGTGAGATAACGTAAGCTAGAAAGAGATGAGATGAAGCATGGAGAGGAATTGACGATGACTTCTCAACGTGGAGTCGCGAGCGAGTGGGAGGAAGATGACTAGGAGTTATCAGGAGGACGAAAAGTTTTTCTTTTCCCTTCATCTTCTGTATCTTCTCATCAATGAAGACTTTTCTTTTCTTTTCGTTTTTTTTTTGCTTGTTGGAGTACAAGCAGCGAGATGAAGAAAACATTGCAGAAGATGTTATAAGGGAAACAATAAAAACAATCTCTCATCATGTTTTCATATTGAAATTGCTTAAACAAACGAAAAAGTTTTGATTGAAAACTCTAGAGATGTGAGATGGATTGAAGGAGAAATGAAATGAAAAGATGGTTTTGTTAAGCAATTGAGAACAAACATCGAAGATAAACGTAATTTCCCGAGTAGTTCTAACGATGACAAGCTTTTGTTGACAAACCCAACCTCTTGTTCTGGAGAATACTTTGAAACCTTTGAGCATGTGCAACTTTGTCTTTTTTTTTAGATTTTTTTTTCTTATCAAACAATTTAAATAGACACTTACTTCTTTCTCATGAAGTGGCAGCTCATCTAGGGTGGTGTCTGGGAAGAAGTTTGATTCTTTAATTGTATTAACAGGTGACAATGTTGGCGTTGAAGCATCTGATTCAGCCTTTGGAGTAGATGAACGAGAGCGTGACTTCTTCGTATACTTCTAGAAGTGCATGGTATTTCAACTAATATCCTCTCTATATTATTACCTGACGAATGGTATTGACTTGCTCAAAGTCATCTAATGAACCTAAGCTTCCAGCAACAGAACCTTCTTCAGATATATCAGAGAGAATTCTGTTAGCAATTTCTTCTTCAATATCGCGACGTTCTCCGCGAACCATTCGAACAGGAACCTTAACTCAGACACATGTTCACAAATTATGTCTATATTCACTACTCACCTGAACATTATCATCTTCGCTGTCATCTGAATCTCTCTGTTGTTTGGGCTGATCGCGACGAGATTTTGAAGGAGTTTCACCCTGTAAAAAACAAACAAAGGTTCAGTTTTAAAAAAGTTACTGAAAACAAACCTTTGTTTGAGGTTCAAGTTTGCGTTTTTCCGTCATTTGAGAATCGTCTGGATAATCTTGATGAGGACCTTAACAGACTATATGTAAAGAGCATTCTACTGAAAGGCGAAACAACCTTTGAATCCAGATTTGCCGGGATGTCCAGGTGGGAGAATCTGACGTAGCTGAAACAGAAGAATCAGTTTTAGCCATAAAATAATAATATACTTTTGATTCGTCCAAACGAGGAAGTTTTTCTGGACTCAAAAATTGCTTCTCGTCAATATCGATTGGTCTGCCGTATTGATCGTGAGGAATTCGAGCAAGATCTTCGGCTCTGATCAATCTTCCTGAAGAAAAATGAATAAATATATTTGTATATTCGCTGGACTAACCGTATTGATCTAATGGAATTCGACGTTGTTCGCGTTGTTGAGGATGGCCAATGGGAATATTAGGTGGTTGAGGAACTCCAGCTGTATTCCTTCGTGAATCAGAAGGATGAGATGGAGCTAAAAACCATACTAAATGCAAAACTGATAAACAGGAGTACCTTGAGGATTGAATGGCTCAATGTAGTTGGGATCGTTGAATGCGTATGGAGGAGGTTGATTCAAATACTGTAATGAATAATTATGTATTATAATTAAATGTAAAGAATACGAACATGTTCATCAATTGGATTTCCGTATTGGTCGAGATATGGTGTTCTTTCAATTCGACGCTTTGGAATATCTACTATCTCTGGAGGAGGTCGTGGCTTAATTCGTAAATAATCATAGAGCTGAAAAGCAAAACATTCATGAGCAGATATTCGATCGAAATGATATACTTCAACTGGTCGATCGGTTTCACGAGGAGGCTTCTTTGAGTCAGCTTGTTGAGCCAAAGCAATCGAAGGTGCCTGAAAATGAGATTATAAAAATCAGTATAAGCAAAGTAAATCTTACTAAAATGGCATCAAGCAGTTGTTCAGAAGGTGTTTGTTGAACAAAAACTCTTCTCTCCTATAATGAGAATGATAAGCTGGATAGAAAAATGAAGAAGAAGGAAAACAGATTTGCCGGTATACGGCGTAATGAAAGTGGCGAAAGAAGTCAAAATGACAGGTGAATATGTCAATAGTCACCTTGTTAACTAAAGAAATGTGAAATGAAAAAAAGAAATCAATTTTTAGGCTAAATGAAATAGAAGAAGCTGACGCGTGAAAGGAACGATATGCTTCATGTATAGATTGACGGCTGTGAGATGTAAACGTTGAGGAACAGGCACATATCCGGTTGTTTAGTCGAGAAAACATCAAATTTTCAAGTGCAAGCAAGAAGGCATTCTTGCACAGTTAGATAGATAATAGAATGATTTCAAAGATGATCATTTGATTGATTTTCAACAAATAACATTGAAGATTGAATGAAAGAAACTTACAAGCCACTTGTGTGTGTAATTGAATTCACGTAAACCATCTGCTGGAAGTGGAGCAGTCAAAACATCTTTAGATGACAACCACTCATGTTGTAACGCTTCTTTACAAGTTAAACGATCACTAAAGATATTCAATTATATATTATAATTTAATAAAATAAATATTACGCTGGAATTTCGCATAAAAGCTTCGAAATGAAATCGCGAGCTTCTGAAGAGAATGAACTCCATTCTGGTCCATCAAGAGAGTATCTGACTTTGTCTACATTAGCTAATGTTTCTTCATCATTATCTCCATGGAATGGTGATTGACCCGTTAATCTGTTAAATCGATAAAGATGAAAACAAATTTGATTGAAAGAGCTTACAGAACGTAAGTAATAGTTCCTACACTCCATAAATCTGTTGCCAATGTTAGTGGATATCCTCGAACTATTTCCGGTGACACAAATTCTGGAGTTCCTTGTATTTGACCAGTAATCAATCCACGTAATAAGCGTCTAAATGATCAAATGGTTCGACTGACTGAATGATGTAACTGCTTACCTGGATTGACCGAAATCAGCCAACTTCAAACGATCATCCTGCAGCAGAATAGTTTCTGGACGTAAATCCAGGTGAGCAATTCGTAGATCGTGCATATGCTCCAAAGCCAAAACCAAATATCTAATAAGAAGCAGGTTTGAATGAATCATTGGGTGAAATAATACCTTATAAAGATTTGAACCATTCGCTCACGCTCCTGGCCGGTGGGCCCTCCCATAGGTACTCCGGGATGAGCAAGATCATTTAGGATAGTGTTAGAAGAGCTAAAATAGAAAACGGAATAACCTGCTAGACTGTCAGTGGCTATAGGGGAGGGGAGGTGTAAGCAACCGCTCTGATGAGTAAAAAAAACCAAAAATAAAACTTCAACAGACGTGGAATTCCACGTGGCGACTAATAGTGATTAGCATACTCTCTTACCTGGGTAAATGGAAATCGATGAACTTATCATCATGTCTAGTCATTATAATAATATAAAAGAATAATTAAAGAATCATAATAGCTTGTAAGATAGTATGTAAGAAGCTAAAGTAGAGAATCAATAGATTTAGACAAGAAAAGAGAATTAGAGAAAAAGTGTCTTCTTTTGAAGTGTTGTAAAGGACACAACAGCTGGAAGATTGAAAAAAGAAGAGAAGGAAAACGAGGGAGAATAGCCATAGAGGAGGATAAGGTTCAATCACCTTACAGCTATTTCAGCTATTAAAAACTTTTTTCTTTAACTTCTCGTCGACTTCAAACTAATCCAACAAACTTTACAAACTGAATGTTATTCAAAACAAAATGTTCTCTCGAATCATTCAGTCTCCATCTGTACCAATAAGAGCAAAAGTCATTCTGATGGTAATAAAGAAAAAAAAAGAAAGATTCTTAATCATCAGGTGGGTGGAAAGAGTAGCTGAAAGCTTGATTGATTACAAATCAATCTAATCTCATCGTTTACCTTGACCACGTACTGCATTCAGCATATCTTTCTCACCCTTCCCAAAAAAACGATTAAATTTCAATTTGAAAACTTCAAATGACATGTTGCGACTGAGGAAAACAATAAAATCTGTTCCCTTCTTTCTGTTCTTCTTACACCCACCCACGTACATATGATGAGGTCTGACATTTCGTATTTTGTATTAATATTGCTGAAAATTTTGCTGTTCTTTTTTGATTGTTTCAATTTCAGTGTGATAGTTTCATTCGCCGTATCAGTGACTTCCGTTTTTTGCTGATCAAACATATAATGGGAACGGGACGGGGGTCTATGGGTGACTGTGAAAAGTAACTTACTTGTCATATACAACCATTGCAATCTTATTATCTTTGATAACTTGCTTGAACTGAATGACGTTTGGATGTTCAAGAACGTTGTGAATATCAATGCTTCGATTTAACGAATCATCGATAGGCTTCAACTGAGCCAGAAACTTTAGGCCCGTAGATCGTTCTTTAACCGTAAAAGGAGCACCACTAACAGCTCGTCTGTAAAAACAACTTTAGCTTCGCAAAATCCATTTTACACGTAAATGACATGTACGTGTACATCCTAGGTACGGAATTTTCTTTGTTCGAATCCCTTCAATTCTCTCATGTTACTGATTCGTGCAGCATTTGGGCATGAAGCTGCTCCTTTTTCAATATTTCGAAAAAGGATAAGATTACCAGTGCTTGCATTATTCAGCATCATAATCGAAAGTGAAGTTTCTGGAGTTTTTTCTCTGAAGACAGAGAGAACTACCAAAGGTGAATTCTAGAAAGTTCCGTCCATGGGATGGTCGGTGCGTGCGTGCTCGTGTGCTTTTTGACGACGACGCGGTGACAAATGGACCTTTTACGGTGGCAAAGCTAAAGCTGAGTTTGTTTCCGATAGTTATTATCAAGCTGTTTTGTTTGTGTGCCTAAACTCTGTGCTCCGAGTTTCCGAGAAATAGATAGTCATCTGGTTAGAAGTTCAGAAAGCAAGTCTCAATATGGTTTTCCCATTGACGTCAACCACCAATCATAGAAAGCTTTGAAATATTAAAAAGTCATCTTCCAGTTCGATCCTTCTCTATCCCACTAGCTGGATTCATAAAGAGTATGCGAAATGACTAGCTATGAGTTAGACAAACATCGAATTAGAACTATTTCGTAGAGAGAAGTGATTGACGTCCTGTGGCAAACGCATGAAGTTGCCATCCTCATTCCACCAATGACTAAGTCAAAAAGTCAATCGGAAGGCAGACACAGCTGGAAAACCGCACTCGTTTCACTCTACCACCGATGTACGAAGACGATCGGACATCGGATTGTTACATGCAACATAAATGAGTTCTTCAAACAATCCGGGAACGACGCTCTTCATGGAAGCATAAAGAAGAAAATCGAAAAAGCTGTTCTGAATCCGCAGTCATTCCATTCATGGATGAACGAAGAAATCATTCATATCGGATGGTCCAAGCCGTTCTACGAGATTAAACTCGGATTGAGGAGGGGTATGCAGATGATACTGGGGTGATCAGCAGGCAGGAAGTCACAAGAGACGGACGAATTGGACTGCACACACGCACACTTCAAGCACATAAATGTATTGTTTTATTATATATAATAATAAGAAAAATGGATATAATTAGAATGGAAATACGAACATAAAAATGCAAAGTTGAGCTAAAAAAATAGCTTAAAAGGGATTCGACTAGAATACGAAAAGCCAGAATAGGTGAACCCGATTGCCAAAATCCATTCCGAGTTTGAGGGTAGAAGAAAACAGCAAATCGTAGAGGAGCAGCTGACATGTAGAAGTACTGAAAGATAAGCGGGCCGGGCTGATCTTCAGCATGGTCCAATTCAGAAAATCCTTTAAATTTGAGGAGCAATCGGGCTGTCGATCGTAAAATCGTAAACAAAAAGAAAAAACAGAATAAAGTCGCCTAGGAAAAAGAATGAACAAAACAATTTGAAGTTCAATCTCTCATTCTGGGGGATGTACGGCATCCCTCAAAATGTTAAAACGCTATCTGAAGTAACAATGAGCTGATATGTGAAAGCTTACGGCCGGGTGTAAGCTTACATATACAGTTCAGTTGTTCTTCCTCTAAACTTCAGTTTAATAAATAAAACTGAAGTGATTTGAGCTACTGATGAAGGTAAGCGATATCTACATGCAAAAACTAAATTCAGATCGTTCCGCTATCATCTGAGCAGAAGATGGAAACTCCTTGAATTCAGAGTTTTAGATAAAAGGTGAGCTTACACCTAATGGCAAAAAAAAACTGGGGGGCATAATTTCTCCGGGTAGAACAAACGGGTCAACCGGATGGCGCAGGGTACCAGATAGTAAAATCACATAGAGTAATAATAAAGCGATAAAGAGAAAAGTTGAGACAAATCTGATGCGTTGATTAACGTGCAGAAGAACATAGAAACATGAAAAGAATAAATAGAAGAAGAATTTTACTTTTCATCCTCTTCATCTATATCATAGACTTCCCGAACTTTACGTGCTTCGATGGCTACACGCTTTTTAGGTAATTGCACATCGTTGTAATCACCATCAGCTGGAAAATGAAAAACACTAGAGAGTGTCAAAAATGAAAAATACCTTCAACAGTAACGGTACAAGAAGTTGTTGCTTGACCGGCTTCATTAACTGCTACACAAGTGTAGATACCACTGTCTCGCCACAGAGGATCATTCACTATAAGTGAGCAGAGATATGGGCCGTCTTGTACGAACTTAATTCTTGACGATTCGACAATCGGTCGCCAATCCTAAAATATTTAATACTTGTCTTAACCTTCCATGACATTTGTTTTCCGACCTTCATCCATTTTAGTTCTGGGAAGGGTTGTCCATCAACACGAACATCAAGTTTCATGGGATGGGCGGAGCTGAAGGTCTTGTTCGATAATGGTTGGATGAATGATGGTCTGGCTGCAATGATCAGAACTTAGTTGTTTCTGACGAAAGCGACTTACTAGCTAAATCAACCATGATGTTTTGTTGGGCTTCACCATAATTATTCTTAGCGAAACATTGGTACTGCCCAACATTTTCTTTACTGAATCCCATGATGCTCAACGTTGTTTCAGTTCCTCCGTAAGTGTACACTTTACACTTGGAAGTAGGGCTAGTAGTATCTATATTCCATCCACGGAATTTCCATTGAATATCCGGATCAGGATAACCAGAAACATTAAGAATGATCGTTAAGCTATCATTTTCTGCGCAGTATCGTTTCTCTACGACACCAGGTGCGAACCATGGTGCACAAGCTATAAAACAAGATTTGAAAGGTTTTTGGAAGTGATACTAACCATATTGTTCAGCATGTGCTAAATCCAAAGCCTTTTCAGCATAAGGGTCCAACAAAGGAATAACTTTCTGAGTGCGCTTATCGAATACAGGTTGTGGAGGAGCCATCAATCTGGATGGTGGGGAAGCTGGTGATGGATCAGATATTCCGTAAATGTTCTCAGCGCGAACACGGAACTGATACGACTTGCCAAGCTCCAAGTTGCGAACTTTACAGACTGGCTCAGGGATATTGTAATCGAGTAGAGTCCATTCTTTCTCGGGAAGTTCACGGATTTCGATGACATATGTGACCTGTGGATAACGAGGAGGAGCTCTCTTAGTTGGAATCCACGAGAGAGTAAGGAAGTGACCGGTAACTTCTTTGATGAAAGGTCCATGGTCGGGTGGAGTTGGTAAACTGGCATAGTTAACCTTCTTGAATCCATACTCTTCGGTCAAATAAGAAGAAACATCGAAAGATCCGTCGAATTTGATGTTATCAAGATGAGGAACTATAAAGAAACCGTAGCTACACTTGAAAATCTGTAAATGATACCTGTGACATCAAGGATAGCGGAGGATGAAGCAGTTCCATGAGAGTTCTTGGCGCAGGCAACATACTCGCCAGCGTCTTCAAGAGTTGTGTCGAGAATGATAATAGCATGAGAGCCACCACCGCAAGACTGAAAAAAAGTATTGCTACTTGAAACTGCTCAAAAACTACTTGAATCTTGATACGTCCATCAGGAACGATTCTCTTTCCATTATGGAACCATTCAACCTCTGGAGGTGGATGTCCGACAACAAGACAGTCGAAGATAGTTGGCATATGATTGAAGACGTGTTTGTTCTTCAACTGACGAACGAATCCAGGAGGATAAGGTATTCCGCCTCTGTCATCATTATCGTCAGGGTGTCTTGGACGAATAACATTCAAAGATCCTTCAGTTCTGGCAGATCCAAGCTTGTTGGTTGCTTCAAGTGAATATTCGCCTTCATCTCCAGGTTCACTGAAACAATCGAGTTCGAATAATCATCGCAATGATGTGGATTACCAGTTGAGAATGACAAGATGATGAACACCGCGTTCATCCGTGAAGATGACACGACGACCATCAGGTCCGTCAGAAATGATCTCTTGACCATCCTACAAAGTACAGTAATCATGAAAGCACTCTCATTTGACTATCTACCTTGAACCATTTAACTGTTGGTGTTGGCCATCCAGTGGCACAGACAATCATCTCAACAACATTACCCTAAAATAATAATAATTAATCTAATTTATAATATAATTATGTTTTCATAGCCACGTGGCGTACGTGAATAGCGTCAGAGTGCCTACGCATGAGTTCATTTAAAATGCTAAGCGCACGTGGTTCAGTTTTATTGTTGAACTTTAAAAGTCAAAAGTTACAATTTCTCTTTTTCCGGTAAATATGAACATGTAAAATTATAATTTCATCATTCATAATCAATCAAGAATTAAGGAAAAGAAGAAAAAGGGAAGAAAAAAGAAATGTTATTTGAGAACTTTAAGTAAATAAAAATAATGAAGGAAAGGGCTGTTTGACTCATTTGTTTGCTTGTAAGTTTCACACATTCGTTTGACTAAATTTCGCAATTTTCAAAGTTTGTTTTTGCTTGTTTCAAGCATTATAGGAAGTATATGAGAGGTTTTATTACTTTCTATGCTTTCATCTTATTTCAAAGCATTTATGACTCCTCACTTTTTCTCACCCACATTCTCAATATCATATACTCGTCAGCGTCATCACACAGAAGTACGAAATGGCAGTGAATTACTCAGAAAATCAACAAATGAAATATAGTGGACGTCTAGAACGGTTGTAGATTCATTCATCTTTCAACCAGCACACATTTTATTCATCCATTTCATCATCCTTCATCCAATTACTTTTGCTTACTTTCTCTTTTTTTCTCTCTCGCAGCAGCACACATACATATACTTTAAAATGCGTAAAGTATAGAGAGAGGTCAAAGCGCCTAACTCACTCATTCCCATACGAATCATTGCAAAGTGTCTTGACGTCATTACTTTAGCTATTCATGATGTTTTAAAACTATTTCTACAAAGCCTTATAGTATACTCTCTTATTACAAAATTTTCATTTTTATGTTCTCCCAAACTTTTTCTCGCCTTTACTTTTCTATTTCATACTCTCTAAATCTATCTTAGCTCGTTATGTGCTCATTGCCATGAACGTAATGGATAAAAATAGCTGCAGAATGTTTTCTCCTACCTTTAATCAAATATTCTCATTCACCCATCTGTAAAATAGGTTGTGAAATATTCGATGATTTTTCAACTTAAAAACGCTGAACTCTTCCGCATTTACTCTTTTATTCTCACATATAAACTAACATACCTGATGAATGCTCATGTTGTGAAGTCCTCTACGAATTCTTGGCTTACTTTCTTCTGGCTCAACATTCTCATCAACAATCTTCTTTGGTAGTGAACGATCTCCTATAATGTATTCTTATATTGATATAAATGCTTTAAATATTAGTCTTTTTCCCATTTATAAACTATTTATTTCAGTAGTTCTAGTTGCATTTGCTTCTTTGAGGGGTTTTCTCGTCTTTGGTTTGAATGAGCTTAAAGAGAGTCAAGCTAGGACGGTGACATCAGTCCAACTAACTATGAATACCACTAGATCGTATAGTTATTATTACTATCTCTTATTTATATTATCAACTACTTATGCTTTAACTTGTCCTAAAGGTTCGTTTCAATGAGCTTCTCCGATTCTGACAATTTTCATTGTAAGGCTGGATTCATGATTCGAATGCTCGCTCATGCTATCATATAACTCGAAGAAGATTAACTCATACACAAGCTTCTCAATATTGTCAACGTTTTGATAACTCGTCTCATCTCTTAAGGATCGAATGCGATAGCGAGAACGACTTCATCACAAACATTTTGAAATCAAATAAGAACCAAGCAAGTTTATCAACCTCAACTGCTTGGATTGATGCTCGAGCTCGTTTTGATATCGTTGACAGCTCAGCCGGGTTGTTTGCCCCCGGTTTCGTATTGAGATGGCCAAATGGTAACCCTCACTCGCGTACTAAGCTAGGCCTCGTTCTTCAGGCAAAATGGTTCGGTTCACTAATTGGCTGACTGGTAATGGACTGGATTTGGTTGATCGTCAGCATAAATGTGTTCAACTAACACCTTCTGGGAAATGGTATCTAGCATCCGAGAGCTTGTCCCATTTCTTCTGTTAAGGGTCAACTCAGGATGTCATGTACCAGCTCTGGCCATCTGTGAGAAGAAGTTGCATCGAACATTTGATAATCATTGCCCGAAACATTGGGTTTACTTCAACCAAACTTCCAGTTGTTACAGGTGAATTCTAAACCTCCTCAAGAATTCAAAAAAATTATTTTAAGGACAGTCACGAGAACGAATTTGACTATATTAGAAGCTGATAACAGATGTTTCCAGATGGGTCAGTTTGTGGAGGCTCTCTATCCAACTAATGTATTCTCGTAGGTTATGAACACAATCAGGACGCCATGCTCGCTAGTATAGCAAACGCCCAAGAGAACAGTTTCATTTTGAAAATAGTAAAAGAACGGAAAGCTAATTTCGATTTTGTTCTATTGGGAGGCTTCGGAAGATCTAACGATGGCAGCAAGTGGCATTGGATGGATGGTAGGAGACAGAAGTATCTGCTTGAAAATAGAATACTTCAGGGACTCTCTTTGATTATCAAAACTGGGATCGAGGCATGCCATACGGGAAACGGGCGCTGGCCGTTCTGGTTATGAACAAACGGGGAAAATGGATTAACCATTATGCTGACAAAATACTTTCGCAGTACAACTCGATAGCTGTTTGTAAATACAAAACTGGAACAACCAAATGAAGAAAACAACGAGAACTGAGAGCTTTAAACTGTGATTGAACACATATTTGGATGATCTCATTTGAATAAACTGTTTGCTTATAATCAACTCACCTTCAACTACCAATTCAGCCTTAGTAGATGCTGTTCCATGAATGTTGGTAGCAACGCATCTTGAAAAGAAAAATCATACAGAGAACTTCACTGAAAACAATACCTGTAATATCCTTCGGCGAAGAAGTTGATGTCTTTGAGAGTAAGCTTCTGTGTTCCGTCAGCATCGGCCTCGATTGAGATCTTCTCATCAGCTACAAGTTCGATACCGTCCTGAACATTGAATATAATATTTCAAGCTGAACTATTTTATTTACCTTGAGCCATTTGATAGATGGGAATGGTTGACCGAAAGGTAAGCATTCGAAAGTCACAGACTCTCCAGGCTTGGCACGGCGGATAGTAAGAGGAATAGTGAATCCTGGAGCTTTACCAGAAGACATAGCCGAATCAAGATCTCTTGGCTTTCTTTCCTTAGCTAAATAGACACAATGAGAAATGATGTAAAAGTTGTTTTCAGTTCGCACATGCCATAAAAACATTCAATTAGAATATTAAATAAGCGTCGTTATATTTTGTAAGATGTATCTGTATCCATTTAAGGTTATGGAACAAGCAGGAGGTTCTATATTAGAATTAAACATACAACATTCACGTATAACATTTATTAAGCCATTCATATCTATTTACAGCCTTCTGTTGTACAGAAAACGATGGTTACGATACTTACTGGAATAATCGTAGTCTGAATCGTTTGCACCGCTGTACCAACTACTAAATCCACCATATCCTCGTGAACTTGAATATGATCGTTCAAGTGGGTTAAACGAAGATGATATGGGTGATGAAGATCGTAAGTACGGTGATGATGAACGAATTGAAGATGACACATATGGAGAAGTTGATCGAACATATGATGGAGACGACGATCGGTAATTAGTAGATGGAGAAGATGAACGATGATGGTACGAAGACGAAGACGTCCAAGAAGATGGACCTACAGCAGACATGGACAAAGACGTGGACAAATAGTTTCCGGAAGAGTGTGAAGAACTTCCGAATCTTGACGTACCTGCATAACATATATATGAGTTGGGTCATTAAAAGTGAGAGAAGCTTCTCTGTTTAATTTGATTTGATTTTATTTTTTTATTTCATTCGTGCTTTTTTTTAATTTCTGTTAGAGATTACGTCGGAACGTTCTTTTGATGTTCCAAATTTTCGTTTATTAAAATTAGATTGTAGTTATGACATATATATATATCTGTTAAGAGAAGAAGTAACATTCAAAATCCTGAGATATGTAGCTTGTTGGTTGAACACGTCGATCACCGGGATGTTCACAGGCAGATAAATGATATAAACACATACACATTTAGACAAGATTTTGATATAAAAAATGAAAGTAAAATAAACAAATTTGGACAAAATTCACATGCTAGACGAGACTATTGTAAACTTATACGAGTTTTATGAGAAAATTCGAAACTTACGAATGACTGATACATCGCAAGTTGTGCGAACAGAGCCAAAGCTATTTTCAGCTACGCAACGATATCCACCAGCATCTTGACGAGATGAGGAATCAATGATGAGTTCACATGTTCCATCATCCTGCTCAAGCTTAATATATATGATTGATACAGTGTTTTAAAAAGAAATAAAAAGTTACAAGCTGTAGACGACCGTAGGCAAAGACACGTTCACCATCCTTGTACCACTTGATAGTTGGCTTTGGATCTCCGGAGAACTTGCAGCTCAAACGGAATCCTTCCTTTTCAGGTACGCGAACGTTCTCCAAAGGTTGCAATAACTTGGGTACCTTACTGGCATCAAATTCATTCTTAGTGAGGCCACTGAAACTCATCTTATTTGAAAGTTCGATATAGATTTATTTACCTGGGTGTATCTTTGGGTGCTCTCTTTACTGTTCCGGTTCCCTTATCTCTGGCAGATCCGGATGGATTTGTAGCAATGACACGATAGATTCCATCGTCGTCCATGGTACATGCAGGGATAAGCAATTTAGCATTTCCTCCTTCATCCAAAGTAATTTGGCAACGATCAGAAGATTGAATCTTAATAGGATGATAAAAAATCACGTGAACCTATAGTCATACCTGAGCTCCGTCTTTGTGCCAAGTGAGTTCTGGCAATGGGAATCCTTCGATTTTGCACTCGAATTTGAGAGGTTGACCCTCTACTGCTCTAGCATCTCCAAGTGCGATGGTGAATCTTGGTGGAGTACTCTTTGGAGCAGAAGCAGCAGAAAGACTTCCATCATCAATTCTGATGAAAGCCTTAGTGGTAGCTGATCCTGATTCGTTAGTTGCGACGCAACGGTAAGTTCCTTCATCATTGATAGTAGCATTCTTGATCTTCAATTGGTAAGTTCCCTTAGCCTCATCGATTTCCCAATCGTGACGAGATTCCTCCCAAATTGGTGCACCGTCCTTAGACCATTTGACATTTGGCATAGGCTGTCCTGTTACTTTACAACTCAACTCAATGCTGCTACCAAGAACAACAGTTTGATCTTCAAGAGGAACGACGAAGCGAGGTGGTTGACCTTCGTCCAGCTTAAGCTTATCTGATTTTCCGATTGCCATTTGTACATGAGCAGTAGCTTGTGTTTTGGCTTTACCATGACGATTTTCTGCTTCACAGCGATAGATTCCTTCATCAGACATTGTGCATTCCTTAACAGTAAGCTGGCATGTTCCGTCAGGAAGTTGTTCGATAACACAACGCGGGCCGTTGCGAACGAGTTGACCATTGCGATACCACTTGATTTCGGGAGTGGGATCACCCTGGACACAACATTTCATGGTGAAAGTGTCACCGCGATCAGTCCAGATATCAACAAGGCCTTTAGTGAAGAATGGTTCTTCTCCATCTTTCTTCACTTCTTGCTTAGGCACCTTAACGTTAACCAAGCCACTGGTGTTGGTGCTACCATGTGAGTTAGTAGCAACACATCGGTAGGCTCCAGCGTCCGATTCTTGAGTAGAGGCTATTGTTAATTGGCAGTTACCATCTTCAGAATACTCAATAGAGATCTTGTCAGATGGGCGTAATGGTAAACCATCCTTATACCAAGTAACAGCAGCTCGAGGAACAGCATCAACTAAACAGCTAAGCTTGACTGGTTGACCGGCGTTAACGTTGCGGTCTTCCAAGCCAGGGTTGAACTTGGGAGCATATTCCTTCTTCTGAACTTGTTCTTCAATTACAGGTACTTCCACAGAGTATGTAGATAAAGTGTCTGCTACACCTAGTTCATTTGTCGCTTCACATTTATATACACCGCAATGTTTTTCGGTGAACTGTTGGATCTTAACACGACAAGCTCCATCAGTGCTGTTTCTGACTTCCACTTCTTCACTGGATTCCAAGATCTTTCCATCCTTGAACCAGACAATAGTAGCTGTGGGCTTAGCGTCAACGTGACATTCAATGAACATAGGATCATTCACTGGTATTCTTCTATCCCAAAGTGGAACATTGAATCTTGGTGGATAACGATCATCATCCTTCTCGCGGCCAAGTCTATCTGTAGACTTTCCGAGCTCTGCTTGGCATTCATCTTCTCCAAGCTCATTCTTAGCGCGACATCTCAATGTTCCGTAATCAGAATCCTTGATATCAAGAATAGTGAGGCAGTAATTTCCAGCTCCGAGATCTTCTACGAAGACTCGGTCATCGAACTTCAAAGGCTCCTCGTTGAGAAGCCATTCTAACTGAGGCTTGGGACAACCACGTAATTTGATGTTGAATTCTCTCTTGTCACCAGGGGCAGCGTCTACGCTCTTGAGAGGAATAATGAAACGGGGCTTAGATGGTTCTTCACCCTTATCCTTAACCGAAGCCATACAGGCTGAAGTTGAAGATCCCAATGGATTTTCAGCATAAACTCTGTATTGTCCGATGTCACTCTTTTTAGCATCACGAATTCTAAGAGTGATAGTTCCATCTAGAGCTTCTCTCATAGCGATTCGATCATCCTTCTTGATTTCTTTGCCATCTTTCTCCCAGCGAATAGTTGGGAAGGGATCACCAGATACACGGCAGGATAATGTGAGTGTTTCTCCTTCTTCTACCTCAACATCTTGCAGAGGAGTCAAGAAGCCTGCTCCGCACTCCGTTGATGGTTGCTTCGCTGGTTTAACATGAAGAACTGCACCACTACTGACTTCGCCATTATCATTTCCGAGTTCAACGCGATAAGCGCCGCCATCTGATTTCTTAGAAGATGGAATAACCAAGGAATACTCGCCTGATTCCGGAGACTCAACAAGTTTCAAATCATCTGTTGGCTTGATTTCTTGACCATTCTTATACCATTTAACACTCTTTGGTTTTCCTTCAACGCGTACTTTCAGTTCGGCAGGAGTTCCCTCTGGAACGTCGACGTCCTTCAATCCATCCAAGATTTTCAGAATGTCTGGCTTAATGACAGTTAACTGAGCAGAACTATCGCATTCTCCAGCTGCGTTAGAAAGAACAACACGATAAGTTGCTCCGTCGTCCAAAACAGCACGGTTTATGCCTAGTTCATACTTCTTAGGTCCGATCTTTTTGGGTTCGAAATGACCAGATGGAGCAATTTCCTGTCCGTTCTTATACCATTTGACGGATCGAATAGGTGCGGAAGTTTCCACTTTGAAGACATCGTCGTCACCTACTTTCACTGTAGTATCGGTTAATCCTTTAACAATCTCTGGCTTCTCATCAACTTCTCCCTTAGCTTCGGATGTAGCTTTTCCGCCTGGGTTGACTGCTTCTACTGTGTATAATCCAGCATCTGATGGTTCAGCAGAAGGTATAGTCAGACGATAAGTTTGATCATCGATTTTATCGATCTTGATGCGATCAGAAGCGGTAAGAGGAATAGCATCCTTCAACCACTTGACATCATCAATTTCACCGTCCACTTTGACTTCGAATACCAGAGGACTTCCTTTGGC